GTTTAGGACCTTTAGAAACTTTAGGTATATTATTCTTACATGTATATGAAAAGTAAATAGTTAAATGAATTTATCAATTTTTAATTGATTAATTGATGAAACGTATTGACTACGGGTATGCATAAAAATAATTCTGTTTGTAATTCTATATAAAAAAAAAACGTATTTCATATTCAATATAAAAGTGAAAAAGTAATCTGTTTCGAATTAATGTATGAAAAAGGTGAAAAAAACGAACAGTGATCGATCTTATAAATTCTGTTATCAATACAAATCGTGAAAAGTACCCCTTGAAACTCCAGAGGTGGATCAGGTACCTGGGAGGAGTAAGCATCCCTGTAAACAGGTCACACCTGCCGTGAGCCCCCTGTAAACAGGTCACACCCGCCGTGAGCCCTCTGTAAACAGGTCACACCCGCCGTGAGCCCTCTGTAAACAGGTCACACCCGCCGTGAGCCCCCTGTAAACAGGTCACACCCGCCGTGAGCCCCCTGTAAACAGGTCACACCCCGCCGTGAGCCCCCTGTAAACAGGTCACACCCGCCGTGAGCCCTCTGTAAACAGGTCACTACCGCCGTGAGCCCCCTGTAAACAGGTCACACCCGCCGTGAGCCCTCTGTACTGGTTAGGTAAACGGAGTTATCGGTAATCAAAATCAGTGTAATTACAAAAGCCTAACAATGGATATGAAACATGTTAGTCAGAATACGACCCAACGAGATGTTGTATTTCCGAACAAAATCATTATATCGACCATATAATTTGCAAAATTCTGAATGTTAGATTTTTGAAAGCCTTATAACACCAACTTATTTGTCAGTAGCCCGCTCCGATTTAAAAACTTATCGTACTCCTAACATGCTCTTGCGTACTGAATCAATACTGAATAAATACCTTGAATGTGATATTAGAATATTACTTTAGGAAAAGTTGACGATGGAAAACCTGAAGTCATCACGTTGTCATATAGTTATTTGACCATTAACGTCTATAGTCAGTAAAACATCCAAATATGTGGCACCCTGTGCTGTCCTTTATATCATTCCTTCCACCAAGTGTAAACATATGCATGTCAATGCTTTACCTTGTTATAAAAATAAAAGGAGTAGACTTTCCCCTCTAAAATCTTCCCCCCACGGAAATCTCACCAGATTCAATTTTCCGGGGGAAATCCTACTCTGTGTAATAGCTATAGAGTGCAATTTCCCCCGAGCCAATTTTCCCCTATAAAATATCATGGCTTCTCATATGTATGAGGGGGAAAGGGGGCGACACATTGTTACAAGTGCCCTTCTTCAAAATGGCAACCTGTTTCGTTGAAATATACGAAGTATTTTATGAAAAATAAAAATTTTAAATCTCATTTTTCTCAGTAACCGTCCAAAATTTTTTTTCTTGAAGCATACAAATCTTATTCCTTTCATCTGGTCAAACTGGTTTCTAAAAAAAATGTTCATTTAAATTGGTTGGACAAATTTTAACTGTATCCGTAGAAACAAAAAGAAATTTTATCTTATGTGCATTTTTGTTTCCGAGTGTATTTCGAACTACATGTACATTGATGTGTAAGTGCCTTTCCAAATTTCTGGTGTTTAAATATTGGAATGGAAAATATGGGTCATTTATTTCTAAAAATTTGAAATTTTGCAAGACGTTCACAGAGAGAATTTGCTCTCTGCTTTCAAATCCAATATCGCAATATAATATTGTTTTGTTTTTGGTTTTGGCTTTTTCCCCTTTGAAGAACTACTCGATTCAAATACGCCCAAAATGGCATACGGAACCTATCGATAATATAAATTTCAGAATTTTCTATCACACTCTTTGTAAAAGGGATGGACCCATAGATCAATATTGGGCCCTTGGAAGGCAAACAAATTATCAAATCACTAAAGGTGCCCTTATGCAAATTAAGAATTTGTGAGCATGATGTGCCAAGATTGGGTGTTGAGACATTGAGTCTTACGATTTTTTGAGTGAATTATTTAACAACTTCCCAAGAGTTAAAATTTTGGGTTAAGACTGGATGATTTGAACTATACGTTTTAAGATTTCATACTCAATTCGGCAATTCTTGAGTTGAAATACTCATATTTCCAAACAAAAAATCAGTTCACTTTGATACAAATTTTTGCCACAATGTTTTTTTTTCCGAAATTATTTAAGCATTGCATGATAAAAGAGGGGAAATCCTACTCTGAGAAAGAACGAAATTTGGTTCTAGTATGAGATTTCCCCTTGGGGGAAAATCCTTCTCTAGAGTACAGATTCCGGGGGAAAGATGGCTATGGGGGAATCCTACTCTACAAGACCGGTTCATGTGTATAATACTTACATTCATTTGCTCGTGTATTTGAATCTTACATGTATATATGTAGATGTATTTCGATTTCATATACATGCGTAATATAAATCAAAGTAGGGCCATATTGCGTTTACATTTTGTTTTACATTTTACAAAGTATAAAGAAATACGTAATAGAATTTTTTTTAAAAAATAACAAATGAAATCAAATAATTTGAGCTGCATGTTCCCATCTTGTCTCATAGTGTCTGCAACTTATTACTCCGGTGGAGGAAACTGGTACCCAGGTGGTGGAAATATGTATCCAGGAGGAGGAAGTCTGTATCCAGGAGGAGGAAACTGGTACCCAAGCGGCGGAAACAACTGGTACCCAGGAGGAGGAAATATGTATCCAGGCGGTGGAAACAACTGGTATCCAGGAGGAGGAAATTTGTACCCAGGAGGAGGAAACTGGTACCCTGGTGGTGGAAACAACTGGTACACGGGAGGAAACTTGTACCCTGGCGGAGGTAACTTGTACCCTGGAGGAGGAAACTTGTACCCTGGCGGAGGGTACCCAGGAATTGGCAGGAATTGTCAGTGCAGACAATACTGTTACAGAAATGAATATACTCAAGGATACTGTGGTTACAGCTTATTAAAACAATGCTGTTCAAGGTCAGTTTGAGGATTTCTAAATTTGTATAAAGATATCGGGGCTTATTCTCAGTTTTAAAAAAGTGGTGTAAAATGAAGACAGATTGTAGGTGTATCCTTTATTACATGTAGTGTCATTATAAATCATTCTAATCTCAGAATTCAAAATTTCTGAGAAAAAGCATAGAAAATTTCAACCTGATGATTATTTGAAATTGCGAATTTTAAACTTAATTTTGAGGAAAAGAGTCACTTTTCAATGAGCACTTATTGTTTAATGAATTCAAATATACACCTATAGAACACAAATAAATAAATGAATATGTATATTCCATTGCTAATCCCAAAAGGAAAAAGATACAGTTGTAAAAGTTATCAGACTGACATATGCACGTAGAGCAATATCATTCATAAACTAGTAAACAAATATTTCTTTAAGAACGCATATACCTACTTCTACTCACACGCGCGGAAATAAATCCCTATTTCAATTATACGTGTAGATACTTCGTATAGTAAATGTCTTAAATTGTAGAATATTTTGACAATACATGTACCTAGTTTTGATGCAAGTGATCCCATAAAAAATGTAAAATGTCTATTCACTTTTTTTCAGATGGGGACATTCGAAAAAGGGTTATTACTAGCATAAAGATGTATCTGTTTGAATAAAAGGTTTGAAGTGTTCTGAAGATGTTGTGCTTTGATTTTTTGTCTGCTCCCCATTTCTAGGAGGAAAATTTCCTTTTGTTTAACTTGCACTGATTTTAAAAATGGCTGAAGAAACATCCTAAAAGTTTTTTATATCGGCCAAAAATTCCTAGTAAAAAAGGTATTGTTAGTTCATTTATTTATTGATTAAAAACTTATTTGTCCGTTAACATTTGATTTGATTTTTTTAACCTAAACAATAATAACGAGAACATTATAATTCATTAACTTTACGTACTTGATATATATATATATATATATATATATATATATATATATATATATATATATATATATATATATATATATATATATATATATATATATATATATATATATATATATATATATATATATATATATATATAAGGTAGAAGGAATATGCCGCTGAAATGTGTCATTTTTATACGATTTAGGATGCAAACCTTTTAAATATATGTTGCATTTAAGTTTTAGAATTAAGAGAATGTAAAAGGAACGGCTGCATGCATAGCAATCTATATTGTTCAAGTCAGTTTAAATTCTCTCAATTCTAAAACTTTAATGTAAAGACAGGCACTTTGTAAATATTTCTGACCATTATTAAAATGGTTACCCCTACCTTAGCTGGTAGAAATTCTAATTTTGCCGCTACATAGTGTATATCTACAGAAAACATCTACGTTTATGCTTGTGCCCCTTTAATAATAACGTATGATGACCTCAATTTTTTTTTTAATTTTTGTCTGTCAAGAAATAGGTAATGCCCTCAAACTGAAAATGTTTGGTTGTGCCCCCCTCCCCGGTCTGCGGCTAGTACAATTAATCTTTAAAAATAGTTGCCCTCAAGTATCACTGAGCTGTTTTTTTTTTTTTTCTTTTACTTGTTTTATAGATAACAACAAAGTTCTTTATACAATTTTAAGAAAAACTCAGAAGTATTAAAACAAATCTTTAAAGAAAATATTCGTCAGTTAAATCTGTACGTGTTGTTGCATAATGTAACTGTGTTTCGGGATAAGTCCGGGTCCTTATAAGACAAAATCATTTTAACGATGGAACGTTCTGTCTAGAAAAGTTCCATAAATAAGCTTAGTATAGTTAGGTTGTATTATATATTCGATATAAGAAAATTTAAGTCATACAATATGAAGATTTGGGGTGGGCCAATTACAACGGCTAAAGGTGCCTGAAATTTCATTCTTAATAAATCATTGAAAATTGCAGAAAGAGCTCTAGCTTGAAAAATCCCATTGTCTCTAGGCTATATAAAATCATTGTATTGAGGCATATTCTTTACAAATGATGTGAGCCCTCCCAACCCCCAACCAATCCACCCTTACGAATTGTTCCAAGTAAGGGCTAGCCAGTAAAAAACAAGATGGCGGCGCCCATGAGGAAAACCGTTGAACTTTTCTATGATGTTGTTTCGCCATATACATGGATTGGTTTTGAAGTTTGTATTGATTTCAATTGAACAATGTTTATTTTACCATTATGCACATAGATTTTCTGCTGTCGTTCGTTCATGATGTCACTGGAAACACAACGTTCACTCTGTATGGACTTTGGACTATGATTTTTGGCATCGTTATTGTTTTAAACTAAATGCACTCAGACATTACTTTGTCTTTGTGATTGAGTTATGTTTGTAACTAATGATTGCCGGATTTGGTACAGCCAATCGAGTGAATCGACTGTGGACTGCGAAAATTGACTTAACATAACTATAACCAGGGACCTATATACTAAGTGTGGCGGTCAGACGGGTTCGATCGCCGGTGGCCAGATAGCTCAGTTGGTAGAGCACCTGACTGGAGATTCAGGGGGCCCGGGTTCGAATCCCGGTCTGGTCCGCTGCATTTTTCTCCTCTCCCGTTACATAAGTATATATAGGTCCCTGCTATAACATAACTATTAGTCTCAAACACATGTACATGTACTCGGGTCTTGGTTTATAAATATGTATACAATTGATGATGTAAAATATGTACTTCTTTTTTTTTTAATAAATTCATTAGGTATACATATTTATAAACCAAGACCCAAGTACCTTTGGTCTCAAACTAGATGGTCATGAAATGGTGGACTTTATTTTCCACAGCTTATGACCTTCTTATTACAATCACACCTTCCAAAATAAAAAGCTTTCTTTCACTAACAACTAAAAGTTTCCTTCAGTCTGAAAGGTAAATTTTATTTTTCACTGGTCCAATTTCAACAGAACACGCACAAACATGAATGCATACACACAAAAGCATGTTACTGTGTATCCTGTTATTAATTTTTTTTTTTTTTAGGATGGATTATTTTTTAGGGGAGAATTATAATGAAAAATATAACAGTGAAACATAATCAGAAGAAGTCTTTTTTTTTTTTTAATTTGCATCATGTTTTGTTCACAATCCTTTCTGTGTATGTTCAGTCTATTTCGAATAATACTACCTCTAGGAGGTGAACAAAGCCTTTAAAATGTATGGTCACATAGTACAGTTGTTTCTACTCAAAAAGACAGGCTGCTGCTGAGGAAATTTATAACTGGTTTGAACCTTTTAGCAACCTCATTACAGGTTCAAAGTTTCAGAAAGCCCTAAAACCTCTTTTTAATAGTCAGATATTTTGTTCCTCAATATTTTGCTCCAAGTTGCTCTGTTTGTGTGATCAGAGTTTGCTGTATTTTACTTTCAGCTGAACAAAGAAATTGGGAAAATATTATGAACATTTTTGGGGTGTTTTACATGTATATAACTCATAGACTCACACAAAAAAGATAAAGATATATTGAATTTCAATAGTGCAATATGAATTATTGATAGTATTATAACTTTTTTGAGCCATACATGTGATATGTACCAGCGGTACACAAAATGTACAGTTTTTTCAAGCCCATTCATTGTGTACCGGCGGGACACCAAAATTCACGGAATATGAAAATTTGTACAGTATTTTGAATTTCTCACTAAATGCCGCCATTTTCCTCTCATTATCTCTCGCGAGACACTGGAAAACGCCACCTGTGTTTGACACTTGACCTTCTGATAATTGAGTAGTGTACACAAACCATCGCGTGTGAAGGTGTGAACTGCCAATTGGGATAATTATCTTGTTATAAATCCGTATCAAGATACCCCTTTAGGTAGCTTTATTTTTAAAGGGGTACTTAATTATTGTTTCGTAGCTTGATTGAAAAAAAATTAAGCCAACTTCTAAAGTTGATATACACGACTTAATAATATACATGAATCTGACCCAGATCTCCGTAGGTATAAAATATACGATGTTTATTACCATGATTACGCTGAAATAAAGGATATAGTTTTAAGTTTTTATGTGCTGAAATTTATGTATGATTGTATTTGCTGCTGTTATTTAGCATTGCTGATGTATATAACAGTAATATGAACAAGATGTAAATTGGAGACATTGACTCTCACGTTAATACTATATAAAGCTGTCAAACAAACTATCATTAAACTAGCTTAATTTATAGTCGATTCATAAGAACACTGTGATTATAAAACACAATATATGAATTTTAAAGAATTCAAATCTCCATGACAACTTTTAAAATAAGACATTTGCAAGAATTTCTATTTGTTGGTTTAGAAGTAAGGTGCCTTATCAAAAGAATTTAAGCGATATTTTATACTGTTTTTTGTACCGTTTTTGATAGGCAGTGTACAGTTTTTTCACCCAAATTCCAGTTTTTTTATGGCTCCTGTACAGTTTTGTGGTCTGTGACTTATCACATGACAATGTATGTTGAGCATATATATATAACATCACATTTCTGTATTTTAGGTATTGTGTAGATACAGAACAAAATGGCCAAATATGGATCTGCAGCTGAAACCTTTCTTTCTGGGAGGAGTCATGAAAGAATCAGGTAGATAATTCTGGAATTAGATTACTTCTACTGTATACAGGGAAATTTTCATCCCCATTTTATTTTCACCCCTTTCACCCTACTAGCAAGTGGGCAAAATTAAAACAGGGCAAATTAAAAAAACACAGTATTATTTCTTAAACGGAACTGTGATTGGGCAAATTTAAAATGGGACAAAAATATATTGCAAGTGTGAAAGGGCAAAAATAACACAGGGCAAAAATAACCCTGTATACAGTATTAAATTGAAATACTTATAATGAATTTTATTCATGGAGTGTTGGAGTTCTGGGGGGCAACATGACATTATTTTAGTAATTTTTTGCCTGATTTTGAACCTAATTTTTGACATGGAGTCATGAATGTTTGATACAGAAGTCATTTTTTTAAATAATTGGAATTTTATCCATTTAACCAAATTCATGATAGACCCTGAATATGAAATACACATTTTCTTTAATTTTTTTTTTGCAGGAAACAAACCCCCTGCCATGGTGCCAAATAAAGGTACATACATGCTGAAAGACATACAGAGGCTGGGAAAATATTATGGTATTCCTCTGAAACAGCCCAAGGTTTGTTACTAAAAAAACAAAGATCTGACTCATTTGTGATGCGAAGGCTAAAACTGAAATACAGAAACTTACTTTTCATCAATTTCTTTATATTTTATATTTTTTTTCACTTGTATATTGATAGAGGTTTTTTTTTTTTAGTAAAACAACACTAATTTTATTGAAAACAAATGAATTTATTGTATTGTCAAAAATATATACCATAGCTTTAAATTTTTATAAATATTTTCTTATATGCATAACAGTATGTACATATATTTCATACATCATGTTCTTTACATGTAGATGAATAGAGTGTCATTTCCTATGAAGTAATCATTCTGCCAGTCTTTTTTATTGTGTTCTGACTTTTCCAGGATTTTGCCAGTGTTATGTTTGGTACACTCCCAGTTCAAAGATTCCTGACTGCAGTGGACATGACCAACCCAGAATATACAGAGGAACTCTCCAGACAGTTCTGGTTCCGAATTTGGAAAAATGTACAGTATTCCAATGTGGATGGTTATTTTTTTTGGAGGATGAACACAAAAGATTTTATATTCTGTCTGGCACACCAATTTTTGATGTTTTAAATCCTTGAAAGATTTAATCAAAGATACAATTACATGTAATAGTTATTTTTATTTTATTATTTTTTTTTTTTTTTTGGTCTCTAAGGTCAAGAAACTGGGAAGGGGGGTTGATAATAATCACGAAATTTAAATAAAAAAAAAAATTGGATGTATTTAAAATAGGAAAAGGCTTCAAACATGGCATTTATATTACATGTATATACAAGTAAATGAATCTGATTTTCAGACTGCAGCTAATCATGTTAAATCAAGGTCATACATAGGAAGTTGGGGTTAAAGTTAAAAATAAAAATGTACTAGTATAATTTTCTGGGATAATGTGTTCCTTAATCATTGTTTTTTGAATATTTAGAAATCAATCAAAAGAATAAAATAAAAGTAAAAAATAATTTTTACTGTAATTTTTTTTTATGTTAAACATGTTAATTTTTGAAAGGTAAAAAGTTATTTTGGTCCAATCAAAGAGAACAAATCTTTATCTTCTCATATCTCTCTACAGGATGAGCCAGTCACAGAACCTCAACATTTTGCAGAGGTGGGTATGTTTCTGAGGAAAACAGTAATACATGTATTTTCTTGTCATCATCAAAATACAGTAATTTTTTTAGCTTTTCGGTGAAGTCGAGATGAGTTATGCTATACCCCCGGCGTCGGCATCAGCGTCCCGGTTAAAGTTTTAGGAGCAAGTCCATTCCAAGTAACTATAAGCCCTAACGGACCAAACTTGCATGGGTGATGCATCTAGGGATGGACACTACCACACTTGCTTCAGATGCTGGATCTGACCTAGATTTTCCAGATGAGTGAACAGGTTAAAGTTTTTGGAGCAGGTCCATTCCCAAGTAACTATTAGCCCTACCTGGACCAAACTTGCATGGGTGATGCATCTAAGGATGGACACTACCACACTTGCTTCGGATGCTGGATCTGACCTACATTTTCCAGATGAGTGACCAGGTTAAAGTTTTTGGAGCAGGTCCATTCCCAAGTAACTATTAGCTCTACCTGGACCAAACTTGCATGGGTGATGTATCTAAGGATGGACACTACCACACTTGTTTCAGATGCTGGATCTGACCTAGATATTCCAGATGAGTGACCAAGTTAAAGTATTTGGAGCAGGTCCATTCCCAAGTAACTATTAGCTCTACCTTGAACAAACTTGCATGGATGATGCATCAAGGGATGGACACTACCACACATGCTTCGGATGCTGGATCTGACCTAGATATTCCAGATGAGTGACCAGGTTACAGTTTTTGGAGCAGGTCCATTCCCAAGTAACTATAAGCTCTACCTTGACCAACTTGCATGGATGATGCATCTTGGGATGTACGCTAACCAACCTGCTTCGGATGCTGGATTCGACCTAGATTTTCCACATGAGTGAATTTTAGATCATATTTCAACCAAATTAGCATAAATGATGTAACTTGGGATGGTCAATTCCAGACTTGCTTTGGATTCTGAATCTGACCTACATTTTCCAGATGAGTGACCGGGATAATTTTTTTGGAATAGCTATATAACATTATGGCCTGTTATGATTAAACTTAAATAGATGGTGCATCTAAGGATGAAAACTTCCAGACTTACTTTGGATGTTGGAACTGACCAAAATTTTCTTGATTAGTAAACAGGATAAACGTTTTTTGAACAGGTCTATTTCCAAGTAACTATGAGTCGTACTTAAACCAAACTTGCATGGATATTGATCTTGGGATATTCACTAACTAAAAAAAGAATATGATGTGAAATTTGCCTTATTTAAAGATAACATTCGTGGAGGTGAGCTTCGTAATCTTTGATTACCTATGTTTTTAATAAGTATGTATATGTACAGTATGTTTGTACTTTCCTTTTTACACAAGTTTCTCATTGTAATTTGACAAAGTGTAGAAGATAATTGATATCTTCATACATTCTGTGAACTTTCTTTAGCATCAGTTTGTTTATAAGAAGTGATTTTTTTGTTCGTCCCAGGCCGCCAAAAAAGCTGGAATGAGCGAGGATATCATATCATCAGCTTTAAAGAGAATGAGTGAGCCAGACGTGAAGAATAGACTCACCCAGTACACAAAACAGGCCTTAGATGATGGGGTAATTGATGAAGAGCATTTAAAATCTCCACAGAAAATATGATACTCAGTTTGTTTTAATTACATTGTATTTACAGGTATCTTTCTCATTTTAAGATAAAGTTTCATGAAAATTCTTATTAAATGGAAATATGCTATATGACCAGTATATGACTAACAAAAATTAGTATGATTTGATATGTGTACCTTGTGCTTTTGTCAGAAAAACTTCAATTATTACACACTTAAACATTACCAATTTTTTATAAAAAGGGATATAACTCTAGTAAAATTTGATATACAATAAGTCTTCTTTTTTTTCAGGCATTTGGAAGCCCTTGGATTATTGCACACATTAATGGGAAAAAGGAATCGGTGTTTGGATCAGATAGATTTCCAATATTAGCCATGTTGTTAGGCAAGTATTATTTCTAAATCAAGTAAACCAGCCATAATCTTGAAGTGCTACTTACCCTCACAGGTTTTTTGCAAGGATGGTATAAAAGGAAAAGTTTGGTCAGTGTGAACAAGTCATCAATATCAGTATCTTGAATGTAAAGATAATTGGGGGTTGGGGGTTGGATTGAAAATCACTTGTAAATATCTTCAACTAACAATAATGAAGTGGACTCAACAGGAAAGTTGTTTACTGTATAATAGACGGGGACAGTATAAGATTTCTTCGATCTGTGATACAACAATAACTTGAAAACTAAGGCTAAAAGTCAAGGCTATGTGGAGTATTAAAATTTATACATTCTCTTGGTTGATGATGCCACAATGTTACATACCCTAACCATTTCTATCATTACCAGCTGTATCTGTGGTGGACTTTGGGTAAAGCTGGAATTCACTTTAATTATTTTTTACTTACAACAGTATGACTTACAAATATGCCAGTATCCATTAACAGATAATCAGCATTTATTAAATCTGTTTTATACAGTATCTTGAACAATTTTTTTCCCAACTGATTATAGGTATATGCATTATGTTCAAATTTATTTGTATATTTATGGAAAGTATATAAAGAAACATGTATAGATTAAAACCATACATCTAAAACCATTTTGCAGATCACCAGTTTTATTTCTTTCATTCATATGATGTAAATTTTATTCCAATTCTTTTAATAATTTCAGAGGAAGAATGGCATGGTCCTTTGAAGGAATTATCTAAGCTGTAAAATCGAAGTTTGAAGAAATTTTGGAATTCAATCAATATATAGAATGGAAATGTTATCCAAGCAACTTATTTTCTTGCCCTGAGGTCAGTTCAGTAAAAGAAGTGTTTGTGTGTATTGATGGCAGCATATATATAGAACTCTTCATTGAGAAGACCAAATGATGTAAGGTTGTTCAATACATTAAATGTAAAAAGTGCATTTTCAATGTCTGTGATAATAATCAGGTAATATTAAAATGATAAATATTTGATGTTTTGTTTTATATATTGTGTATCTGGTTGAAAAAAAAATTGTCAATGCAAAGGAGGATTATATATGTTGAATGTATGTATCAATTTGCACAGTTTCCTGTGTGTGGATTTTGTCAATTTCCACAATTTACCACTTGAGATGACGGATCAGAGAGCTTTTGTTATTATGGGCCGCAGAAGCAGCCGATCTATTTGTAGTTGTGTTAGAAAGTGCATATGGGGAAATGAGACCTTATTTCTTCACTAGTTGAGTAAAATAATTCTTTAAAGTCTTATGATAACATGTATAAAATCATGAGAAATTTTTTTTTTTTTTTTAAATTTGCTTAAAATTAATTCTTAACTTTTTTTTTATTATGTTTCAGTTTCATTTTCATTCCTCATCAGATAATTATTAATTGATGAGTATATAAAAAGAGTTTACAATAGGTACTCCCCGACTTGGGAGTGTGTAAATATGAATGCTAATCGTTATAATTTTCCAGATAATAATTAAGTGGAAAAAGTGCATGATGAATAAAAAATGAAAAGTTGTCCAACTAGAAAAAATTGTTTTGAATATGCCACAGCTGTGAATGACACAAGTATATTTTTCTACATTTTGAACCATGCCATGCAAAGCATAGCCTACTCTGCAGAAATCATCGGCATCATCACATGACAAAGATCCAGGGTATCTGCACATGGTTCATCTTAATTTCTGAATACGATAAACAGGCCTACATCTTCATTTTGATGACAATAAATTCTTTTCATTTATCACCGACATTATTACATCGACGAATCAATTTGATGAACAAAGTGATTAAAATTTCTATTTGTTTTATTTTATTTTACTTATTTATTTATTCATTTTTTAATTATTTATTTTTTTAATTAATTATTTATTTTTTTATTTAATTTTGCTTTGAAGACTGAAATAAAAGTGAGCATGCTTCAACTTTGAATATCTTGTGCTTTCCTTGGATGCAAAATTTTGTTTGTGGCCGAATTGATGCTTTGCATCAATTTTACTTGTGGCTATTTGTGTGCTTTGCAAACACTCTTTGGAATGCAGACCATATTTCAAGAACCTTTTGAATGCCACGATTATATTTATCAAATTTGTCACAGAGAATCCTTTTGTTAAAGGCTTTCATTAACAGGAACAATAGAACAAGAAGTGTTTGTGAAACACTGATTCCCCCGTATAGCAGCTCAGGGCCAAAGTTAAAGTTTTTCAAATGTAGGTTAAACTCCAAGGTCAAGAGTTCAAACATTTTGATATCCGAAGAAAGATCTTCTCAAGGAATACAGATGTGAACTATAATAGCCCTAGTACCAACCATTCAGAAAATATGGCCAAGGTTAAAGTTTTAAAAATGTAAGCCAAAATCCAAGGTCAAGAGGTCAGAAATGTTTGCATTAAGGACATACACAACGTAGTTTGAACTTTATTGTCTTTTTCCCTGGAGTTGAAGAGTTCCAATACTTAAAGGAATTGTGTGCTACATTTGTATATCTATATATGCTGTTGTACACTTCTTCTAAAACAAAACATCTAGAATATGTGTTTAGTAATTTTTGTGTATTTTTCTTTGAATTATACAAGAATTTTCATCAATTGATATCTTTTCAAAACCCCTGGTAATGCATGCTGATTTTTTGTCGACGAACATCTGATGGCACTATATCTTTAATTAAGAATATCTTGAAAAATTATCAGTAGGTAAGGTACGTTGCGTATGTCCTTAAAAGAAAGATCTTGTCACAAGGAATACATGTGAATGAAAGTCCTAGCATCCATCATTCAAAAGTTGTGGCCAAGGTTGAAATTTTTCAAAAGTAGGTCAAAGGTCAAGGTCGAAAAGTGTTTGTATCCAAAGAAAGGTCTGGACACATGGAATACACATGTGAAACATAAAAGCACCGATGGTTCAAAAGTTAAGGCCAAGGTTAAAAAAATTGGTAAAATTTTGCAGAAGTAGGTCGAGGTCAAACATGTTGGTCTTGTCACAAGGAATATACTGTAACAATTGAAATATGAAATCCCTAACCCAAAAGAAAGTTGTGATGGTTACATTTTGTTTTCTTACTTGGAAAATAGGGGGTTGATGTCCTCTTCTTTGCTCACCTGAGCTGAAAGCTCAAGTGAGCTTTTCTGATCACCTGTTGTCCGTCCGTCTGTAAACTTTTCACATTTTAAACTTCTTCTCAAGAACCACTAGGCCAATTTTAACCAAAGTTGAAGGGGATTTTAAATTGTTAAAATGAAGGACCAAACCTTTCCATGGGAAGATAATAAATAGGGTGAGGTCACTAAAAAATTCTTCTTCTCAAGAACCACTGGTCCAGAAAAGCTGAAACTTATATGAAAGCTCCCTGAGGTAGTATAGATTTTAAATTGTTCACATCATGGCCCCAGGGATTGGGTGGGTTCACAACAGGGGATCACAGTTTTACAATGAAATACATAGGAACAATCTTTAAAAATCTTCTTCTCAACAACCACTGGGCCAGAAAATCCAAAACTTATGTGGAAAGTTCCTGAGGTAGTGTAGACTCAAAATTGTTCATATCATGGTCCCAGGGGTAGAGTGGGGCCACAATAGAGATTACATCAGGAAAATTCTTAAAAACTCCTTTACTCAAGAACAGCAAAGCTATGGTGAATCATATTAAAGTAGAAGCATCCTCTGGTAGTGTAGATTCATTTTTGTTCAAATCATGGCCATTAATGAAAATCAAAATTTTACATAGGAATACATGTATATTGGGGAAAAAAAGCTGATGCAGAACAGCTGGGCCAAAGTGACTCAGGTGAGCATTGTGGCTAACCCTAACCCTGGGCCTCTTGTTTAATTACTAACATTAATTGACTGATAAATATAAACACAATCTAAATCAAATTTGAGCTTTATTAAAACAATTTTAACAATGAACCACACACTTCTTGCAAAAGGAATCAGTAGTAACTAATAAAAACATAAAATGTTATGTGAAATATTTACTAGAACCACATGATGCAAGATTTATTCTCTTTCCATGTAACTACAGGAGGCCCATGGGCCCTAACAATCACCTGAATATCACAAATTTTTCAGGCTATGACCAACTTAGTCCCATCTTAAACTATAACTTAAATTTAAAAACTGGCAAAGGAATTTCTTCATTATTAAACTGCATGAAGTTTGCCTCCTTGAGACCAGAAGTAAAGAAGATTTTTAAATATATACACATAATACATGCATTTCAATTTCAACATATGCCCCATCTTCAGGCCTGAGCACGAGGCAACAAATTCCACAATATGTTTAAAGTCTCATACCCTTACTGGCTTCATGCATACATTTTGATTGCTAAATGTCTAGGAATATGGAAGGTTTCAAAAATATACTACAGTAATTTTCAATATATGTCCATCTTGGCCCCACCCAAGCCAGAACCCAGGGATCATGAATTTTACAGTCTTAGGGGGCTGGTAGTTCTTTATGTTCAGTTTGCCTGCTAGAGGACCAAGTTGCATTCTAGATATATATGGTCAGAAGTATAGATTTTCATAGGTGTAATGTACTTTCAATATATGATTAACTTAGCCCCACCCAGGGGTCTGGACCCAGGTACCTTTTGATAGAGGGCAAAGAGCTCGTAATAATTTTGCAGACAGATGAACAGGAGTATAGAGAAGCATTTTTTTAAAAAACATTGCATAAATTTTGATGGTTTTGGCCCCAACCCTTCAGCACTATTGACTTTCTGAGTAGAAACTGAAAATCTTTGAAAGCTTACAAAAATGCACCATGGATCGGAACCCAAAGCATTAAGTCCACTGAGGCACATAGATGACCTAAATTAACTCATTTTCTAATAAAGTAATTCAACATTGTCTAAAATACATGGGTAATTAAAAAAGATATATCAAAAAGATAACTTTACCTCTCTGTAAAGTGTATAAACATATAGTAAATATATGCAACACATATACATTTCTGAACGTAATATCAGTAACCCACAGGACTTCTCTAATTTTGTTTTCATAAAAAATACCATTTCTCAATGCTAGACAACTCAGTCTATAACTTTCTTCCTTCTGCAGAGCTAGAATTGGGCAACATTGGACCACTCAAACGATTACTACTGCGACGGCATTGCAATGATAAATTCAGAAATTAAAACAGAAATGCATTTACAAAGTACATGTTATTACATGTACCCCCCCCCCTTTTTTTAAAAAAGAAAATCAATATACAATAGAATATGTATAAACATTGAATGCCATTAACTTATATATTACAAATATAGTATATGTACACATATTTCTGCTAGACTAAGCGTTATACTTCAATGACAGGTCTATGCAATATTTTTAAAGGGCAAAAACAATCAAGCAACAATAATAAAAGACATAATAAAGCTTGTAGCTTATCAGTCAATTCCATGCACAAGAACAAAAAAAAGAAAGAATGTTACATGCACAAGAATACATTGAATGTTTTGATACATGTATATTAGTCAACAATTTTATCTGGTACCAAAACTCAGAAAATATACATTAAATTTTATTTATTTAAAATTAACCAAGAAAAAATGAGATTACATTTTTGCACTGGATGAAATGAATAGAATAAACCTGTATTATGTCATACATGTGTAAGAGGACAAAAAACCTATTTACTTTTGCATATTTTTGTGATATTCAATGCATTCTTTGTCTTTCTTAAAAATATGACCGATTACCTATTTATACAAAAATACATTGTACAACTGTAGTACATGCATAACTTAATACAAAAAATAATTACAAATGCTACAGTTTTAAGCATCATTTTTCTCCTTATTCTTTTTGAACATGTACACCACAATTCAGAAAATTTCAGCAAAATTCTTAATATGCAAAACTTGTTGCCCCATTTTGTGGGGGATTGATGAACCATTTTTTTGTCATTGAAGTTGATGGGAATGGCATCTGTACACAGGTTTCTGATGCATTTTCATGGTGTTTTTTCTGTGAAACTCTTCGGTTTATCTGTTGAAAAGAAACATGTATTTGTGCAACAAATGACCCCAAGTAGAGCACAAATCAATTTCACCATGTTTATCTAATTGATTTCCACTTTAGCCCCAAAAATTTAATATTAGTTTCTTAAGCCAAAAATTTCAAAATTCAATGTGGCATGCAGGTCTTTTTTTTTTTTTTTTTTTTTTTTTTTTGAATCAGGTGTTATCTTTTTTTCTTGTCAGCCAAAAAAAAAAAGGTAATATCAACTGATTCTTACTTTTGTGTACTGTTATATCAATCATAATATGCACTCAACTTTAAATAATGTTATTCAAAGCATTTCTATAAAAAAAAAAAATTAATTCATATAGCACTGTTTTAAAAAAAAGGAATATATTGTGTATTTAATAAGAGCGTCTTCATATTAGCAACAATTCTGAAAAGGGGCATAACTCAATTTTTATGCCCCATAATCGAAAATTTGGGGGTATATAGTTTTTGCCCTGTCTGTCCCTCTGTCTGTCTGTCTGTGTGCAAAAACTTTAACATTGCCCATAACTTTTGATTAGTTAGAGCTATGGCTTTCATATTTCACATGTGTATTCCTTGTGACAAGATCTTTCTTTGGGTACCATCATATTTGACCTTTTGGCCTTGACCTTGGAGTTTGACCCAGTTTTACAAAATTTTACCCAACTTTTAACCTTGGCCATAACTTTTGAACAATTGGTGCTAGGGCTTTCATACTTCACATGGGTAATCCTTGTCGCAAGACCTTCCTTTGGATACCAACAACTTTGACCCTTTGACCTTGAACTAGGAGTTTGACCTACTTTTGAAAAACTTAACCTTGGCCATAACTTTTGAATGGTTGGTGCTAGGGCTTTCCTACTTCACAGAAGTAATCCTTGTGACAAGACCTTCTTACTATTGAGTGGTTCCTGGATATGAACAACTTTGACCCTTTGACCTTGACCTTGGAGTTTGACCTACTTTTGGAAAACTTTAACCTTGACCATATAATCTGAACAGTTGGTGCTAGGGCTTTCATACTTCACACATGTAAACCTTCCTTTCAGTTTGGATACCAAAAACTTTGACCCTTTGACCTATGAAACTATAGATTAATTTTTTTGGCCTTATACATGTCCATATGTAGATACAGTACATAACATAAGGGTTGTCAACTCGTACAACGTACCCTGTTAGCCATATACTTGTTGGAAATTTTAATTATCAAATACCAAAATTACTACCTCCTTAATCAGAACAAGTCAAATCTGCATTTTTTTTTAATTTTCGTAAAAATACCTTACTTGGACATAAAAATCAATGTGCTTGGTAAGTGTTTACAAAGCAGCTATGATACAATTTATGTCAGTTAGCCTAAGATGGCTTATTCATACCCCATGGAATGTTGCTAAAAACCATGAAATTTGTGTACACATTTGTACATACATGTATGAGGGAATTAGTCATTTAAAATTTGAAAATATTTTCAAAAAAAGTTACTTACATCAGTGAGCATGTCCATGACATGTTCACTATGAGCTTGTTCCTCAAACACACTGACAAACTCCTGGATAAACCAGCTTCCTTCATTTGTATCTCTGTAAGAACTATATCCTACAATGGACGACAATGCTCATTTGAATCACTTCAGTTACCTACCGTAATATTAATTATCAAACAATGTGTGTCTCTTGAATTAGCCACTTTTTTTCTTTTCTTTTAATATTATTACCATCCTAAGCATGCCAGGTAAAATAATAGAAAACTTTAAGCAAACAAAGTTCTAAATATTCAGTTGAACTTCAGTTACCTATCATCAATACAATGTATGTCAAATACCATGAATATGTCAGAGTTATTTAGAATAATCTAACTGTGCCTCGGGACAAGCCCTGGCCAAGGCAGAAAAGAAACAGCATGAAAGGTGCTTAGATATGATTTCCACAAATACAAGTACATTTACAGTAATAACGAACCTCAGAGTTGACTTTGCAATGACAAAACAACAGGTACACTCTCAAATATTTTACCTGGAAATGTAGAGAAGCACAAAAGGAGATCCTGCATATCCAAAATCTGTCTGTCTGTTGATTCCGCATTGGGTCCATCTTTCTGAAGCTTATCTGTCTGTACCGTACTGCTCACTTTTAGGGTATTATTAATTTCTATTGATTCTCCACTCTTATCTTGATAAGAAAAAGAAATATAAAACCAACATTTAAATTATTTTGATAATTCTTTAATTTTCAGTATCATTCATGTACTATCTCATGTGGTTCAGGACTATTCATGACTAAATTCTACATTCAAAAGAAAAAAAGAGGAAGAAGTGGTCCTAATAGAACTACTGTAACACTGTAAGTTTCAGTGCAAGGTACATGTAATGGTGCACATTTGAAGAAAAAAAAAAGTTTTAAAACCTTTTTTTCAATAAAAATTTACACTGACATTTCCATTGTAACTGCCTCAAAACATATCTTTTGGACAAGAGCAAACAATATTGCCGGTTTTCTGCATTACAAAGTTTTGATCAAAACAACAACTTTTATGCATTTTGAAACTTTGAATTGTTTAAAAAGGATTCTGACACAGAATTATGACACTTCTTCAAATTGTTCTTACAGTCCCAAGCAATACAAGGAAAGTAAACTCTTTACATACGGAAGCATACTGATAACTCATGCATGTCAGTCAGACACATATAAAACAGACAAAAGAGTGACATCAGTATAATGGTTTAATTAATTTGTAGGTTTTATTACTTCACAGCTATTTTTCTCCCCATGAAATTACTCTTCAAAACTGACTAACCCCCACCCAACCAACAGTCAGGAGTTACATCTACCCACCCCAACCCCCATCCTCTAGAATATTTAATGAAAATTAACAACAACAAACCCACCCACCCACCCACCCCCCTCCAAAAAAAAACAATATATAAAAAATTGATTGACGCTCAATGTTTCTCCTCAGAAAAGTTTTACTGAAATATTTGTGATCCAAGATACATAGGTACAACCTAAAATGATGCATTTCATCTTTGGTCTACTTTGGTACTTAAAGTGAGCCAAAGATTTTTATACATGTTCCCCTTTTTGAATGCATACCTTAACTAGTTATGCTCTAAAGTCTATGCTTTTATAACTGTATGTATCATTGAGCATTCTACACAGTGAAATTTTCACCCCCATTTTATTTTCACCCCTTTCACTCTCATTGAAATGGGTGAATATAAAATGGGTTGAATTCATAAACAAAACAGTATTAACTCTAACAAAATTTGTCTGGGTGAATTGAAAATGGGGGCTAAATTGTTTGCGAGTGTGAAAGGGCGAAAATTACATAGGGCAAAAATACCCCTGTATATAGTACCTCCTCTGCATGCGTTGAAAATGAACATCTTTGGTTTGCCTCTCATCATGGGGCATCCTTTAGCTGAGAAGAAATGAAAAATGTCATAAACATCTATTCCTCTTCCATCTACTCCACATATGATGTTGTCACTGGTTCCATGGGAAAGCACTGCTAACACCATACAGTCTGTATTTTCCAAGTCAGTACGATTTGCAAAAACTTGAAATTCTCTTACCATTTTCTGAAAATATTTAATATATGATATAAAGTATGATATTTACGAAAAAAAATTACTACAAGGCATAAAAAGAAAAAAACTAAGTGATGCAGTGAATTATATTTGATTTTTTCATAAATATTATGCAAGGTTTTACTAAACCATTCTTGAACAAGTCAAATATAAATTTAAACAAGAGGCCCATGGGCCACATGGCTCACCTGAGCACATTGGCTAGGGAAAAAAAGCAAAAATCAATTCAGTATTTAAAAGTTTATGGGGGGGGGGTGAATTTTAAACTACCTGATGATGCTTTCATATCAATATAACAAATGGCTTTGCTGTTCTTGAGCAGTAGATTTTTTTTTCCCATATATTCATTTGTAAAAGTTTGATCCCCCATTGTGGCCCCACCCTACCCCCGGGGGCCCTCATTCGAACAAATTTCATTCTACACTACCCAAGGATGCCTCCATATCAATTTGACTAATCATGGCTTTTCTGTTCTTGAGAAAAAGATTTTTCCTATATATTCCTCTGTAAACTTTGATTACCCATTGTGGCCCCACCCTACCTCCAGGGGTCATGATTTGAACAAATTTGAATCTACACTACCTGAAGATGCTTCCATATAAATATAATCAATCATGGCTTTGCTGTTCTTAAGAAGAAGATTTTTAGAGACATTTTCCTATATATATTTCTATGTAAAACTTTGATCACCCATTATGGCCCCACCCAACCCCCGGGGGTCATGATTTGAACAAACTTGAATCTACACTACCTGAGGATGCTTCCATATAAATATGACAAATCATGGCTTTACTGTTCTTAAAAAGAAGATTTTTAAAGTTTTTTCTATATATTCTTATGAAAAACTTTGATCCCCCATTGTGGCCCCACCCTACCCCCGGGGGCCCTAATTTGAACAAATTTCATTCTACACAACTCAAGGATGCCTCCATATCAATATCACTAATCATGGTTTTTCTGTTCTTGAGAAAATGATTTTTTCCTATATATTCCTCTGAAAACTTTGATCACCCACTGAGGCCCCACCCTACCTCCGGGGGTCATGATTTGAACAAACTTGAATCTACACTACCTGAGGATGCTTCCATATAAATATGACCAATCATGGCTTTGCTGTTCTTAAGAAGAAGATTTTTAAAGATAATTTCCTATATATTTCTATGTAAAATTTTGATCCCCCATTGTGGCCCCACCCTACCCCCGGGGGTCATGATTTGAACAAACTTGAATCTACACTACCTGAGGATGCTTCCATATAAATATGACCAATCGTGGCTTTGCTGACTGACAGACGGACGGCGGACAAAATGTGATCAGAATAGCTCACTTGAGCTTTGGGCTCAGGTGAGCTAAAACAAAGAGTTTTCTTCTGGATCTTATACATCTGTACAAGGTTTTTCTAAACCATTCCTGAGAAATTTTATTGACTAAATACAATTACTGAAGTTCACCTTTTTTTTAAAATTTGCATTCTTCAATAAAATTTGTTATGACTGACATATCTGAAATTACTGCATTTGGGGGGGGGGGGGAGCTAAGGCAACAGTTCCTATTCACTGTAACCCCTGGCCTGAAATATTTTACATAATTATCTGATCTTGCATTTTGAATCTTCATTTTGTAGGTAAAATAATAAATATCCCTTACATTGAAAGATTAAGACAAAGAGTTACGATAATTTTGACAAAGACTTTTTAAATGGCAGATTCATCAAATGTGAATGGTATGAGTGTAAAGAGAAAGTTTTGTGTGAAGGTTTATGAAATTATATACTGTAAATTACCTCCACAGTCAGGTTATCCTTTACTACCACCTTAAAACTTAAACTTTTGAACAGATCCTTCAGTTTTTGGCAATCATGTTCCGTCCCTGTACGATCCTTATGGTTCTTGCCGAAGTCTTTATTATTAATTATGAGGACTATGCCTCTTGGGTCTGATTCCATGACATAACACTGAAAATGAAGAGACACAATATTTAAATATCCAGGGTTGTCACTAAGAATTGAAATAGAAGGGAACATTTAAAAAGTAGGTGGGGATCTGGGGTACCTCCCCTAATTGGGAAATTAGGAGAAATATCGAAGTAACTCATTAGGCTATATCATTATAGGCCGGGAAATTCCCCAGCCCCCGGGCCTTAGGGACAACCCAGAAAATCTATGATAATTTTAATGAAACTAAAATAACAAACATATCACATGTAGAATAATTCAGATTACATTATGATATGTTGATAAATCACCTTATCCAGGCTTCTACTCTGATGGTAAAAACTAATTGGCATGGTCATTGGTGGATTAAGACTGTATGAAGAACTGCTTGTATCTGAAGGTTGAATGGAAAATCCTTCTGAAAATTAAAAATTTAATTCCTCACAATCTTTCTTTACATTGTACTGCATACATACATAAGTAGTCTATATTTTACCAACATGTTCAAATAATATTGCATATACTGATCATTAATAAAATTTCATGATATCTTAGAATAGTAAAACATGTGACTGTCTCTATAGTGATGCACAGCTTGAATAAATAGGAAATTCATATTTAAAAAGAAAGTGCTAAAGTTTCATCCTGTAATAGAAACAATGAATAATTAGCCTTTTTTAAAAGAATTACAGATATGCACATTGTTTCTCAATTTCAGCTGTCCCTTGTAATTTTCTTCTTTGAGTGTGTTTTACAGTAAACAAGACTTGGATACCTTGATATGGTTACTCTATAATAGCCATATACTGACAAGAAAATTTTGAATCTATTTACCATTTACTTTTTCAATTTGGTTTCCACAATTCATATTTAAATTTATCAGACAATATACCATATATACTCGCCTATAAGTCGGCTTTTTGGGAGTTAAATTTTGTCCCAAACTCTATATCCGACTTATAGGCGAGTCATTGAAAAAACTGGCATTTTTCTGGACAACCAAATGTGGTATTTTATAAACATTTCCGATGATTATCGTTGAATAAATTCTGGATATAGTATATCATTTATATATGCTAAGATTATACATAAAATACAAGTATTTACATATTTTAGTTTATTGTATTGTAGTTTATTTTTACCTTCAGTGTACATTACTTATTTGTTTAATGACTTAGAATTAAATATTGGCGTCATTTCTAAAAATATTAATTAAAACCAGGTTAAAACATCAGAGCATTGATTTGAAATTGTTAACCAACTCTGGCAAAATTTGTACCGACTTATAAGCGGGTCAGTGGCAAATCATACCAAAATTACCTAAAAAAATACAACCAACTTATAGGTGGACCGACTTATAGGCGAGTATATACGGTACATATATGTATATATATTTACTATATAAAATAATAACACATGGACTTGCAAGAAAAGGCTCACCATTCTGTCTGTTGTCAGAGCCTCTCAGGAGCACCTCTTCTGTGTTAAGATCAATATGATTGTCCTCGTCATCAACGTCCATGCTTGTTGGATTTAACAAGGCCTCTGACTCTAGATCCAGTGTGTCGTCATCTGCTGATTCACTGGGAACTGATGATTCTGTCCATGGTACCAAAGAGATACATGTAATGAATAATGTAACCAAGAAAATATACTGCATAATGGGTTTTGTCTGTGTCACAATTTTTGTGAAAATATTCCAAAATACTGTTATTTTTATAATTTGTGTGGTAATATTTTTGTGATTCTTCCTGTGGTTTTGAGTTATCTGTGTAATCTATTTTGTATATAATTTGTTACAATTGAATTTTATGAGAATTTTCTTTTCTTTTTTTGTGATTTAAAAATACTTCCCAAGAAAGCAAAAATTGTTTCATCAAAAAAATAATCTGTTACATGTATATGGTAAATACTTTAATTAAAGATCTCCCGGTATTGATTATTGTCTTAGGTGATAGTGAGAAAAATAACCATAATACGGAAAAAAAAGGTTTCATTTTAAACAAGTTTGCATGTTCAAAGAAATTATTATTCTGTACTTAATAGGTCATAAGGTGAAACACTGTTTCAAAAAGTAAAATTTTAGTGTATGTTATTATGAAAAATAAATCTTTAAAATTCCAAATAACAAGGTGGTACATGTTAAAATATATAACTAAAAATCTGGGGACAATATAGTTAGATCAATATAAGATTTTCAGCAAAATTACTGCAAACATAAAATGTCTACTGTTATCTTCATTTCATATGCATGCAACTTACCCGTTTCAGTAACACTGAGACTCCCTGTTTCTGATCTGGAACTTGATGCCATAGAAGATGTTAAAGGAGAAGCATTGCTGGAACTGAAGTTTGATGCTGATGTTCCCAAAGACATGGAATTTGGTTCAAAAATTGGATGGCTGGTGGTGGGCTCAGCAGTGGTGTTTCTGGCATTAAAGTTTAAGTTAGCTGCTTTCACAGGATTTGAAAAACCACTGGATATGCTAGAAGGATGAATTTCTGAATAACTTTCATTAGTTGCTTGTATTGGAACTGAAGTATTTGGTTCTTTTTGTCTCCTCACAAGTTCCTCATTTTTTCTTATTTGGTTTGCAAGGAAACGGTATCCACTTATATCGAGAACTTGAAGAAATGCCTGATAAGCGTTGGGTCCTCTTCTAACCAGATCATCCAGGAGTCTGCGGACTTTGTCAATACGTGTCCTCTCCGCCTGTTAAGACAGTCTCACTTAGAATTTCAAAGTTTAAGTTATGAAGTATCATGTACGATATCAAATATTTCATACATAACAGAGTCTGATAAAAAAGAAAAAAGAAAAAAAAGTTAATGGTACTATGTGATTCAACTAGAAAATGACCAATACAGTACTTTCATTTTATCATAATAAAACAAATAAGATGTAATTACAGTGTACCAATCTACGTAAACATTTTTTTCTACGTTAATTAGCTCATGCATTTCTCTCTTATCAATTCTTTTGTCTGTAATTGAGTATAATTAATATTTACTCTCCCTTAGTAAAACTTTTTTTTTTAATTTTGACATCCAATAGATATTTGAATCCAAATCGAAACACAGTAGATTTTTGACTATTTGACATATTATGCGGAATACTTCACTCTATGTAATTTTTTATTATATCACACACTATATAACTTCCGATGACATTCAAGGTACAAAAATGAAACACTTTTTTCATAATCGTCATGATCTTTAATTCATACCTACCATAATATACTCCATCATAAGTTGGGTGAAAATGTCTTTCTCTAAGACTTCATCACAAATGACATCAACATCCAAATCTTTCACCAGTGCCACACGTGTGCGGCGCAAGGCATCTTTGTGTATCTGATCCATTCTTACAGCATTTTATCTATCTTCCATTAATCCATCCAATTTTTTCTTATTCTCAGTGAGGCTATTTTTAGAACCTATATCTAAAAATAAATTTGTATAGGAAATTCCCGAAAAAACCAATAGCAAACGAACTTATTTTTCAAAGTTGTTATATTTCCCACGTGTACAGCTCACACGAAATGATTCAAAATGTCTGTAATAAATAAACGATTAACTGTTTTCAGTTTGATACCTCATAAGGCTCATTTGTCATTTCCTCAACCAAAAACACTTACTGAAAACGGATATCGATCCCGATGGAAATACAAAGGTTCAAGTGGCAGTAAATGATTCATTTATTAAGAAAGTCACGCTATGACTTGAAGTAAAATGGCTAAGACATTGAAATTTAAAATTGTCGGAGACTTATAGGTTATTGTATTAAAATAAGGTTAGATTTCTTGGAAACATAAATGATCTCGGGTTCGTCATTCTGTTTAGCAATAGACATCCGGTGCATCGTCGGCCATCTTCCCATCCATCCTTATATTCAAACTTGCAGTCGTATTAGCAGTGGTTTTCTAGAATGAGCAGCCGGGAAGAGCTTGTGCAATGGGCCAAGTTTGCCGAACAGGCAGAAAGATTCGAAGATATGGCTGAAGCCATGAAAAAAGTCACAGAAAGTTTGGCATCGTCTGATACTAAAGAACTGACATCAGACGAGAGAAATCTCCTATCTGTAGCCTACAAAAATGTCGTAGGTTCTCGACGATCCTCATGGCGAATGATGTCAATGTTAGAATCGAAAATAGAATCTAATCCAACAAAGCTTTCTCTTGCGAAAAAGTTCAGGCAGAAAATTGAGGAAGAACTGGAGAAAATTTGCTTAGAAGTTTTAGAACTTTTGGATAAACATCTCTTAGTCAATGTAACATCAATCGACAGCAAAGTGTTCTTTCTGAAGATGCAGGGCGATTATCAAAGATACAGGGCAGAGTATGCTCATGAAAAGGTTAAGGATTCCGTCATTGAAGAAGCACAAAAGTCATATCAGCTAGCATATGATACCGCAAAAGCGAACATGAATCCAACTCATCCAAACCGATTAGGATTAGCTCTCAACTTTTCTGTATTCTACTATGAGATTAAGAACAATCCTGAGCAGGCTTGCCATTTAGCACAACAAGCTTTCGATGATGCAATAGCTGAACTGGACACTTTAGACGAAGAAATGTACAAGGACAGTACTCTTATCATGCAGCTTTTGCGTGACAATTTGAACCTGTGGACATCTGATGCCCAGCAAGAGGGGAAGGGAGAAAATACTGAAAACTAGTCATTTTATTAATTTTGCTCTGATTTTACACCTCAAAACTAGTCATTGACTCTCTGGCATTTATTTTGATATTATGATAATATTTGCATACCTTTAGCTTTATCAATGTAGGAAACATGAATTTTAGCTGAATTTTGATATTGCAACCATCAGAGATGGCAATTTATGAACATTAGTGCAATATTTTTTTTTAAGTGGAATCTCACAATAATGGACTAATGGAAAGCTTTAATCATGATTATTGTTTTTGAAAATGTCTATGTTTACACTGACCGTTTACACTATTTATAAAAAAAGGGTTTTTTTTTAATTAATTATAATGGAGATGTATTATGTACTTTTTTGTCTGAGGACTGCATAAAGATATGACGATTGAATCACAGAATTGATTTTTTAAATTCTTTATATTTACCAGCTTAGGACCTAGTCTGTTGAAACATTACTGATGATCATTTAAATGGAGTAAAAAAAATACCAATGATTTCCAAATGAGCATTTTTGAGAAGATTTGCAATAATATTATAAAACAGTTTTTTTTTATATTCATGCTATGACAGTTGTGGGCTTAAAGCCACTGTACACCTACATTCTCATTTACAATATTTATTTTCATTTACAGTTGTGTGCAATTTCTCAAGATTAATTCCTTTTTATCTTTCCTTGTGTTGACAATATTTTCAATTGTTATCCTTTTATATAATAAACTGTCATGTTGGTGTTCAATGATCTTTTACCTGTACTTTTTTTTCCCCAAATATGAAACATAATTTATGGCAATTGTGTTCTATGAAGGATAGTTGATTTTATTTTGTTTGCTTGTTTGTTTTGATTAGATTATACATGTACATGTGAATTTAGATTGAAATTAAATGCATGTTTAGACAGAAACCGGTTATCTTTGAATTGCTTTAGTAATAACCAAAGTATGCTGACTGATTTTTGTAAGTTATACATTGTATGTATTAAATTAATGTTGTAATAAAAATCATTTTCTTTGTTTTATATGAAAAGAAAAGAAACCTCACAACCAGGTGTCCTGATGTTTAAACTGTTCTACACTTGCATGTGTACATCCCCAACTTTAATTTATATTGATTAAGTCTTGGTTTATTAAGTTACCAATTGAATGATTAATTTATGATTTGAGATCATAAAGCTAAAATGGCTGGATTTTTAATATAAATCTACATGTAGATGTACATGAACATGTATCCAAATATATTCCTATAGCAAATCATTTTTAACTAGATGTATAGTTTATTGCTTATGCAACATGGGAGGAATTCCTTTAGGCATTTTTTTTTTAAATATCGCCGACTTTACTTTAGTGCTTATTGTGAAATATTGCTTTACAAGCCTAGCAATTGAAGGGATTAACTTCCACATGTTTTTGTTCCATTTACAATATAGAAAGAAAAAGAAACTAAATCCAAATTTCCAGGTGGATAATTGAGGGTTGGCAGATAAGATGTTTTGAGACATTATGTTTTACATAGTTAAGGAAAATAGGGTCAAGTTTGCTTCATTTTGTGTGTGTTTGAATATGATCAGATGAGTCAACTTTGAAACTGATGCAGTTCCGCTTTAACAAGACAAGTTTATATCTTTCTTAAAAGCCTATTTACACGGTCTGACTTGTAACATCTGATTTTTAGCTCACCTGAGCTGAAAGCTCTAGTGAGCTTTTCTAATCACCCATTGTCTGTTGTCCGTCTGTCTGCCCATCCATCTGTAAACTTTTCACATTTTCAAATTCTTCTCAACAACCACTGGGCCAATTTTAACCAAACTTGGTACAAAGCGTCCTTGGGTGAAGGGGAGTTTAAATTTTAAACATGAAGGGCCAAGCCCCCTTCCAAGGGGAGATAATCAAGAAAATACAAAAATAGGGTGGGGGTCATTAAAAAATCTTCTTCTCAAGAACCACTGGGCCAGAAAAGCTGAAACTTATGTGGAAGATGCTGGGGTAGTGAAGATTCTAAATTGTTCAAATCATGACCCCCGGGGGTAGGGCGGGGCCACAATAGGGAATCCAAGTTTTGCATTGAAATATGTAGAAAAATCTTCTTCTCAAGAACCACTGGGCCAGAAAAGCTTAATTTTAAGTGGAAGCATCCTGGGGTAGTGTAGATTCTAAATTGTTTGAATAATGACACCGGGAATAGGGCAGGGCCACAATAGGGAATCCCATTTTCACATTAAAATATATAGGAACAATCTTTAAAAATCTTCTTCTCAAGAACCACTGGGTAAGAAAAGCTGAAACTTAAGTGGAAGCATCCTGGGGTAGTGTAGATTCTAAATTGTTTGAATAATGACACCTGGGAGTAAGGGGGGGGGGGGGGGCGCACAGTAGGGAATCCAATTTTCATATTGAAATATATAGGAACAATCTTTAAAAATCTTCTTCTCAAGAACCACTGGGCCAGAAAATCTGAAACTTAAGAGGAAGCATCCTGGGGTAGTGTAGATTCTAAATTGTTTGAATCATGACACCTGGAAGTAATGCAGGGCTACAATAGGGAATCCCATTTTCACATTAAAATATATAGGAACAATCTTTAAAAATCTTCTTCTCAAGAACCACTGGGCCAGAAAAGCTGAAACTTAAGTGGAAGCATCCTGGGGTAGTGTAGATTCTAAATTGTTTGAATCATGACACCTGGGGGTAGGGTGGGGCCACAATAGGGAATCCCATTTTCACATTGAAATATATAGGAACAATTAATCTTTAAAAATCTTCTTCTCAAGAACCACTGGGCCAGAAAAGCTGAAACTTAAGTGGAAGCATCCTTGGGTAATGTAGATTCTAAATTGTTTGAATCATGACACCGGGGGTAGGGTGGGGCCACAATACGGAATCCCATTTTCACATTGAAATATATAGGAACAATTTATCTTTAAAAATCTTCTTCTCAAGAACCACTGGGCCAGAAAAGCTGAAACTTAAGTGGAAGCATCCTGGGGTAGTGTAGATTCTAAATTGTTTGAATCATGACACCGGGGGGTAGGGTGGGGCCACAATAGGGAGTCCCATTTTCACATTGAAATATATAGGAACAATTAATCTTTAAAAATCTTCTTCTCAAGAACCACTGGGCCAGAAAAGCTGAAACTTAAGTGGAAGCATCCTGGGGTAGTGTAGATTCTAAATTGTTTGAATCATGACACCTGGGGGTAGGGTGGGGCCACAATAGGGAATCCCATTTTCACACTGAAATACATGTATATAGGAACAATTAATCTTGAAAAATCTTCTTCTCAAGAACCACTGGGCCAGAAAAGCTGAAACTTAAGTGGAAGCATCCTGGGGTAGTATAGATTCTAAGTTGTTCAAATTATGACCCCCGGGGGTAGGGCGGGGCCACAATAAGTACTACAAGGGGGGAAATCAGGTGAAAAACATCAAGGCCAAAGTTACTCAGGTGAGCGTTGCGGACCATGGGCCTCTTGTAGAATTGATTTTACATCAAACTCAGGTGTTTCATTTACACTGTATGATTTGTCAGACATGTAGTTCATTAATATTTCCCTCCACAAATTTTTTATTGTTTACAATTTAACAATGAAAAGGACAATTGTATACTACTTTTCCATTTCCTAATGATAGCATGCAGCAGTGTACCATTGATACACGGAGAGCTTGGTTAGGCCGGTGTAAAGAACCAATATGTAAAGCATTGGCCCAGGAAGACCCATATGGTTTCATTTTTTCCGAATAAATCTACTTTTTAGTATATAATTCTTGTCACCAATCGGTTTGTTCAGTTTGATTTTAACTTTTCTGCCATTTTCAGTTCAAGCACGTAGAACGAAAACTCCATCAAGATTTGGCCATGTAATACATCACATTAATCTTAAAATTAATCTAAATTATTCAGGAAAAATCTTTGTGTTAATAGTGTTTTATTCAGATCAACCTTTCTGACCTCGTTTATGATTGGTTGAAACTATCTGACTTGTCAGACAGAATAGAACTTTACAGTGGACCTTGATTTTAACCCCCCCCCCCCTCCCCACACACACACAAAGAAGGAAAAATAGCGCGGATCGAGTTTTGCTGAATATGATTATAAGAATGCTAATTTCAATATTAATTTTAATGTCTATTCAGATCTTGGCCTTGCGACAAGGTCACTTTATTGAAGGGTAGAATCTTCCAACTTGCATGTCAAAAAGCATGACACAAAGAATAAAACCTACGTCAAGTATATATCTGGTTTGCTTTGTGGGATTCTCAACTGCTCACCCAGGGCGTAGGTTTCCTTTTTACCCAAGGACCCATGGTTAGAAATGCAATTGTTATAGAACTATCATGTCATTGTGGAAATTGTTGAAATGACTAGGTGCATGAAGGTATAAATGCATATGAATTTTGCATTTACAAATACCTCCACCTAGTAAATTCAAATTTTACAACATGATAGATCTATATTTTATCTGTTTAATAAAAAAAAGTATGAAACTGCATCTGCAATTCATTTGTATTAGTTTAAAAGGAAGGGCTATACAAAAATATTATCTTGAGTGATTCTAAAAGAGAAAGGTCTAGACTCTCTTTTTAAATTTTATCTCATTCACTGGGGCTTCGAATTCTTAACAATATTTTTTCTCTTCCATATTATAATATAGGAAAAGAAAAAATACATGTACCGATAAAAAGCCCCCGTGGTTCACTTTACCCAAAGGCTCAAACGAAGTTTTTGATCCTAAATACTATAGCTTCTATTGTTTAGCGCCTGCTTAAAACCCGCATTTTCGACTCCTCTAGAATCACGGGGCCCAGCGGCATGATGCGATGATAGATCAAGTCTCAAAACCATAAACTGAGAACATCAAGTCAAAATTTCAAATTAAAATAACTTCTGAAATAATTTTAATAATCAAACAAATTTTTCATCATGTGTTTGTATTTAAATATTATATGAACACGGAATGTTTTATACACGAATGAAAAATAAAAAGATAATCAGAAGTAAAATTTTGACTTAAGACTATTCTCAGTTTCTGGTCTTGGGCCCAGATATGTAAAATAGTTCTGCCTTGAAATGTGACTCCAAAAGCCCTAACTATGATTAGTACCGCAAGAAACGATTAATTCATCTACATATATTTAAAGTAGTGGTCATGTTTAATTTAAGAATAAAATGCGCTTATATATTATATGAACACTCTTTTGGTTCCTATCACAGCTGATACAAAGACCCGGTTTATCATATTCCATGTTGTCACTAGCTCAGCGGATTTATTTGCTTACTTCTATAATGTCCGTCTCCCGTCGGCCGTAAAATTTGAACATTTTCAGCCTCTTCTCTGGAATGAAAGAACTAATTTAAATTCAACCAATTTTGGTGTGCATATTTAGCATTTTGGTTTATAAGGGTTCTTAGCCTCCCTGGGGCTCGAGAGGTGTGACCATAACATCGTCCTTCGGTCGTAAATTTCGAACATTTTCAGCCTCTTCTGTTGCGTGTTCAACCAATTTCAACCAATTTTGGTAAAAATCATCTGTGGATTAAGGAAAATAACATTTAATTTTGTGCTCTCTGCCTCCCTGCCATGCATGGGGTCTGAGAGGTGTGGCCACAACAACGTCCGTCGGTCGTAGAATTGTGCGAATATTTTCAGTCTCTTTTCTGGAGCTGAACCAATTTGGTTGTATAGTGTTTATAGATGAAGGTGGAAATCTTAAAATTTTCATCTGCATTTTCTGCTTCCCTGCATGGGGCCTGTGAGGTGTGACCAAAAGCATCAAAATTAATGCAATCTTCACTTTAATAATCTTTTTCAAAAGTGTTGGACTTCTAGCAGGCAAACTGCATGACCACATCGAGTACTTCAACAAAATTGTTAAATTCATGGGTCCCTAATTGGTGGAGCTAAATCGGTCATATATAAAATGAAAATACATTATATTTTTGAAAGTCCAAATTGTTTGCATGATTACAGTGAGAACTATAAATTTGGAATTTGTGGCCCTTGGGTCCATGGTTTAGTTTTATTGGTCAAAGCCCGCGTGGCACAGTGATTAGAGCATTTTGTTTTAGAATGGCGAATCCCACTTTGGGAGCTTCTGACGAGACTGTATAAACTGAGGTCCTCTGTCCTGGTAGATATTAGTACAAAGATGACCCCTCACTGCACGCCCAAAGGCGATATAAGTATCTAAAGCACATATGTCTCAATCACAGCTTTCCATCGGCAACAATTACACTGTAAATGTCGTCCCATATGAGTGACAAACTCTCAAAGTGGACCTAGCTAGCAAAGAGACCACCAATAGACATCTTAAAAAAATCTTCTTCTCTATTATACCCATGCGCATTTATCATGCAAACTGTTTCCATTGATAAAATGACACTTAGCTTTAATTTCGATCTTCCAGTTGTGAACTTCATGGCCTCAAGGCCCATGATTCAGTCCCGAGGGCGGGGCTATGTTGATCATGTATTGAAACACATATATATTGCAAGTCTTAATTCTTCTGTCCTCATGGTCACCTAGTAGGCAAACTATTTGCATAATTACAATGAGTACATTTTTTGTACTAAAAGTGTTTTTAAAAAGCTTAAGAGCATTTAGAACTTCTCCTGTATATAGTTTACAAGTCGATGCAACTTAACCACCTCTCGACAAAAGCAGAATTAAACTCATGCACCTTATAATATATTCTGAAATTAAAGGCGAATGCTCCTGAGAAATACATTACATCCTTTACTAATGTGGGCACACTGTTAAGAATGAGTACTTTATATAGTAACCCTTTACCAGAATTCATGAGAATTGTTAAAATTCATGCCCCAACTGCATGGGTCCATGAAGTGTTCAAACTAAGTTGGTCATATAATATGTACATGTATATTGCATTACATTACATACATGTATAATTCAAATTCTTCTTTACTCATCGGCAGCAGCAGAAAAACTTTACAAGATCATTATAATTAACACCCAAAGATGTAAAATATGTGACCTCTGACCCATTGGTTCAGACCTTTTAAAGTGGGTCTAAGTTGGTCATATATTGAGAATACATTACATCTTTGAAAATCTCTTTCATTACTCATAAATATCGAGCAGTCAAATTGTTTGCATCATTCTGTAGGCCTCTACAAATATGACGAAATTCACATCCCACGGGTCTATCGATCAGGCCTCAGGGTCGGAGCAAGTTTATCATAAATTATATGTACACATGAATTGAAATTAATTATACCATATGTGCATGCCTTATCTTCTAGATTACTCCTGACTTTTTAGGAGACAAGCTACAAATTAAAAATACACGAACGTGAGTTCTCAATAAAAATTAATGAAAATGCATCTTTTTGTCACGTGAGACCATAGTTCCAGGTGAGGCTAAAATGGCATAGCCTATGTAACTCATGGTACTCAGGTCAGCTACAAGACCCATGGTCCTCTTGATGCATCAATTAAGGTATGTCATGGTCCCTGTGCATTACCGCCATTGTCATCAGTGAATAAAGAGCTCGTGCACAATTTCATTTACGAGACAGGCCCGAGTGACAATCAATGCACAACTTGACAATACGGTCGCGATTTTCTAGAGAACACTGAAGGAACAAGAGATTCTGGCATTATGGAGTCTCAATATGCAGCAAAACTGTTTTGTTTTAATTTATTCTAGATTTTTATATTTTGAAAGGTGAAAAAATAAACAAACTTCGTTCGCGAAAGACAATTTCTAGGACACTTTACATTAGATGAAACCAGTGTTTACAAATCGGAAACAAAAAGGTCATTTAACCATGAATGACTCAGTTATTACAGTCATTCACAAAAACCAACAACACATTTCCTCTGTGTTGCACAGATAATAACTAGTATAATTCACTATATAAAAAATTCAACTGTACAAAGTTAATAAATATTTAGACCTACGCAAATGTTATTTTTTTTCGATTTGAAAACTAATTAACATATATTAAAATAAATTTTTAAGCAAGGGAATATTGAGGCTTGGTGTTTTGGGGGTTAGGTTGTTATAGCTAGTTTTTCTTGTTCTGTTTATTTTTTCATTTCATCTCCGTAGTAAGAGCTTTTTTAATACACGTGTATTCGATTGTCCTTCTCTGTAGTAATATAAAGGTATGCGGTATTTGTAGGGGGATGATTTACCTAGCTGTTATGATAAGCATTTGATGTATGAGATAAAGTCAACCTACACACTGTGTTGTTTGTCTTACACATGACGGACTACAAGTCTAGCGTAGTAAGTAGTGTACAGTGTAAATAACCGTTTTTTTTTTGGGGGGGGGGGTCCTTATAACCCTATTTATCTGCATTTTTTAGAAGAAAATTTTATAAGTATTTCTTAAACGCTTAACTTCTTTTGTTCCTAGAAGATGCATGGTGTTTTAATACGTTGTCAATATAGTGATACGCATTTTAAAAAGGTGGTCATCAGTATGCAACTTTTTTTTTTAATTAGCGATAGATCAAACAACTCATGGTCGATTGTACACTGGTTCATCGGTGCAATGTTCAGCGTCTAGTGCAAAACACCTGAGGCTTTTTTCGAAAATACGATGCAGACACACATTAGCGTTTTTAAGCCGACTTTAATTTCCATAAGTGTACATATATAAATATGTGTATCTAGCTTATAATATATATTCAATAATAAATTTCTAGTTCTGTTATTCAATTATTTTGCTCTTAAAAGGCAATCTTTAGCCCAAAATGAACATTAAACAGTGACATCTATTACAAAACACCAACAAAATGTCTTCATCAAAAAAGTCTCTCTGCTTTCTCCACGGAGTTCATGGGAATGATAAAAGTATTAGTAAAAGTCAGGACTTCCTTCACTATACCCCAATATTCTCATTAAGGGTATTCGATGCAGCCGCGATTTTTTTTTTCAAAATTAAAAAAAGAGAGAAGATGGAACCGAGATTCTACGGTATGTCTGATAAGTCAATAAGTAGCAGACGACACATTATTGGTCGTCGTCAGGGGCGGCGTCATCTGCCTCTTGTTCCAGTTCCGAGGACCAGAGAGTGAGGTTGTCTCGTAGAAGTTGTAATATTAATGTACTATCTTTGTAGTCATCTTCTTTTCCCGCGTCTAGCTGGGCAATGGCCTCGTCGAATGCAGTTTTGGCTAGTTCGCAAGCAGTGCTAGACTCTTTCTTAATTTCGTAATAGTAGACTGAAAAATTAAGCGCCAAACCTAGCCTAATGGGGTTAGTGGGGTTGAGACTTTCTTTGGCAATATCGTATGCCAGTTTGTACGCTTCTTCAGACTTCGCAGCCAAACTACTCTCGACTTCCTTTCCACTGGCAATTTCAACTTTGTACCGGAAGTAATCGCCTTTCATTTTTAGATAAAATATTTTGGGCTCTACTGAATCACCTACTTTGGGCAATAAATGGTTATCCAATAAGCTAATTACTTCATCACAAAGCTGATTCAATTCTTTCTCTATGTTCTTTCTGTATTCTTCACACAGTTGTAGTTTCTTCTCCGATTCGCCTTTTTCCTTAGCCTTTTGTTCCAAGGACGATATGACACGCCACGAGGACCTTCGTGTTCCAACGACATTCTTATACGCTACTGACAGTAGATTCCTTTCCTCTTCATTAAGAGGGTCACTACCGGTTGCAACTACCTTCATTTTGGCAACCATGTCGTCGAATCTTTCGACCTGCTCTGCTAGTTTGGCAAGCGCGATACATTCCTCTCTGTCGCCCATTTTGGTTTATTAGTCAATTGATCACTTCCCTTGTTCAGAGATAAAATAATAAATATGGTACTAAACAATGTTTAGTAGTTTCCTGGAGCACAAATAATCCGTAGAAGGCTCTATTACCCTTCCGCTCTGTAGTGCACAAGTCAACCAAAATGGCTGCTCTCCAAAACGTGTCTTGTCAAGTGTGAAAAACGTATTTACAACAATTTACACTTGTCGGGAAAGTAGGTCATTCGATATGTTCACATATCATTCCTTGACTGCAGTTGTAATATTACAATATGCACGATCAATAAAGAGAAAATGCATACATATACTTCGCAGTTCACTCACTCACCACTGGGTCTCAATGCTATATTACTACGAATTAGTCATAGGTGGGGCTAGTCAGGAAATCGGCTTACAACCATACGATTTATTTATGCTAGAATGTCAAGTATGGAACGTAGCGTCTTGCAAGAGAGGCTTCACAAGGGGCAATTAGCAAAATGAAGAACTTTGCATCCAAACGCACTTATTTTTCCGAAATGCGAAAAAAGCCGATCAATATACTTTAATTTTTAATGGATCAACACATGACCTCGTATTGCACACATACAAAATTATCCAGGTGGGATTTTTTTTTATCGATTACAGTGGGCATATATCAAATCTATTTGTTTAATCAATTATTATATAGGCGAGTTATCGCATTTTTAGCAAATTGTACAATTTTCAAAAAATATATAACAAAGTTATCAATGCAATTTTTAAAGACGAAGCTTTAATCTTACAACATTCATGGAAGCAACTTGATAAACCTTAATGTCTACCCCTTTCGAGTGCCTAGCAATGAATAAACAGTGCGTAAATAAAGTTGTCATGGTTGAGTGAAACGCGAGTCGCGACAGATAAATGCAAACTTTCATTCAACGCCACAAAAGCGCGGGTAATGAAGTTAGCAATTTTACGAGTTTTTAGCACTTGCAGATTTTCAGTTATTACACAAATTTTTTAATAGATAAGTTGTTTATCGATTACACCACAAGTTACTGTAGAAGTTATCTGCCCTTTATGCAATAATATCATTCAAGGGTGGATCCAGAAAAAAAAGCATATAGAGTTAGTGAGAATAGTATTTTAACACACCTTACCATATTTCCATATGTTTTTGGAATGAGTGGCCATAAGGTAAAGTGTTTGAAGGATGTCTTTTCGACAATTATTTAATTTCACATTTAATGTTTAAGTGATATTTATCATAAAAGAATCTATATCTATATTGTAATTAATTAAGCTAATAAATTTATAGTTCTGTCAATTAATTGGAAAAAGACTTAATGTATCGTTTTCCATGGATCTCATACATGGGGAGGCCATTGTGTTGTTCCAAGTCTCGTACATCGACGTTTGTTTTTTGTTATTTTGCCAACAAAAAGGAGCAACTGTGCTGTATGTACCATCATCTTAGATGATAGTTTAGTAGTCTTCACTAAATTGTGTGTCCCAGCTGCAAAGTTTATACAATGCTAGTTATACGTAACTGTATTTTTTTAAAAATCTTATGGAACAGAACTGTGCTGTATATCCAAAGTTACTATTTATGTATTGGAACTATTTTGGGATAATACAACGAGAAGGAGGGGTAATTTTGTCGTTTATCTATAAATCTAAAACTATTAAGAAAACACAGATAATATACTAGTATATATCATAAATGTATTGTTTGTATAAACGATTAACACGTGAAAAGGAAATGTTTTGTGAACTGATATTTCTACCATATTGGAAAACTATGTCAGATTCTGCTCTTATTCGGTACTCAGTGTTGGTTTTCAACGATGTTACAGTGTATAATGTAAACGTAAAGTATTTCGTTTTTTTTTTCGCTTTTCTGAGCAGGTATTGTCCTATATCTACAGTTCACATATTCTTTTAGAACTACCCCTATACCTCATCCGGCCTAAACACACACACAATCTTCAATCAGCTCTCTTAGTAATGTTTTACATGCTAAATAGGGAAAACCAGCATGATGAATGTTAAAAATTGAGCTAATTCTAGATTTGCATTGCACTGATCGGGCAGTCAAAATATCAATAGTCCAACTCTGAAATCTAGTGTGTTTTTTTAAGAGGGGGCACCCAGAAAAATGATTGACAACTTTCCTATAAAAATCTTTGACAAGCATAAAAAAGCAAGATGTATTTGTGAAACACTGATACCCCCGTATGGCAGCTTATGTCAAACTCCAGGTCAAGAGATAAAAAAAATGTTGGTACCCAAAGAAAGATTTTGTCTCGAGGAATATACCTGTGAAATTTGGAAGCCCTAGCACCAACTGTTCAAAAGTTATGGCGAAGGTTAATTTTTTTTTAAAGTAAGTAAAACGTCAAGGTCAAGGTCAAATGGGGCCCCAAAGGAAGGTCTTGTCACAAGTGATACAGACGTTCGTGAAATTTGAAAGCCCTAGAACCAAACGTTCACATCTTCAGACCTGCCTGCCCTTCCGCTTTTGGCGTAATTCTTCCGCTTTTTACCACGAAATTACGCTGTTACGCCATGAAATTTATTTTTACGCTTTTAAATATTTTTCCTAGACAACTTAATGAAAGGCTAACTTGAAAGTTAAAGTAAAGGCTTTCCTAAATAAAAAAGAGAAGAAGGTAATTATTACTAATTAATAGAGGGTTTCGGTTCTTCACGATATGATTATTTACGATACAGACAACATAGGTAATATACTTTGTAGTTAAGCCTTTTTAAGGGGTGGCATGCCAAACTTAAGGGAAAAACTTTTGAATGATATGTGCAATAAGTAAAGTCAGTTTAATTTTCAATTGTTTATTCTTACATTGCTTAGAACAACATAGAGTCAAGTAAATGTAAGGAAAACAAAAACGAAATAGCGCAAATATGTTGAATTTGTATTAACGTGCAAATGAAACTTTGAATTGTGTGATTTTCTATAATTTTTCCAAAAGTTCGTTAGGCATGTAAGTTAAATAAGTTTGATATGACTGCATTGAGAATACCAGTTTTACAACACATGGACTTTTTTTTCAATAAATGATTTGAAAACGGAACATTCATGCTTGCTTTGTTCAATGATGTACAATTACAGGTTTATTTGGACAATATAGTATCATTTCAAAACGTCAAACTAGGGAAACATAAAGGATTACGCCTTTACCTCTGAAATTCCCCCAAAATGAGTATTGAAATTACACCCTCGCAATGAAAAGGGTAGGCAGGTCTGCATCTTATGGCCAAGGATAAAGTTTTTTAAAAGTATGTCAAACTCCAAGGTTAAGGTCAATGCCAAAATTGTTGAGATCCAAAGGAAAGTCTTGTCACAAGGAATGCACATGAAGTATGAAAGCCCTAGCACCAACCTTCAAAAGTTATGGCCAAGGTTAGAGTTTTTTCAAAAGTAGGCCAAACTCCAAGGTCAAAGGGTCAAAGATGTTGGTATCTAAAAGAAGGTCTTGTCAAAAGGAATGCAATCTGATTAAAATCAGATATTCGGTGCTCCTTTTTTAATGATATGTCGCTTACGAGGATCTGATCCTCGTAATTAAGCGACATATCATTAAAAAAGGAGCACCGAGGATCTGATTTTAATCAGATTGAAAAGGAATGCAAATGTGAAGTTTGAAAGCTCAAGCTCCAACTGTTCAAAAGTTATGACCAAGGTTAAAGTCTCAAAAAATTTGCAAAAGTGGGTCAAACTCCAAGGTCAAAAGGTCAAATATGATGGTACCCAAAGAATGGTCTTGTCACAAGGAATACACATATGAAATGTGAAAGTCATAGCTCCAACCAATCAAAAGTTATGGGCAAGGTTAAAGTTTTTGCGGACAAACAGCTAATCAGACAGATAGACGGACGGACAGGGCAAAATACAGGGCAAAATACTATACTCCCGAATCTTCGATACGGGGGCAAAAAAAATGTCCAAACACAAAAAGTGGGGATGGGGTGGTGACTGCCTTTCAACAAACATTTTCATACTTAACAAACATGGGAGTATATAGTTTTTGCCCTGAAAAAAAGTGCTCGCCCCGATACTACGAGCCTGTAGCCCTTTTCACAAAAAATTTTACGACTAAGATTAAAAATTTTCCAATTCTTCTATATGTACCTAAATTGAAGTATGTTACAAAAAATCTTATATTTCTATTACATTACAGTATATTGAGATTTATTCTTCTGAAAAAATAATTTTCTTTATTAAACAAAGAAATTACAGAGTTGTAAAATTTTAATCTTACTCGTAAGAATTTTTGTGAAAAAGGCTACTGATGACTTTAACAAAAGAATTTTCTATTTTCATAAAATAAAACTAGTTTTTTTTTTTTTTAAAGTTATTACTATTAGACTTTGGAAATTTTAAGCAATAAATCGGTTTTCAGACCCCCCCCCCCCCCTTTTTTTTTGAGGTGTTTAGTTGATCCGGAAAAATAAATTGCACTCATGAACACTCTTACATTTATACGAAGCAAGGTCAAGGACATTGGCTCAAATGGACGTAGGGAAACTTTCAGTTTCAGAATGTAGTGTAAATGGTAACTTTTACTCTACACAGATATAAACTTCTGCATATTTTTTTCTGCAAATCATCAAATTTAATATGAACAGGCTTATCTGTGGTAGATTTGGGTAAGTAGTCCTTATTTCAAACAATCAAAGAAACAAAATGTCATGCAGGACATAGATTTGACATGACGAAATAACTTTAAAAGGGTTGTAAACTGTTGAAACAAAACGTGTTTTAAAGTTTTTTAGTAAATTTTTAAATACTGTACTGAATAATTGAAGAACTAACGTTAAATTTACTTGGAACATGTTAAAGACATTTTGTAGTTCGAATTTCCTAAGTAAATTTCTTGCGGCGTAAAGAGACAACCAGTGGAAATGCTGGAACCCCACACTCTTTCATCTAAACTAACACATCTCTATTACAAGAAGATACTTACAAGAGAGCTCATAGCAAGACTTGAAAAATTACACTATACAGAAAACTAAACAGAAAACAAACTGACCAGAATTTGTATTCTGGCAATTAAATCATGTAAAATCCCAACAATTAGAGCAGTCCTTGTCACAAAACAGGGCTCAACATTAACTTTAAAACATACTAGACCAGTCCAACTAGTTGGACCTCAGCTTCACTAGACCTAACTTAATATCTGCTGATCATTGAATGACTCAACTTATTAATACTAAAATATTGGCATGAAAAAAAGAAAAATGGTCAAATGATGACATCATCATCAATAAATTGATAATAATCATAAAGTTGGTCTTTTTTCTTTGTGATGTGAGAAAAAAATTATATTATCAAAAAAATTTTTTTTATTGAATTCAAGAAAAAAATCAGAAAGGGAGATGAATCATATTTTGACTCATTTTAATTCTAAATCTGGTTAAATAAAACATATATCGAACATTCAGTTGTTAAGAAAATGACCTAGCAGGAAGAATAAATCTGGGTTAAGTGTAGACTTTACAAGAAAATCAAATGGGGGAGATTGGGGAAATACCAAAATTTATACTATAATAGTGTAAATAAATGCCTCACAATTGTTTAACTATATTATTGTATAATAAAAGAAGCAGAGAATTTCAAAACAAATCTTTTCATGATTTTTTTTTATTTTCATTGGGATCCAAAAATAAAACCTACTGTATATACTCGCCTATAAGTCGGTTTTTTGGGAGTTAAACTTTGGTCCAAAACTCTGTGTCCGACTTATAGGCGAGTCATAAAATGATTGGTATTTTAGAGGGTCAATCCCTCTAATATAAGCTTTAAAAATGCAACCGACTTATAGGCGGACCGACTTATAGGTGAGTATATATGGTAATCTAACCCATCGATAAGCAAGAAAACACACAGAGCATTGAATCAATTGTTTAGAAATCCTATAAATTTTTAATATATGACTAGTCGGGCTAGCTTGATGCAAAATAGACTAGAGCAGATCAAACTTTTACTAGAATGAGTTGGTCGGACATGCCTTAATATTGAGCCCTGCAAAGAAAAAAACCTCCCTTTTCAGTGATTATTCAGGATGACAAATAAAGATGAATAACAATGAAAGAAATGCTGACCTTAAACTTTGATATTACTTGACTTATATTTAAAAAGAGTGTAGGCAGGGTTTGACATTAAATTTTATGAGTACTAGACCAGTCGGGCTGCCGTATATACTCGCCTATAAGTCGTTTCTATTTTTTAAGCTTTGATTAGAGGGATTGACCCACTAAAATGCCAACCATTTTATAACTCGCGTATAAGTCGGATAAAGAGTTTTGGACCAAAGTTTACTCCCCAAAAAACCGACTTATAGGCGAGTATATATACGGTACTTCCCATAATTTTTACTAGCCCTGACCATAAAATCACTAGTCCTGACCAAACTTGAAAATTTTCTTTATATAACCTGCTATTATAATGGGAAAAAAGTTTCCAAACCATACTACAGTGTATCTCTCGCATGTGTTCATGTGTTTATTTTGACAGACTGTTCCGTAGGTAGCAACCCATAGGTAGCAGTCCAATGAGTTAACATGCGAATATAATAAGCTTTAAAGAACATTAATTCAAGGAACTTAAATTATTACCGTAAATATACATGTAAATAAATTAAAAACTATTTTTGTTCGATGACTATTCATACCAAATGATACTGAACAATTGATTGATTGTATGTTGTTTTATGTCCCATTCAAGTATTTTTCACTCATATAGAGATGTCACCATATACTGGTGAAGGGCTTCAAATTTAGACCTTTACTTGGCACTCAGGGTCATTGAGCAGTGAGGGTTCTTTATCTTGCCAATGCCTACTGTGAAAAGGGGCCTCGGTTTTTAAGGTCTCATCCGAAGGACCCGCAACTTTCACTTCAAAGTGCCGAGCGCCTTGCGAAGGAACAGTTGCTACCTATTTTTTATTGACTTAGGTCAGTCGCGGTCTTGATTCAAACACACGACCTTCCAATCACGGAGTGAGCTCTCTACCAACTGAGCTACCATGACGGTGATACTGAACGAAGCTAGTTTCGATTGTGACTTGTCTATTACAGCCGGGCTCAAAAATAGCGATTATGTCATGCAGGGAAGTTTTCTTTTTCAGATCATTGGCTGTGTTTGCAATCGGAAAATTAAGAAAATTTCTTTAAAAAGTTTTTTAGAGCATTTATTTGAAAGAGTGAAATGAGGGTTAACATTTATTTCATCCACACGACCAGTTGGTCTAGTTCATGAACATTTAACACGACCGGACCACGCATTTACTAGACTGGGTCGGTCGAACGTGCCTTGGTGTCAAACCCTGGTAGGGATACCGGTAAGTTCATGATAAAGCTCTTACAATTCCTCTTTCTTTTATAGTCCAAACTGTGAACGATACATCCAACTAGCAGTGAAAAGATATGGTCAACAGCAGTCACGAAACATATCTGGAAATCATGCTTTAATAAAGAAACAGGCCTCTCTTCGGTCGTCCTTATTCCTGGTCTCTGAAAGGGGATTTTGGAGGTTTTATCATGCCCATAGAAGCAGACCCTCCAAATACCTCTTGACTGCCAGGGGTCATTTATCAGTGCAGGGCAATCACCGGTATGTGGTGACATGGAACAAAGTTGGCAGGGCATTGCTGAGACCTAGGAATATCATCATTACAGCAGCAGTAGGAACAGGTGCTCTCATCAGTCAGGTATCTTCCTAGTCCAGTCACAACTTAAGAATACATTTCTATATATGTATAAGAACATGAATAAAAGTTTTAGGCAGAGATGAGTATTATTGTAGGAAAATATCATTGTTGACCATCTATCAAGTTTTACAATTAAGCAAAGCTGCAAGAGATAAAACTTTTTGTATCTTATGTTTTCCCTAATGGAAGAACAAAATTCATTTTAAATACATTGCAATATGTTTTAATTAACATTAACTACATTGTCGTTAATCCATGAAGATTGATTTAGTTAGCATTCCTGTCCTTGCCAGCCATGGGTTAATCTAAGTATTTTTTTTTCCATTCTAATGAATATTGCTAATTACACCCATCAAACTCAAATTCCTAGAATCAGAAATGTATTTTGCTTGAGATTCTGTCACTTCCTTGGCTCTAAATCAATAAAAAGAGAGAGAGAGAGAGAGAAAAAAAAAACAAAGTGCAGGGTTTTGCATGGTTTTTGAACTTCACTGCACAGTGCTTTAAAAAAGACAAATATTCAATTTGTAAATTTTCAGGTAAATAGATTCAACAATGCCATATAAATGTATTATATTTAGTGTGTACAATATTTAGAGGAAATTGATTTTTTGAACAATTAGCGAAGATTTGATTTAACGCATTTCTAAATGTTCTTATTTATGCATATATTGTGCAAGAGATTTGTACTTGAATTAGCGGAAGCTTCTTTCCACCAAAGGCGCTAAAAAAATACACAACCAAATGTAATATATTTACAGTATACAGTAAAACAAGTTTTTGCTAGAGACAAACAATATTGATTTGTTATAAATGTAATTTGTTATATCTGTTAAGTTCATAATAATAAATATGTTATAAAACTATAGGAACTGAAAATCACTGTAAGCACAAATTCATAAAAAGCTTGTTTCCTATGACCTTGTTTTTAATGAAGCGGAACCTTTCATACATAGATTCATATAGTATTTTGAATATCCTTTCAGCTTGTTGTTAGAAAATTATTCAAGAGTTAATTGTTCTGTTTGTAACAGGTTCAGATATATTTTTTCCAACAGAAAATAGATGCAGTCAGAAAGCAGTTACCAGACTTAGAGTGGATGAAAGAGTACATTCCAGAATCAGAAACGATGAGAAACCTCATGAAGAGCATAAAAGGTGCAGCCTCTCAAGTCAGCTTACCAGAAAAAGTAAGTCTTGTACAGTTAAGATGATTGATCAACATGAATGAATGGCAAAGTTTGAAGAAATGAATATGATTGATTCATATGTACTGATATAATAACAGTTAGGTTCTTACAATTTTTTTTTTTGGTTTTGTCTTTTTTTAATGAAATTGAAACATCAACTGCAAGTTCCCTTTCTCTAAAGGAGCATTATTTAAAGTGTTTAAAAAATATTTCTCACTTGCGTTTATTAAATTTTTTTAGGGATTCATTTCTAATCACCTCCCTAAGTTGAAGGATGCCGCTGTGGTAGACAGTCTCAAGTCGTGGTGGGAGGAGAACACCAGTCAGGAAGGAACCGCAGTTTTACCTAAAGGTGACATATTAACGCTTGTACAAAAATAAAGTCAAGATGTTGTATGTGTAAATGGAGTACATTTCTGGCATTTTTATCAAGCTTATATGGAGCACACTTCATGCTAAACTGTGCAGAATTCAAGCATTTCTTATAAAAATTCATGTCAAGCATTTCTGGATAAAAAAAAATCTTTTCTTAAGTTTGAATATTGTATATCTGGCTTCTAGTATGATCCTGATTTTCTCTTTCAGCTTTGAATTTTTGTATTGTTTGTTGTGCCTTTTATCGTACATTATGTCTGGGTTTGGTGATAGGTGATCCAGTTAATCACCATAACTAAAGGGGACAGGATTTATCAGAAATCTGCCAATGTATCCTTCTTCAGAGTGTTTCGTTCTTGTGACTGGATGTTTCTGTATAGGAAGTCTTATTTTAATGAACAAATCTTTTTTCATTGTTGTTTTACTAGGTGGCCGGGTCTTGTATGCCATATCCCAAGATGCAGGTGTGTAGATATATCAAGTGTTATCCCCCACAACTTAAACAATAAACTTTGCATCTCCTTGAATTCTGCACATATTCCATTTCATTCATCCTTTTTGTTCTTTATATAGTTGTATGGGAGTAATATGGTTTTGGAATTCCCTCAGGAATATTTCTCTATTTCTTTAGAGCATGTTAAAGTTTATTGTCTCTTTTATATTTAAATTTTCATAGTTGATTTTTAATTGCTTGAGTATTGATCATCATTTGGAGGGGAGGGGGATGTTAGAACACAGGTAACATCAGAATTTTTATTGGTGTTTCAGATAATGCACCTACCCATAAAAATACAGTACCACTGATTGGATTCGGAAGATCTGGAGCAACTACAACATCAAGTAAAAGGGTAATATATTATCATCTTGTTGACATTCTTTAATAAGGTCTGACGAAACGTTCCTCAAATATCTGTTATCTTTCTCCTTGCAATATATAAGAAATATTTATAATGTTAAAGTCATATGTGGCGTATTTTTGATAAGTTCAGACTAACTAAAATTAAAAAGATCTTTCTATTTGTTTTATTACTTTATAATTATAAAGATAGGACTTTCCTGTAAATTACACAATTTAAATCAATCGCATTTTATAGATATTGGAAATTTTAAACAATGAGCGATTTATTTACAGACTCCACATTTAAATATCAGACACAGTTTAAAGTCAATTAACTATAGAAAAGTGGGCTTATTCAAGTTGAAAATTGGTGAAAATTTTAATTTTAACATAAATAACAAATATCATTTTCATCTACACTCAATCTCGTATTTTTATTTTTTAGCTCAGATACACCATATACCGATATAGCTTTAAAATTATCTTGTGATTTCTAAACCCTTTTCCAAATGTCTTGGAAAATAAATACAACAAACAATGTGATATTGACAATTCAAGATATTTCAAATAGGATTATATAGGAAACACAACCCTCTGGTATCTTGCACAAATGCCTGGTAAGGTACCTCAATATTTTGTGAGGAAACTTGTTAAAGTAGTAATACTTCAAAGACAAATGGCACATACTGATACTGTTAGTTTGGTAAAGAAACGTTGTTCAGAATACAGGTAACTCTCGATACCTCGAAGTCCGCGGGACCGAGGAAAAACTTCGAGAGATCAAGAGTTCGAGTTTTCAAGAGTCCGGAATTTTCCGGGTTTGTAGACTGGTTTTAAAATTAGTCTTACCGGATGTAACGATTTTCATGCAGTCTCAACCTTTTTACATGTGGCTTTTATAAAACAACTATATTTTTTCGTAATTTAGATGAATATTTCATTAAACTGAGTAAAGCAAAAAATGTATATCGTCATTTCATGTATATTTATTTATTCTTTGTAATACAGACATCATACTACGCATTTGTTACACGAAAACTACATTTTACAGCGTCGTACACGTATAAAGCATGGACTATTCCAAACATGATCACTGAACGCAGTTTTTTAAGTATTTGTCCGATAATAGTTGTCATATTGACATTGAAGCTGTTTCTGCTTTTTCATATTTCATTTAACTTTGACACTGACTTGAAATAAAAATTAAATTAGTGTTTCGTCTTTTAATCAATTACTACTTTTCACTGACACTGCGTCTCTCAATTATCGTAAGACAGTCGATGATAATTATTTTAATAGCATATAGGCAAAATATGGTTCATTATAAATCAATTATCACCTTGCAGCATAAGTGTCACCTGAATAAACATCCCGTTCCTCGAGACCCGCGTCTTCTTCCTTGGGTCATTTAAATGTCCAGGTATAGGTGCTAATTATATAACCTTGTATACACATAGCCACTTCGAGGTATCGAGGGTAAATTCTAATAGAATATGCATAGAGGGACTGCATTTTGACTTTGAGGGATCAAGGGTTTCGAGAGATCAAGAGTTCGAGAAATCAAGAGTAAATTTGCTTAGTTATATAGGGGGAAAAATCGGGACCGGAGACTCACTTCGAGCGATCAAGAACTTCGAGAGATCGAAGTTCGAGCCATCAAGAGTTACCTGTACTTGGGTTTTGTTCATTGATTGTGCAACAGCAGCATTTTTAAACTTATTTTTCTGTTTTGATGTGACAGCATTTCCTGAATTTGACAGTACCCGACAGCCTAATTTGCATGACTTTATTAATTTACATATTGTTTTCCAGAGTCCAGAAAAAGAAAGGCTGGAGCAGGTGCAAGAGGAGATGATCCAGATACAGGTACAAAGTTTATAATATCAGTAAGAGTTATTTCCCTTAGAAGTTCTTGTTTGAGGAATGCAGTCGAAAAATAATTTCTACCATGTGTAAAATAAATGTATATTGTTCATGAGGGAAGCAATGCTTCTTTTTTGTATGATAATTTTTGGACTTTTACATTTATGAAAATTTACAGATACGATATCAGAAAGAAATAGACAGACTAATGAAGGAAAACAAGGACCTACGTAAAAATCTCATGTTGAAAGAAGTTAAAAGTGGACGAAAAAGATCAATGAGGGTAACAAAGAGTTTTTCTTTTACTTTAATTAATGCTTAATAGTTGTAGGAGATTTTAAAAACAGAATTAGGGATGAAAGAAATTAATTGCATTTTAGTGGTATTAATTTGAATTCATGCCAAATTCAAATAGACAAAACTCTAAAACTCCTGGTAAGCCAAGGTTTTCATAAATTTTCAGAGAAATAATATATTGTATATTTATAGACTTCATTGAAGAGAGAAAAAATTGCAGAAAATACTTTATGTACTATCAGAGGCTGTGATCGATCAATTAAACTAGGTCTTTTACCCTCTTTTTCAGAGGAGCCTGATTGACATGTATTCTGATGTGTTAGATGAATTGGAGCGATATGATTCAAGCTATAACACACAAGATAATTTACCCAGGGTAAGTTAACACAAGTCTACAACACACAAAATAACCTAACCAGGGTAAGTTAACACAAGTCTACAACACACAACCTACCCAGAGTAAGTTAGCACAAGTCTACATACAAAATAACCTACCCAGGGTAAGTTAACACAAGCTACAACACAAAAAGTAATCTCCCCATGGTAAGTTAACACAAGCTACAACACACAAAATAACCTAACCAGGGTATGTTTACATGTCTACAACACACAAATAATCTAACCAGGGTAAGTTTACACATAACCTTCCCAGGGTAACTTAACACATAAAGTTGAAAAGTAATTCTGCACAATGTCAGCATTGTGTTATAAACATAACAGCAAATTTAAAGAATTCTTTCCATTGATGTCACTGTGTTACACACATAACAGCAAATTTTAAAATTCTGTCCAGGTTTAGCATTGTGTTTTTAATACAACAGGAAATGTAAAAATTCTGGTTCCGTTGTGTTTCCACAACAGCCAGAATTCTGTCCAGTGTTAGCATTTTGTTATAAATACAACAGCAAATCTAAATCTGAAGGAAAGCTTAATTGAAATCAATGAAGGCTTTGTTGTTTTCAAATCATATGAAAAAGAATTACTTCAGTTTGATCAGAGATCATTTTGACAAACTGTGTAACAGTACTGCTGTACTCATGGTCTATGCAGTCTTACTCTGAAGTAGAACCAAATGCAAACTAAAAACTTGTGTGTATAAATGCAAACTAAAAACTATTCCACCTTGTCCTTAATCTATAACAATTTTCTGCTCTATATTATAATATACATGCAGATAAGATGTCAGGAAAGGCTAATATTAATGTATACTGGTTTCCTCTATAGGTAGTTGTTGTAGGAGACCAGAGTTCTGGAAAAACCAGTGTGCTGGAAATGATTGTACAGGCTCGTATTTTCCCTAGGTAATATGCCTTAAACATATTATTGAATATGAATTGACATATTTTTGAAATAGTGGAAATCCACAGTTAATTTGTGCTAATTTGATTTTGTCAGCATTTTGAAGCCCCATTTCAAAAAAAAAAAAAACAACAACAGAAAAAAAACAAAAAAATAAATGAAAATAAAAATTGAGACAGATTTTGATTTTTTCTGAAGGGGATCTGGAGAGATGATGACCAGGTCACCAGTCAAGGTGACTCTCAGTGAGGGGCCATACCATGTAGCTTCATTTAAAGACAGCTCAAGGGAATTTGATCTCACAAAAGAAAGTGATGTAAGTGGACCTTATTGACATGGATTTCTTTTGAGATTCATACATGTATATTAAATTCATATTTTAATAGATATACATTTAATTGAATACAAAAATTAGTAATCATTGTATTTTTTGTCTGCTTGGTACCCTGACTTCCCAACTTTGCCATAACAAATCACTATAACGTGAACATTTCAAGACAGAGACTACATATTGCCAAGGTCAATAGAAAATTGTTTTTGAAATTTTTGCCCAGTAGATATTGTCTTTTATAAATATATTAATGTCTTTTTTTATTATATGATAAATTCTTGACAAATCTTTTTTGTTTTGCAGTTGGCAGCACTAAGGAAAGAAGTTGAACTGAGGATGAAAGCTAGTGTTGGTGATGGAGAAACAGTCAGCCAGGAGGTAGGTCAGGGGTAATGGGTCAGTGTTGTCTCTCTCTCATGGGTCAGGTGATCAGTCAGGAGTAGGTCAGGGGTAATGGGTCAGTGTTGTCACTCTCTCATGGATCAGGTGATCAGTCAGGAGGTACCAGGTAGGTTAGGGATAATGGGTCAGAGTGTTGTCTCTCTCTCATTGATCAGGTGATCAGTCAGGAGGTAGGTTAGGGATATTGGGTCAGTGTTGTCTCTCTCTCATGGGTCAGGTGATCAGTCAGGAGGTAGGTCAGGGGTAATGGGTCAGCATTGTCTCTCTCTCATGGGTCAGGTGATCAGTCAGGAGTAGGTCAGGGATAATGGGTCAGTGTTCTTTCTCTCTCATGGGTCAGGTGATCAGTCAGGAGGTAGGTCAGGGGTAATGGATCAGTGTTGTCTCTCTTGCATGGGTCAGGTGATCTGTCAGGAGATAGGTCAGGTAACGGGTCAGTGTGGCCCTCTTTCATTGGTTGGGGGATCAGTCAGGAGGTTTGTCAGAGGATCGGTCAGGGGTTACCAGCATTGTCTGTCGGGACCCGTCAGGAGAGTACTGAATAACCTCTCATGGGTCAGGGATACCAGTGTTGCCTCTCTGGGGAGTACTATACCTCTCATGGGTCAAAAGATTTCATGGATTTCATTTTATTTTAGGAAAATTTTATTGAAGTTACCGGTAGTCATGAACACAGTTTCATAGCATTTTTGATCATTTTAAAGATGTATAGGGATTGTTTGAGAATTTGTTGTTGATTTCAACAATATTTCCAAAAGTATTTCATTTGTCCAAATTTTTTCTCAATTTTAGTCAATTTCCATGACAGTCAAAGGTCCTGGTCTACAGAGAATGGTACTGGTGGATCTACCCGGCATAATATCTGTAAGTCATTGTGGACTTTATTCTTACAGCTAAATAAAAAAAAACTCAGCAGATGTTATGGAATAAATAAACTTTAAATATTAAATGCAGTATATAAAATTGTAGAATTTTAGGAAATTATTACTACACTATAAACAAAATGAAAACAAAATGCAATATAATTTATGTCAGTATTGTTTGAATTTAGCTGTTGCTTATATTTTAATTTCTTTTTCCATGTATCATTTAGACTGAAACTTCAATAATGGCACCAGAGACCAAGAACAATATCCGTAAAATGGTGAAGAGCCACATGGAAAATCCCAATGCCATAATTCTGTGTATTCAAGGTAAGCAAGAGGGGGGAAAACTTTATGGAAGGGTATTCCTTGAAGTGTTGATTATGCCAAAATTATGGTCACAAATTATGCAGGTCTACAGACGTGCAAGTATCAATTTTAAACTCCAGTATAAAAATGTGCTTTTATTGAAATACACTGCTTTATCAGCTATTCTGGCTGTTATGCCCTGTTTTTGGTGTAGTATGTGTTAGAGTATGCTTATACTGTATTTCAGCAACACCTCCTAGTAATAAAGCTTTTTACTCAATAAATAGTAAACATGTAGTGTGAAATGGTAATTAAAATAATGCATAACCAATTTGTAGATGGAGCACTTGATGCAGAGAGAAGCAATGTAACAGATCTAGTCAGTCAGATGGACCCAGGAGGAAAACGGACAATATTTGTCCTCACTAAAGTCGACCTGGCAGAATCTAATCTATACAATCCAGATAGGGTAGGTGTTCACTTCCTCACTAAAGTCAACTTGGCAGAATCTAATCTATACAGTCCAGATAGGGTAGGGTTTCACTTACTCTTAATCATCCTCAATAATTTGTATTTAGAGCCCAGAGTCAACCATCAGAAATTTAAAAATGATATGAAATAAACTTGTTCTACATGTATAGTATGTATAAACTGATATATTTATTTCTGGTCAGTTTTCTTTATTTGATGAATGAAAGTGAAATACAGCTGAACTTCAGCACATGTATCTCAAACATGGATATCTGGAATACCATGGATATGTCAAAGTGGGCTGGGAGTCCCAACAACTTTTTAGGTCACCTGATTTTACTCAGGTTACCTATTGCTATCTATTTTCGTTTGTCGGCATGTGTCGTCCGTTGTGCGTTAACATTTGAACATTTTCAGCTTCTTCTCTGGAACCATTGAACCAATTTCAACCAAATTTGGCATATAGCATCTATAGGTGAAGGGAAGTAAAAAATTGTGAAATTTATGACCCCTTCCCCCTTGGGGCCTGAGGGGTGGGGCTAAAACCATCAAAATTAATGCAATCTTTAAAAATCTTCTTCTTTACTCCTGGACATCAAGCAGTCAAACTGTTGGCATGATTGTAATAAGCATTGAGCCCTCTACCAAAATTATGAAATTTATGGCCCCAGGGTCAGGGGTTCTGGTGCTAGGGCGGGGCTCTGTTGAATATATAGTGAAAATGCATTATTTCCTAAAAAAATCTTTTCCTCTGCTGCTGGGTATTAAGCAAACAAACAATATGCATAGTTATGATGAGGAAAGGTGCTTCTTCTAAAATTGTGAATTTCATGGCCCCAGGGTCAGGGGTTAGGGTGGGGCTCTGTTGAATATATAGTGAAAATGCATTTTTATTTTTAAATCTTCTTCTCTAATCCAGGGCAAAAAAACTGAATGCATAGTTATGATGAGTAAGGGTGCCTCTTCCGATATTGTGAATTTCATGGCCCCTGGCTCAGGGGTTCTGGTGTTAGGGCAGGGCTTTAAAGATTACATAGTAAATGCAATAATTCTTTGACAATCTTCTCCTTTTCTCCTGGGTATTAAGCTGATGAACTAACAGTGTAGTAATGAAGAGTAAGGGTGCCTCTTCCAAAATTGTGAAATTCATGGCCCCAGGGTCAGGGGTTCTGGTGCTAGGGCAGGGCTCTGTTGAATATATAGTGAAAATGCATTATTTCTTAAAAAATCTTCTCCTCTGCTGCTGGGACGGTATTGAGCAAACAATCAATATGAATAATTATGATGAGGAAAGGTGCTTCTTCTAAAATTGTGAATTTTATGGCCCCAGGGTCAGGGGTTCTGGTGTTATGGTGGGGCTCTGTTGAATATATAGGGAAAATGCATTATTAAGAATCTTCTTCTTTAATCCAGGGCAAACAAACTAAATGCATAGTTATGGTGAGTAAGGGTGCCTCTTCTTATATTGTGAATTTCATGGCCCCTGGCTCAGGGGTTCTGGTATTAGGGCGGGGCTTTAAAGATTACATAGTAAAAATGCAATAATTCTTTGACAATCTTCTTTTTCTCCTGGGTATTAAGCCGATGAACTAAGAGTATAGTAATGATGAGTAAGGGTGCCTATTCCAAAATTGTGAAATTCATGGCCCCAAGGTCAGGTGTTCTGGTGTTAGGGCAGGGTTCTGTTGAATATATAATGAAAATGCATTATTTCTTTAAAAATCTTCTTCTTTGATCCTGGGTATTGAGGCAAACAAACTGAATACATAGTTAGGATGAGTAAGGGTGCCTCTTCCAAAATTGTGAATTTCATGGCCCCTGGGTCAGGGGTTCTGGTGTTAGGGTGGGGCTTTAATGATTACATTGTAAAAAATGCAATTATTCTTTGAAAATCTTCTCCTGCCGATGAACTAAGAGTATAGTTATGAGTTGGGTGCCTCTTCCAAAACTGTGAATTTTATGTCCCCTAGGTCAAGGTTCTACTGTTAGGGCAGGGCTCTGGTGTTAGGGCAGGGCTCAGGGCAAAGTTAATACATGATACTCAGGTGACCTATAAGGCCCATGGGCCTCTTGTTCTTGATCTATTTTAACATCAATATCTTGAATCTTTTGATATCTCTCTGTTTTTTCTTGGCCCTATCGAGTTTGAGATGATGAGGTTTGACCCTATCTCTTTTTCACTTTAATTTGTAGATCCAATCCATATTAGATGGCAGGTTATTCCCCATGAAGGCTTTAGGATATTTTGCGGTAGTTACAGGAAGAGGTATGTGTATTTTCAGTTGGTGTACAGTTCATCATTTTGTTCAGTTTATTAACAAGGCCTGTGCATTTTAATTCTTTCAATTGATTAATCAGTCTCAATATTATACAATTTACTTTTACATAGCTTTACTTATATTTGTTATAATTGTGAGTGCTACATGTAAATGATATGATTTTCTGTAATTTAACCCACATCTTAATAACTACAAGAAATCTGTATTCAACACATTAATTGCTACAAGGCTAATTAACACATGTTGGTTCAATATTAACTTTAATTGAAAAAAAAAATCCATTGAGTATAACTTTTTATGGTGTGGCCTGAATGATTTGTGACAGTTAGTAAATTTAAAAAGAACATAGAATTTTGAATGGAAAAAAATGAAATGCACAATTTTAAGAACAACATATTTTTCTCAGGTAATCAAAATGACAGTATTCAAGAAATAAAAAATTATGAAGAGACGTTTTTCAGGAATTCTAAATTATTCAAGTAAGTGATAATTCTTGAATGGGCTAAGGAGGAAAAGATACATGGACAGTAATTTTTTTTTACATACATGTAAATAAAGACTATTAATTAATGTAAATAAAGACGATTAATTATCTATGAGAAAAGTTAAAATTTTAACACTTACAGAAACAAATAAAAGCATTTCTTCAAGTAAATATTGTTTGGACTAGTTTTCAGTCAGTTGAATTATAAAGAAAGAGATTCTTAAATAAGATGATATTCATACATTTATTTTTAGGGATGGTGTGTTAAAACCCACACAGATGGGGACACAGAACATGAGCTTGGCCGTGTCGGAGTTGTTCTGGAAGATGGTCAGGGAGTCAGTTGAACAGCAAGCCGATGCTTTCAAAGGTAATATCCTGTTTTTCTTTCCATACAGTTGTGTCTTACATGTTGAAAAATTGAACCTTGCTGAGCTAAAAACACTTAATCTTCCCCTAAAACATGTAGATATCAACCTTAAAATTCTCATAGGGCTACATCACCAATTACTTTTAACCAGTACAAATTTCCAAATTAATCACTTAAGATACTGATGTTCTTTTCATTAAATGTTGTATTAAATCCCCATTTATTTAAAAGCAGAGTAAATGAATATGAATTAATTTTTTTTAATTTTCCATCTACAGCAACCAGATTTAATTTGGAAACAGAGTGGAAAAATACATTCCCTAGACAAAGAGAGTTAGACAGGGTAAGAATTCTGTAAAATCAAATATTTTCTTGGAGTCCAATTTTTGTGGTTTGAGATAAAATATGGGTTCGCGGGGATTTGATTTCCTGGATGAAGAATTTTTGAGTAGTAATATATGGAAAAATAAAATTATGTTAAGTACTAGAGGGATATTACCTGGTATTCTTGTCTGTCCACAACATTTCTTGTTTTTATCATGGTTTGAATCTAAAAATTATATTTAATTAAAGATAAAGGTTCAGGCTTCATCTCTTCATTTCATGTTATGTTACACAATTTTTCTTCTTTAGGATGAACTTTTTGAGAAGGCCAAAGGAGACATCTTAGATGAAATTATCAACCTTGGTCAACTCACACCAAAACAATGGTATCAAATTGTATTCTTTTTGTACCTGAACTAAATCCCATTTCTGTAAATGAACTGAAAGGACAGAAAAAAAATTTAGGAAAAAAGATAACACCCTTGCAGGCCTATGTTCCATATTTACAAGGTGCATAATAGTCTTAATTTATGCAATAATACAGGGACAAACAGGGAATCTTATGGACATGCACTGGGTTGAGACCATCAGTTTTTTTTAAAGAAGTATATTTTGTATTTTATGTTGAGAGTCAGTTGATTTTCAGATAAGTTGTACGTAGCCTGCAAAATAACACAGACCTTGTTACATATGTATTATACCTGTTCATGTCTATGTCTGTTTCAGGGAAGAAGCATTTTACAATAAACTGTGGGAGAGATGTTCGTCTTATTTCTTTGAGAGTATCTACCTTCCTGCAGCTCAAACGGAGAACTCTGGGTAAATGTGTTTATGTGGTTATTTAGCTTTCTGGGTTAAAATTTTTCTTTGTTTTACATTGGTAATACATGAATATAGGGAAAAAACTTTGCAGATTACATGTCACAAAAATCATCACATATCAGACTAATATACAAACATCCCTTAGAGAAATGAGACTCGATTGAGAGTTGTGGCTCATGGACCTAATGTGTATTTTAGTGATCACTAAAGTTACTGTCAAATTGTTCACTTTTAGTGCCTCACAATGCAAGCTGTAGATTCAAAACTCTTTCAGATATTTTGCAAACAATTGGTGGAGGTAATCAAATGGAAATAAATTCCCAGCATACATGTACATATTCCTAACATAATCTGCCTAACATAATCTGCCGCATAAGTTTTTCCATTCTAAATTCTGGCAACATTTTTTTCCTTGTCCAAAGGCACATTTTTCCTCAAACCATTCATGAACTTTTTAGATATATATTTGGTTCTGATGTATAAAGTTGACTAAAAAATTTAACTTCCTATAATATTGTTGGCAGAGATTGAAAAAAATTGATCAGTGTGTAATTTATCGTAACTGAGTTTAATGACTTATTTGTGACATGGTGTCATTTTTCAGAACATTTAACACTACAGTGGATATCAAATTAAAGCAGTGGGCTGACAACATGCTACCAAAGAAATGTGTAGAGGTATGTCATAAAAAATTGTTGTTATTTTTGTACTTCACAATAATTTTATGCCACGCCATGAATATGGCCAGGGCATAGTGTTTGTCATGTCCGTCTTCTGTCCTACCATCTTTTCATGTTTTTGCCCTTCTATCTTTCACACTTTGCATTTAGCTCACTGTGTATCTCTCATAGAAAAGTACCAGTTATTGCCTCTCCCTTCCCCTTGAAAAAAAATTCAACTATTTTACTTCATTTTATGTCTTCTTTAAAGTCTTACCAATGTTCTTTATTTTGATTGTCATTTTCATCAGCCAAACATTATGAGAATGCTTGCCATCAAATCCACATTTCTCTTTGTCTTTTGAATGGATCACAAGGTTCTATTTTAAGAACAATCATGACACGTATTTTACAGGTCGGCTGGGATACACTGCATGATGAATTCCTAAAAATTGTGGAGAAAGACAAGAAGAATAAAGGACATGATGAGATTTTTGACCAGCTGAAGGTAGCAGTCATCGAGGCCAGCAAAAACAAACATCAGTGGGACAGCAAAGCCGAGGACAGTCTGGTAAGCAAGGGAAAAATAAAAATGACCAGATATTGATTTAACATCCCTCAGGGAAATTTAAGTTTTCTTTGGAGGAATAAGTTGCAAGTACATGTATTTTGAACCTCATATGATAAACTTTGTACCATATATTATCAGACTTACAACTGCAGTAAGCAATTTTTTTTACTGTACTTCAAAGAGTTCTACATTATGTATAATTTTGAAATGTGAAAATATTGAAATTAAATATATATGTAACATTCAAACTGGACAGAAGTGGAATAACTTCTAATGCTCTTGTTTTAGAGGGTTATTCAGGTCAACACCCTAGAAGACCGCTCAGTGACTGACAAACAACACTGGGACTTTGCCATCAAATTCATGGAGGAGACTGTCAAGAATCGACTACAACAGAGTATGTATACACCATTTAATTATTGTGTCCCCCTTAATACACACCCTCCTCCAATTGTGATAGACTGTCTGGTCATTTTAGTTCTGTTTTCACAATTTTAGCTAAATCCTTGAACCTGTTTATACACGAAAGTCAAGAAATTTTGTTGAAAATATAAACTGAGCCAAACTCTTTTCAAATTTGACACCAAGTGAAATGCCATTGAATGTTCAAAACCCCAAATCTCACTTGTAGTTGTAGTAAATAGAAACAGAGGATTCAGAGTGGTACTTTCCTAACTAAAGAGATGCTGCAAATTGATTTTTAGCTCACCTCAACGAAGTTGGGGGAGCTTATGTAATACCCTCGGCGTCAGTGTCCCAGGTTAAAGTTTTTGAGTTTTCTTTTCTAGTACTTCTATGCCCTATATCAATCAGAGATGCATGGAGGATGCTTCTAGTGTGTTTCATTGTACCAGTCAAGGTTTCAGATGCTGCAATTCCAGCTAAAGAATGACCAGGTTAATGTTTTTGGAGTAGGTTAAGGTTTTTGGTGCAGGTTAAAGTTTTTGGAGCAGGTCTCATTTCCAAGTAACTATAGGCCCTATATTGACCAAACTTGCATGGATGATACGTCTAAGGATGCACACTACTGAACTTGCTTCGGATGCTGGATCTGACCTACATTTTCTGGATGAGTGACCAGGTTAAAGTTTTTGGAGTAGATTTCATTACCAAGTAACTATTAGCCCTATATTGACCAAACTTGCATGGACGATACACCTAAGGATGCACACTACTGGACTTGCTTCAGGTGCTGGATCTGACCTACATTTTCTGGATGAGTGACCAGGTTAAAGTGTTTGGAGCAGATCTCATTTCCAAGTAACTATAAGCCCTATATTGACCAAACTTGCATGGAATGATACACCTAAGGATGCACACTACTGGACTTGCTTCAGATGCTGGATCTGACCTATATTTTCTGGATGAGTGACCAGGTTAAAGTTTTTGGAGCAGATCTCATTTCCAAGTAATTATAAGCCGTATATTGACCAAACTTGCATGGATGATACATCTAAGGATGCACACCACTGTACTTGCTTCAGATGGTGGATCTCACCTATATTTTCCGGATGAGTGGCCAGGTTAAAGTTTTTGGAGCAGATCTCATTTCCAAATAACTATAAGGCCTATCTGAACCAAACTTGCATGGATGATGCATCAAGGGACGAACACTCTCAAACTTGCTTCAGATGCAGGATTTGACTTGCATTTTCTGGATGAGTGACTAGTTTTAAGTTTTTAGATAAGTCCATTCCCAAGCAGCAAGCCATATCAGACCAAAATTGCATAAATGTTGCATCTAGGGATGCACACTACTAGATTATTAGTTTAGTGTGGGACTTTGCCTTCGTTGAGGTGAGCTCTGTAATCTCTGATTACCTATGTTTTTTTCACTATTAATGGTGTATTAAATTCACAAATGATCACATGCTCTTTACTCATTGCAGCACAAGATAAGATAAAGGAGCTAACTGGGCCAGGAACTTGGGAACAATGGACTCATTGGAAGTCCAAAACTCAGGAGCACAAAAACCGCGGTGCAACCAGGCAGGAGCTGGAAAAAATCCTGTCTGCAGAACCGGTATGTGTACAGAGCTGGTATATCTATGGAGTTAGGAATTAACTGAAAGATCTGAATCTGCAGTTTAAAATATTGCATACAGAGAAATTTTGCCCTTGTTTTATTGTCCTTCCTTTCAAACTCGTTGTCAGTTGGTGAATTCAACAGAGACAGAGTTAAAGATGTAAATGTGGCTGGGTGAATTGATCAGAATAGTTTGCAAGTGTTATAGGGCAAAAATAATGTTGTGAAAATAACCCTGTTCATGTGTACAGTACTACAGTAGTGAAAATATAAATATTCATCTTTAAGTGAATCTGCTACTTCAAATTTTTTAAAAATTTGCATATATAAAACATAATAACTGTAGACAACAAAGAGAATGAATATGAATTGCCAGCATGTTTTTGATATTCACAGGACCACAAGTCAAACCTTGCCAAAGATGAACTTACTACAATCCGTAGAAACTTACAAACCAATGGAATCGAGGTCACCAATGACTTTGTAAGCAAAAAAATGTTGTGTTATATAAGTTGTACTGTATGTTTGTTTAATGAACAACACATGATAGCATCCAACTCATTTTAAGAACAATGTTAAAGGAATCTTGTTATATGAAAGAGTGGGACAGAGGGTTGATACTGAAAGTTTTATTTTGAAAAATTTATACATTTTGATGAGCACTAAGAAATGCATCATGACTTTTGTGTGTTACAGATAAGGGAGACTTGGTATCACGTTTACAGACAGTTCTTCCTCAGTAAAGCTCTGGGCCATTGTCAGGAGTGTAGAAAAGGCTTCTATTACTACCAGAAAGGATTCTCAGACTCAGGAGTAAGTCACACAGGTTTTCAAAGAAATATATAGTAAAATACACACTTATTGTGTCTGATAAGATCATAATACAATTTAAAATAACCTGGAGTAAAAATTGCTTCCCTGCAAATAAGAATTCATTATAAGTGTGTTCATTGTAGCTGTGTTTTACTAAATCTTTTGTAGCAATGTTGTACTTTAAAGAGTGGGGCAGTTTTTTTAGGGATTTTTTTTTCATTAATTCAAACTTTATTTATTACATTATGTAACAAATTTGTACAATGACATAGCATAATTTCTGTTGAAAAACTTTGATATATAATATTTATATGTACATGTACTGGTGTAAGTTACATCCATCTGATCAAATCTTCAGAATGTATAGATGTTTATTCTGTAGTCTAATGTCTGCCTGCTCCTAATTACAGCTGGAATGTAATGATGTTGTACTGTTCTGGAGATTACAGAGAATGTTACAGATTACAAGTAATGCTCTCAGACAACAAGTTGTCAATAATGAAGGTACATGTAATTCAAATAACTAGAAACCTTTTTCTTTTTTAAAAATTGAAACCACATTTATAGCAACACTGACTACATTCCTTTATTTGACTTTCCTGGAACCTTTCATCTTCAGTTAATTTCCCAGCATTTAACCTTAATTTGAAATCTCTAACACTCCCTGTTAGCTTGATTGTACAAGTGTGTTTTCTTTCTATACAGCTAGAAGACTGGAGAGGATAATAAAGGAAGTATTAGATGAATTTGGTGATGATCCAGAAACTCTGGCCAAATTACTGACGGGTCCACGAGTACAGCTAGCAGAGGAATTAAGTAAGTGTTTAATAATTGAAACAATGCTAAAGAGTTGAGAGAAGTTTTCTTTTAATAACAAAGTGTTGCAAACGATGTTGTCAACAAAATGAACACAAACAATTTTGGCACTGATAATTCCATTGTTGTAAAAATGACATTTATCGTTCTCCACAGAAAAAGTGAGACAGATTCAAGAGAAGTTAGAGGAATTTATTCAAGCATTAAACAAGGAGAAATGACATGGATCATAAACATAAAAAAAGGAGCATCTCTGTGATTTTATTTGCATTATATGTTGTCAGAACTTACACAGCAGTTTTCCTCCCAGTGCAGTGTATGGAGTACTATAGTACTAATTTATTTCGATAAGTGATGTGGTGCAGATAAGGTTAATCCCATTATGATTTTTCTTCTGAAGTGCTTAAGTTTGTTACTCATTTTACATGCATGTTGTTATGCCTCATGTATTGCTAACTTCTGGGTTTTCATTATTTACTGTCTACAAAAATAAAATTTTATAAATGATTATTTTGCAATGTAGGTATATGTACATGTGTATGTATGATTTAAATTATCTGCATTCAGAATACTATTGTTAACTTGTAAACACAATACAGTGAGGTAAATTTGCCATTTATTTTGTCATGGTACAATTCAGAATAAATGTAATAGAAAAATATGATAAATGTTGAAAATATACAATCTTCAATATTTTTTTTAAGCAAAAATATTTTTAAATTACACATTTATGCTTTTTTCCTACAAGGAAAACTATACAACTAGACATTTGTAATTTAAGCAGTTTTATGCCATATACAACATGTACAAGGGATGTGTGGAAGTGGTAATCTAAAACAAGTTTGAGGCTCTAGAAATTTTTGGACAGTCCTATCAGATTTGAGATACCATGGATTTGAGATACATGGTCCATACTTTTGGGTGATTCACTCTTCTAATATACAAAGTCAATTATATCTCTTCAGTGAGAATTTAACAAATCAACTCTGTGTGATACAGGTCTCTGCAGCACAATAACATTTTTATATTTGAATAATGAATTAGAAACAATTGCAGTGCAAATTTTAATTTTTATATTATACAGTAAACTTTGTTAATAAGGAATTTTCTGAGAACCCTTTAGATGAGGTGCCTTTAGCCTTGTAAAGAAGTTTTTAACTTAGTAATTTTAGGAGTATATTTATTATATTTTACATGTACTCTGTCAAAAATAGTATGTTAAAAAAAATTGTCATTTTAATATATGTAGAAAGGTAATGCAGACTTGTCAGCTTTAGAAATCAATGTCAGGAGCAAAGTCTGCCATTGGGGAAATTTCAGATCAATCATTCTTATGGGGAGTTCCTCATTAGTAAGTTCCTTATAAGCAAGTTTTGCTGTAAATACATATAAATTTTATCATGGCTTGAAGTGCTTCAGAGATTAAATCTCAGAAACGACTTTCTGGCTTTTTGCTTCCATTGTAATTTCGACCATAATTATTCTTTTCCTGACTGAGTTTATACACGGAAGGCTGCACATCAAGGCAAACATCCATTTGTACCAGGCTAGCTTTTTCACCCGTTGTTACGTTTCCATTGCACGGTTTCGAGCGGGGAATTCCAGGACCGTTATACTTCGAGGACATTACAGGGCGGGAATGGTCCGATTTTGATTTCAGGTTGTTATATTTCTGTTGTATTCCTTCGGATCGACGTTCAATGAATACAACCACCAGCCGATAAACTAATAGCAAAATCACTAATGTGTTCTTGGAGGTGAAAAACATATTGGTGTAACTTAGGACGTTGAATTTGAAGATCAACAGTAATCGAAGAACCAGGAACGGTAAATCTTGGAGGATAATTGATATGAGAATCCCATACACGTCTGCCGCGCAGCATCCGTATTTCCGCTGCTTGACGTTATAGTGGCGGGAAACAAGACCGGATTGGTCACGCCGTGCACGTGCTGCTGTCAGAACGAGGGTGAACTGGATCAAACTTAGGCTCCAGAGTCCGAGAATAGATATGCATAGCAGTTTGTTAAAGCGTACCTGTAAAAATATTGTTTTAATCGTTCTATTAATTTAAATACAATCAGCGCAACAATATTTTGATTAAAGAACAAGAGCCCTTCCATAAACCTCAAATACATTTACATCGAATCATTAAATTTAAGATATCTATGGATCGTTAAACAACATCTCAGCAGGAAGGCCCAACAATAGATATTTACAATTATTGAATTGAAAATTAACACAGATTGTGCATAATCCAAATTTTATTGAGAATTTATCAATTACGGGATGCCGGTATTCAATATCAACTTGGACTCTTAAATTACATTCGATAACTAACAGATTTTATGTATGGCCAAAACATCTGGACTGTGGGAAAGTTAATTACTTTTCATCGACAAAGTGTAATTTGATACCTCTTTTTCTTTAAAAGCCTCGAAGAATTCTACAATGTCCGCAGCCGTTCCTATATACACCAACAGCAACTGTGACAACTGGTCATGTGTTAGTTTGCCCTTGGGCAACATCCATCGACCCAAGATCAGCAGCAACAACAAAAGTTGTTCTAAGGTGCGGATCCACTCGTCTGGACTAAGGTTGATTGGTAGCCGGATCTCAAATTTGACCTAAAACATATTATTATTAAATAAATGTTATATTGCGTCTAGGATACGAAAAATAAAAAGGGCTATGTAAAAATAACATAGTTTTTGATGCACCGCCTTTAATATGTGCGTGAAGTGTCTCTAATTTCAGAAGAGTTTTCGACATGTTCGTTAGCCGACTTGAAGCTTTTTCTTAATACTTCATAAATTAAAGCAGTTGGTGAATAAACGTTAACCCTATTATCCCGGTTGGGGAATTGCCCAGTCTTTCAAATACACATCAAATGTTCGAAATTCTGTAGACTAACAAGTAGTTTTACATAGATAAAAAAAAAAGATAATTGGCTTATGAGCATATCTTTACATCCAATGAATATTTTCTCTTTTATTTCTTATGAAAACCGATTGCTATTTTAAGGCTTCAACAAGAGGCCCATGGGCCACAATGTTCACCGAGTCACTTTGACCCTGCTGTTCTTCATCAGCTTATTTTTTTTTTTAATTTCCCTCTTGAACTTCATAAAAATCTTGACTCCATATTTTGGACCAAAATCTAGTCCTAGGAGAGCTATGATTTAATCACAGTTGAATCCACACAACATTGGGATGCTTCACTATCAATATGATCAGCATGGCCCTGTTATGGAATTTATTTTTAATGTACATATTAAGCATTATGTAAAATTTGGATCTCTGAATTCGGCCCAACCCTAACCTAATTTTTAAAGATTTTTTGAAGGCTTTTTTTCCACTATATATTTCTATGTAAAAATTTGATCGCATAATGTGGCCCCACCTTACTCCCAGGAAGTCATGATTTGAACAAACTTGAATCTACATCACCTGAGGATGCCTCCATAATGATAATTCATTACTATCATATAATATTAAGTAATTCCCAGCATCTTAGAAATATGTATTGAAAAGGTCCCCCAAATTGTAATTTGTAAAAACAATTGTCAACGTTTGTCACTGCACTTGTCGTTTGGCTTTTTTAAAATCCTGAAATCAACGAGGCCCTTCCTTTTGCCATCTTACGTCTCTTTAGCAAGTATGAGACAGAACGAATCGAATGGTACTCTTTATAATTGACTTTGTCCTTTTGACAATGGAATCGCTGTGCTTCTTCCTCTGAATCTTATCAAAATGTGCCCCGACTTGGTTAACACATCACTGTCTTTAGGCGTGACCTGTGGCTACACATATCTCACCACCAGCAAAGTCAAATAGCGCTCTTTTAATTAAGTTCACAAATAGTTAACATCTATCACTGTCTTTCACTTTTTGTCCCCAGAATTTTCAGACCACCTGCGTCACTCAGATGAGCTTCTGCTATATCCGTTAATGTCTGTCGTTGTCCGTAGGACGAAGACTTTTGAACATTGCTTAATAACCAATTTCAGCCAATTTTTCTATGTAGTATGTATAGAATAAAGGGGCAAAAATTTAAGCCCCCTGGTTTTAATCCACATGGTCTGGATAAGTTGTCAATTATTGAAATTGTACTATACTCAGTGCAGTTTACATTTGAAAATCTTGTTTCTTCTTGGACTATTAACAAAGTATATCATGCATGGTGACAATAAACAATTAATGAGCATGCATTTTACCATATTGTATAACTTTTTGTTTCCTTATAGACCAGGTCCCAGGGCGGGGCTTGCCGCTTAGTTTATCAAATATTCAAAAAGTATTACAAATCGTTACAAATCTTCTAATCTAGGAGACAAGTTTCAAACTAGCTGATGATGTACTGTAATGGATCCTCATTAAAACGTAAAATTCTTGTTACATGAGGCCAGAATTCAATGAAGTCCCAGTCCAGGCTGAGAAACGTCATGATATCCAGGTGAGTGTCCAGGCCTATAGGCCTCTTGTTTCTCATTAATGTTATAGGCATTGTTTTAATACTTCTTTTATGACACATTAGTATGATATTGATCAAAACATGTTTACAAGAACGGTTTTTACAAATTTTAGAAGCAGGGATCATGGATCACATCGCTGACCTTTCGTTCGTGACCCCTGTAAGTGCATTTTGTGATTTACAAATCAAAATTCCAATATACCAGCTGATAGAACACACATCTTCTGAGATAAGATTTGTAATTATTAGTATGTTTTATCAAGGCGGATATATCTGAAATTTGTTTTTGTTAAGACAAGGATAACGGGGATAATCGCTATCTCAGCATCGATGAAGTGATTGAACGAAAGACTCAACATTCTGGCTTTCTCCAAAACAAAACAAAAAATGAGAATTTTAAGCCAATTTTTTTTTTCTTGTACAGTGTGTTGCATTCAATGAAATAACTTAGAGAACTGGTGAATTGGTCATATGCATATATCTACTGCGAACCTCGACTGCAAAAATTAAAACTGAACTCAGTGATAAGTTAAAAAATTACTGGAAGGTGAGAAAAAAAGCAAATGCTCCTAAGACGATCGTTCGCTCTCTTTCAACGTTAGCGATATGATTCATATTTCCCTAAAATTATTAGCCCCATCATATTTCTTCAGATCTTCATCTAGGTAATCGGGGGTTATGAGCTATACTTATAAATACGTACACGAAACCTAAAATTCTACGGTGCCTAAAAATATATTGTACCTATTTAGCCTTGATAAAAAGTACACGAAATGTGTACATTGAGGTGTATAAAAGCAAGAAACCCCTCCGCAAGTTTATAAATTCTACAAAACTCTGCAGTTAAATATTTTGATTTTCTCTTCAAAGAGTAATCAAGATGGCTTTAGAGATTGAAGTGCTTCGTCAGCTGTTGTCAGCAAAAGATCTACATGTACATTCATGATTGACGATAGAAATGCATTATGGCCGCATTTGTTTCTGCTGCTTGGAGAGCAAATGTTAAGCTCAAAGATCTCCATCTCGATAGCAAGACAGTATTTTTTTGTTCAAGGCCCATTTCAAGAATCCAAAAAAGATCAAAGTCATATAATATATACTTTTGTTTCTTGGAATTCAGAAATAAACATCGTTACGTAACCACTTTGTCACGCAGACGACAGCTATAGAAAATTGAATACCATACAAAATGATGAATTGCATCATGAGGGAAGGATGTTAACGTAATTAAATGACTGCTGTCGAGATTAGCTTGTTTAAACTGGTGATGAGAAAAAGGTTCGTCATTTTCAATCAAACAAAACCAAGCGTTTGAAGATAATGATAGTTTTTGCAACTACCAAGTTGTTTTTCTCAGTAATAAAAACAAGAGTAAAGTGTATTTTGTTACGTCACTAAACACTTTTATCAGGTGCTGAAATCTTTTATTTTCTATTCTATTCACTGCGCATTTTACCACATTTTCTACAATATAATGCAAATAAAAAAAAATATTACGAAAACAACTTTTCGTTGCATGCAAAAACAAGTCTAAACAACTGAAAATCCGCGATGCTTGAACACTTTAAAAAGTAAGAGTATATTATATTGGTAGCTAATGGACGTTGTATTTTGGGTGAATCTTATATTCTTGATCTTAAAGTCATCTGAAAGTTTTAACTTCACATTTAAGCCACTGTATTTTGAATTGATCCATAAATTCAGATACATTTACAGATTTATTTATATTTCGTAATTAGAAATCTTATTCATTAGATAAAAAAAAGCACATTTGCAATCTGACGTTTGCAAACATTTTGACGCAAAAAGTTATAACACCAAATGTAATAGAAATCAATTTTTTTTACTCTGCACTTTCATTTTCCACTATTACAATACTTAACTTTCATTGCATCAATGTTTTAGCACACATTCGCTGATAGTTTGAACATTTGGTTGTTTCTGACGTCACTCACTGTATAAGGAAACTCTGAACTATCGCCGAAATGATGATATTTATTAAAAAAATGATGTACTAAAAAATAGATTGCCTTACCCCTAAGACGCTGCCAAGATGTGCAGACAGGTCGTATGTTTCATTATGGATTTCAACAATATGTAAACTAGTGTTGCTTATATTTAAGAGAGAGGAAATTTGGTGTTCGATCCGCTTTTCTAATTCATGTAGCTCCAAAAACCATATAGCTGGGACCGTCATAGTCAGATAAATCAGAACGCTGGGACAGAACCTGAAATTAAATGATAACGCTGAAGTTAAGAATCTTATTAACCAGGGCATTAATCCTGGTTAGATTATTTAAATTAGTATATAATATTTCATCGAAAATTTCAGATGACGGTATATTAATATAACTTTAGGATTCAGGTGAACTCTGCAGTCCATGGGCCACTTGATAATGCACATCAAATTTGACTTTCGTTTCTCTTGACGTGGATTTTAAACTAGTTAACTAATTACAGGGTGGACGCCACTAGGCCAGTAGATCAATAAACGTGGCTACAGACAGGTTAGTTACTAACTACCGAAATCCGAGATTTAGTGTAAAAGTGCATTGAATCGCTTTCTCTGCCTGATGACTTTAGGGAGGAAATTACATCAAGATATAAATGCTCAGTAAACTTATGAACGGCAATGGTTTGGCATTTATTTGCACCAAAAACCTCCTTTCACCCACCCACCAAATGAGTTCCACTTGTGCTATAATTCTTCGATTAACTGTTGAAGTTATGGAGCTATGTCATTTATTATTTTAACAAGAAACAAAACCCATTAATCACATCGCGTTTGCCATTAACCCTCGTTTTCGTGATATATATTTTTTCTCCGATTTTTCCTCAAGATGCAAGATGTGAGGTAATTTCGCACCATTATAATACTTAAGCTACATAGATAACGGTACGCTACGGGTCCCTCATTCACAAGCAGTGCTGGATCATTAACTATAAAGTTTTCAATTTAAAATTATAACACCTTTGGCTTAAATAATAATGATCGGATTCGTCATTGATATTTCTGTAAAGTTCAGAAAGTCGCGATCGTAGCATTTGTAAAACCTGTAGTATTTATGTGTCTGAACATATCTTCTGGTATATGAAATTTCTGAAAGTGAATCGAACATTAAAGTATATACATGTTTATAGAGTAAACTTGTTGAATCCAGACACCATTGGTTCTAAAGACATTGGCCAGATAAGACAAGATTCGGATAAGACAACATTTTAAATAATTGAATTAATTGAAAGGGACATTTTAAAAGTTTACATCGGAGTAGGCAAGATTTCGGAATACACAACATCCGGATTGGACAAGTTTTACTATACATTAAAGTACATGTACTAAGTATGCTACATTAAGCTCTTATAGGCTAAATAACTTATTCATGAGAAAAAGATTGCTTTCTTTCCATATGGAATTTTACAGATTTCAAACAAGCCACATTGTGCTTAATCTCACGTGTTTGATAAACAGTTGCCTTTGTGGAACATGTAAGAAACTCATAATAAATCATCAAGTATAATGTTCTGTTAAACAAATATTATTTATGACGCACAACTCATCACCTAAATAACATTTTAAAATTAACCTCAACTATATATATACGAACTACATATATACTGTACCACTTCACAGTATACTCAGCATGTAGAATTCTTTTAAACCCGAATATAACGGATAATATTCAAAGACGTTGAAAAAAATCAAGTGATATAATTTCTATCCAATGAATTTTTTAAATATAAGATTTCAGTTGTTTATCTTAGTTTTTTTTTTTTTTTTTGAGGCAAATAAATTTTTATTATATTTTTTTTATTTATTTATTTCGATTTATTTATGAAGAAGAACCATGTCTAACTCTTTTTCATTTAGCTGAAAATTTCTTGCAAAATGACGCAATCTTCTTACCATTTCCATTCTTTCCCTTGCTTTCTGACCAGTGTGATTGTTGTTTCGACCAACAGAAATCCAAACGAGGTCGCTAGGTACCAGAAACGAGACTCCTGTGTCACCTTATTCAGCAGCCATATTGAAACTAAGCCATGGCAGGCGAACAGAAGTCGGACAACGATCGCTCTAACTATTGTACAACTTCCCATTTTATTATTATATCATTTCATAACTCTCCAGTATATCTGAAATATAAAAAAAATAGCATCATATTGTGATTCTGTATATTTCATCCGGTACAATCTTGTTTTAAAAAAAGTCCCAGGGATGGAACAAAGCCTCAATCACAAATGATGCACAAATAGGGAAACCTTGAATGTTTTAACGTACTATGCATTTTTATCATTTAGAACGGAAAGAAAGTTAAGACACCAAAGGCATATCGCTTTTCTGTCCAGCTACTGAGAGAGATCGTAAGGTGGATGAATTATCTGTTTTTGAATTTTTTCACAATATCTGAGGACATGAGCTAAAAAAAACTAGATGAAGGTAAAAAAAAAAAAAAAGAAAAAAAGGGAGGCCAGTTAATAAAACTTTATTTAAGTGTCCTTGTCAAAATTAATAGATGTATATAAAATTAACTACTTTAGATTCTGATTTTGTGTCAACAATATTTAATAAATCTTGATTTAAATGCAAAGTAAAAATCAAACATTCAGGGTGACCAAGCTTTAGGATAGATAATTGTCATTAATGTATTTGAACATGAAGGCATCCTTAAACTGAAAAATATTATATAAGAAAAAACAGGTCAAGGTCATATGACAGGTTAATTAATTCAAACCTCGGTAGTGTTAACCAAGTCACTGATAGGAAGGGGTACCCTACCCCCTTTTTTCTTTCATAAAATGTATACCTAAAAGTAAGAGGTCACGAGTGCAGATGATCATGACATGGGCAACACAATTTTCTTTGCTTTATTCGTGTTAGAACATGGAAACATTAGCATTACGTAATTGCTTAAATGCTTCTATATCATTAAGAAGAAATGAATTCTTTTAATAATCTTATCTATTCGTAGATTGCATCCTTTGGCTTCTAAACTGACTTGCATCTTTACACAAATAGGATTAGGATTTTTTTTTTCAAAGTAACTTTGTTGTATGTTTGTTATAATATCCACACGTTTATAAGTTCATTATTTTAATAAGCTATTATGATAGAAAGTAATAGAGGCTAAATATCAAAAGTTTAATAGTTCAGTTTCTTATTTAACCGCGGTTATGCTTCAAGCTAACTTGAAAGTTTAGCGATCTGTCGATTGCTATTAAAATTTTTAAAAAAATGAAAGAAGAATAACTGTCTCCATATTTTACAACACATCCGTTATAAAAATGTATACAGATACTGGAGATATTTTTTTTAAAAATATTTTATAAGATCATGTAATTTTTCAAAAGAGTAAGCTTTGGAGCTCAAAGGAGGGAGACTTGTGCCAGAGGAACGTATTCTTTGTAGGTAATCTTCATTATCATGCGATTTCACATTTTATATCACGGCGATAGATATTCTTCACGCAAGTTTTTTTTTTTAAATTATTATTTTTGAGAAACAAATACATGTATACCTTTTCCCAATTATTAATGTTTTCAGGTTAATTTACAATTTCTTGTCATTTTTGTAATTTCAATTTCTTTGAAGTATATACATTTTTAAAGATGAATCGTTGTTATATTAAAAAAATTAGATTACATATATATTTAAATTTTTAAAAAAAAGCGACTCACCTTCAAAATTCTAAAATTGTCACGAACACTTCAACTCCTCCAATTCCGAGCATGACAAAATTATAAAATCCTATTACAAAATTTATCGGATATATCCTATTGATTAAGGTATCAGCAACCTTGGGACGTGTTAGCAAGACAGTCTCCTCGATTCCATTCAGCAACGGAGTGTCGAGTTACCTTAAGCGCCCTTAGATCGCAATCTACAACTGGACGCAGACGGTACACGCAATAAGGTTTGATACATCCCATCGCTAATTCCGGATGCTTCAATGGAACAATATTGGACGCTCTAGGGCGGGAGACAATACTTCTATAAATCGGGATTTTTGATCGATGTCAAAATAAAATCTACAAATTTTAAATAACAAAAATGTCAGAAAATGATGTGATGTAGAATATGATTTGATGCAAATTGAACATTGTCTTGCATTGGGTTTACATCGGTCAAAAATTTAAATAAAAGGAAAACTCGTCAACAAACATTAAAATCCAGTTATTGTATTTTTAGCTGTACTTATTTATTTGAAACAAATTTGAGAAAAATTAAGACACATGTGGGTTTTGTAGCTATGTTTCATTGTTACCCCCCCCCCCCCCCGCTTTTCAAGCGGGGGTGTATATAGTGATGGGGGTGTCCGTCCGTCTGTTACACTTTGGGATACCCATCTCTTACACGCAACTCCTCTTATACCACTGAATGAAATTTAATGAGACTTTCACAGAATCTTTGTTACATAGTGTTATTGTGCACCTTCTATTTTACTTTTTGATCGGACACATATTTCGGGTTTCCAATAGCAAAACATAGACACTGCCATTCTTTCTATAATATTTAAGACGTACCCATCTCTTATCCGCACCTCCTCTTGTACCACTGAATGAAATTTAATGATACTTTCACAGATTCTTTATTACATAATGCCATTGTGCAGCTCCTATTTTACTATTTGATCTGACACTTATTTCGGGTCTCCCATAGCAAAACATGGGCTTTGCCATTATAATCATACGGGAGGCGGGGGTATCATTTTATGAGCTCAGTGCTCAAGTACCTCTAGTTTTATTTAAATTCCTTCGTGCATAGAGCTTCTACGTAATCGTGAATACAGCTTCCATGTGGAGCCAATATATTTTAAGATCATTACATCAACAATTTCAATTCAAAATTTATTATAATATAAAAAGTACAATAAATTTTCTGTTGCCATTAAAGCATCGTAGAAGTTATACTTTCGTATATTGATCTTGAATGCATTTGAAGCTTTTTAAAAAAAAAAAAAAAAAAAAAAAAAAAAAAAAAAAGAAGATTTTTTAACTCTTTGATAAGTTGTGAAACTTCTTCGAAAAGAAACATTTTTGATAAAAGACTTCTTCCTCTTTCTTTTGAAATAATGCACTTTCAAATATAATCGGAGTAAAATCTATTTTATATCTTCCAAGGCAATATCTAAGACATTATCTAAACATGCATTGATTTCTCAAAATCTCGAAGATAACGAACTTTTGAGAGATTTGATGATTTAAGTGCTCTCAAACTACATGAAAATATCTAATTTTGTGGCTTTCAGATGAGAAACTATCTAAAATCGTCATGCCAAATTTAAAATACAAGATCCATATGTGATAATGAGTGCAATCATTGGTTGATATCATCTTTACATAAAAAAAATTGAGAGTTGCAGAATTTTTTCTATAAATGTCTAATGAAAGTCTTTCTGGTACAATTAAGATTTGCCCACATTTACCATCTGCTCTGAAGGAAGGAATACATATTGAATTGTATTTTTTATCGTATTTAAGGCGACTTCAAGCATTATGAAACTTTTTCAATTCAAGCCATGGAAACTTAGATATAGTAATAGTATAATTATAATAGAAAAAAAATACATGAATAAATAAATTAATAAAAAGATAAATGGTCGCCCTATCCTTCCACATTAAAATCATTAAATTGCTTGAATAGGACTATATTGAAAAATTTCAAGATCCCTACCATATTTCCAGTAAAAGACTTTAACTACACTGTAATACCTTTTAAAAAACAATTTAAAATTCTGTTGAAGAGACCAATTGGTCCAATACTTTTTGCTATATCTTAGTTTTTTTTTTTTTGTTAATTCTTTTTAAACAAATATTTTGCTATGTCCTTTATCATATTACGTTGTTTTCTATTATAGGTCAGAATGTTTTGTTCAATTAGGCCAGGTCAATCATTGATTAAATATTTTGTTTTATGAAGGCAAAATATAACATTTTATCTGTGTTCTTGATGGATTACCATTTGTAATATCTAGATATGTGTCACTCAGAAAACTCGTCAAACTCTGTTAATTAGCATTAATGCCATTATACCACTAAAGACCACAAAGGCATTGTAATCAATTCAATAGATATTATACATATTTTTCCTACCGGCTGTTGATATTTATTGTTATACCGTAAACAACAGTGCTCTTAAATTAGAAATAAAACAACTTTGTTATTTGTTTGTCCTGTACTACACCCGTCATTCACTGCAGCTCTCTTGGGAAATCAAAATGGCTGCTACGTCAACACACATTGCAAACGGCTTTTCAAGAGATTTTTTGTTTTCCGCCGATACCAATATCTGAGAAATGAGTTATGTGATAAAATTGTAATTTTGGAATATTAGCCAAAATTCTTCGTTACACATTTCCCAGAGGAAGAAGGCAAATGAGGATCGATAAAGTATTGATAGAAAAGAAAATTTCCTGTGTTTTGTAATTAAACTAATAACATATTCCCCACGTCTGAAATGAACAGCGTGACTAAGTGATCCATTTGAAGGACACTTTCGATCCATTTTACGTATTGGATGTCTATGCTTTGACAATATATGTGTATCATTCTAGTTTTCAAACTTTTTATTATTTAAGTCATCCCTATATTTTCCTTGTTTTTGCGCTTTACATTAAAATTTTGTATTTGGGTATTCAGACTCCCCCCTCCCCGCACCCCAAAGTATCCCAATTATGTTGAATTACAGTGTAATACAGGAAGGTCGAAAACTGCATAAATTTTGTGTTCTGAAGTAAAGTTTCAAACAGATGAAAAGAAAACAAGCATACATAGGGTTTTTTTTTTTATTGACATAAACCTACGAATTTCCTATGCCAACACCAAATAATATACGAAAATTACTGTACTCATGTATTCAAAGTTACTTATGGTCACTTAAGAATAATTAAAAATAAGTATTGATCCATATATCTTTTTTTTTTTAGAGTCAGAATCATCCATTATCTTTTTTTCGTATTTGTTATCTAATCCATACTTTCAGTCCTGAAAAAACTTGAGATACTTTTAATAAACTTTTAAAAAAAGAAATTATATACCAACTCAGTGCAATAACTTAGCCCTTTCCTTTTTTTTTTTTTTTTTTTTTTTTTTTTTTTTTGAAAGGGGTTCATTATTTATTGCATTTATTTACTATATTACAGGAAAAGTTGAAAAGGATTTTTTATAAAATGTTTGCTCTATCATTCCTACGAAAATTCATACTTTTGACATGAGAATTAATACAAACATTATCAGAAACCGCTGCCGACTTCTTTTTTTTTTTTTTTAAATCGGGATCGAGATTTTGTAAGTCTGCACGCTTACTCGAACTCGACTAACCAAATCACCTAAAGTTAGTAAAACTACCAAAAGACCAAAAGGTGGGGGAACTATGTCATCATCTCTGTCCAATTTTAAAGGAAAAAAGTCATATTTATATAACTGGTATGTATGAATGCATTTTCCTCACAATTTGAACAAAATGTAATTTATTTAATATATCAAATACAGAGTAAATTCGAAATGTGCATGTAATTAAAGTATGAAGGGTCATTATATAATTTGAAAACATATCCCATTTTTCTTTTTCATTAATAACCTGTATTTTTTCAAATTATTTCAGAGATAGTATGTGACCGTTTAGTAACCTTGAACTTTTAATATACCTAAGAAGATGGAATTTCTAATAGGTGGACTTGCAGCATGTGGTGCAGGATTTTTCACCAATCCACTAGAAGTTGTCAAAACTCGCATGCAGTTGCAGGGAGAACTGCAGGCACGAGGCCAACATGCTATTCACTACAGGTATTTTATCAAGTTTGATCAGAATTCAAATATTTGCAATTCAGGCAGGCCATCTACATGTATGTCAGACTTGCATTAAATCCTGGTCTGATCCATCACTACATTTTCCGTCTTGTCGTATGCAAAGTATTTCTCAAACAGGACTTTACATATAACTAAAAGCACATCCTGAGATCATGAAATACTTTAAACTTGAGTCAAAATATGTAAAACACACTGAAATGGTGTAAATGTCAAACATCCAAAATAAAAATGCTTTTCAAACTTGAGTCCCCAATGTATTTCTGTCTGCAAATTTTTAATTTCACAATATCCGTTAATAAAATTACAAATCATTTATAATTTAACATAAATTGTGGACAGTTAGCCACATGTTTAAAGAATAGGTTCATATTTGCATCTGCAGATATAATCATTTTCAGGGCTTTTGTCAAATATTCAACATATGTCCAATAAAATTTGTTCAGAAAAAAGATATTTCCAAATAAAGAGATTAAAAAGTATTGATTTTATTTTTCAAAATTGTTATCATTAGTAATTAATATCATATCTTATTAAAACAAAACTAGTTCAAGATCAGTCCTAAATGTTCTTTATCTTAAATTTTCAAAGTTATATCTATTGAACTTTAATGATGTAGATGAATTGAAAATAATTTTTTTTTTTTTTTTTTTTTTTTTAAATGCTACAAGACTTGCAATTTTGCATTTTCATTTTCTTCTGAATATTTTTTACAGAAATTCTCTTCACGCCATCAAGACCATCGTGAAGACAGATGGTATCCTTGCCATTCAGAGCGGTCTAGTTCCTGCATTGTGGTATCAGCTAGTCATGAATGGAATCCGCTTAGGTACCTATCAGGTCATCGGAAACACTGGTCTCACAAAGGACAAACACGGACATGTATCTTTCATGAAAAGCATTGCAGCAGGTGCTTTAGCTGGATGTATGGGTGCAACTATTGGAAGTCCATTTTTTATGGTTAGATTTTAATGCAAGTTTGTGAAAGACCTTACTTCATATGTTCAAAAGAGTCTTGTGAGTCAGAATTTGGTGATTAAATTCTAAAACTACTAATTAGCAATTACTGATTATTTCAGACTTGACTCCAGTAAGAATGTTATTAAAAAAATAAGATTGGAGCACAAGGTTCCTACTACCTGACTAATGGTAATATCAGTCACTTCACAGAGTTTAATGATAGGGCAGCAAGTATTTTGACAAAAATTAGGTTTTATTTATGTGACAAATGAAAGAAGGCATATCATTCAAGTCAATATTATATAATTATTTCAATCACCACATTTCTAGATATTGTGATAATTTCTTATAATTTGACTGTTTTTTTTATTTTGATTTTTAACTTCAGTGCATGTTACTATTAAAATATACTGCATGAGCTTATATTGGGCCTGTAAGTTAATTAAAAGTAACAAAATTAGGTTAAGTTCTAGGAATTATTGAGTACAATAGGTTTCTAACATTTTTACCATAAAGTCTTTTTTCCTCGCAAAATAGCAAAAATGGTAAGTTCAGTCTCAATGTTCAGAAAAACATTATAATAAGAACTTTTTTCTTATCAAAGTGATCACAATTATCTTTTTTCTTTTCAAAGATTACAATTAATTGTAAGATGGATTTCAAGTAATAATTAAAACATAGAATTTAGAACAAAATTTCTTTGTAAATTCTTTGACTTTCTGAAGAACCAGAGAATTCCTCATGATGTCATAGTGAATCCAAGAGCAAAATAGCTTTCTGAAATCAATTTCTAAATTTGAACAAAAATTTTAACCTGCTCATTTTGTGTACAGATAAAAACCCACATGCAGTCCAAAGCAGCTCAGGAGATAGCAGTGGGTCATCAGCATCCACATGAAAGTATGCTTCATGGGATGAGGTCAGTGTTCCGTGACTATGGGTTCACTGGACTATGGAGAGGTGTGTCAGCAGCCATTCCAAGGGTCATGGTGGGGTCAGCAACCCAGCTGTCCTCATTCAGCACTTCAAAGGAATACATTACTAAACTTGATGTAAGTTTTCTATTGTAATTGGTTTGTACGAAAGAAAAATAAATTATAACTAATTTTTTAAAAATTCATGTGTCAAGTTTTATCAAAATTTTCAGATGTTTCCCTCGGACAGTTGGTTGAACACATTTTGTGCCACACTATGCAGTGGGGTAACAGTGACCTTGTTTATGACGCCATTTGATGTTGTGTCTACAAGGATGTACAACCAAGGGGTAGATGTACAAGGCAAGGGATTGCATTACAACAATGTCGTAGACTGCTTTATCAAGATGTTTCGCACTGAAGGACTTTGGGGATTTTACAAAGGATGGGGTCCTTCATTTTTACGATTAGGACCACATACAGTATTAACATTAATGATATGGGATAGACTTCGTATATTTTACAAACGTTTCCACCATAAGAGTGTAAATGTGATATAAGTAGATCTGGATTTTTTTCCCCCAAATTTAATTTTTATAGAAAAAGTAGCTCTACCTCTTTTTCACCATCAAGATGTTGTGCCTTGAAACTATCCATTTTATGTTAAAAGAAATGGAAACTTCGTAGAAGATATTATCCAGAATTGTTACCTTATTCATTCTAGTGAAGGTGCTTATATATGAAGAAAATGTTGACAGAAACAATAATCATGGAATTTTTTTGGTTCTACTGGTACCTTATGATTATTTATACTTTTGAATAAACTGATACCTTAAAAATATGTGAATCATGAATTCAGGGATTCTGGAAAATAACAATTTTGATATTTAGCTTCATACTTAAATACAGGAATACTCATTAGATCATAGTTGGTGTTTGACCAATCAAAGGGAACAAACTCCTGGTGTAGATTTATATTATATGTTCACCCATGTCTGTTTTTCTTTTCTTTAAATATCTCGATATTCATGAGGAATTTGTGGAAAGGTAATCTTTAGACCAAGCAATATGATGCCAAGTTTCTGTGTGATGATATAATGTCTAACTAATTTACTTTCTTGTTTTCAATTTTGACTTTTTGTAATTAGTTATCTAAGAGGTAAGTGTTCAATAATTTTGCTGACAGAAAGGTCTTTGCAATAATTTTTACTCATATAGTATTTTGTAATATGTATTCAGATTCTAATTAAAGATGAAAAAGACCTTTATTCCAGGGTTGTATATTAAATAAGATGGACTGTACAGATTGTATATTTTCATGTATATTAGATCTGATTTTCACTTTTCACAGTCTAGTAAGGTCTTTGCATAATTTAAATTTATGTCTCTCTATCTTCACACTTCTTGTTTAAAAGATAAATTTAGCTACAACATATCATTAAATATTAGAACATCTAAATTTCTTTAAGAGAAGCATATGTGATATTGTTCTGATTAGAATGTTAAACATGCACTGTAGTACTTGTTCCTTGATTTTAGATAAGTGAATGTAAATTTTTAACACACTACAGAATTTAATTTAGTTTTCATATTTATGTAGTGAAAGTTCTTTGTCTCAAACTCAATGGGGAAGAGAGAGAAAAAAAACTTACTGAAATCTGAGGATTCACACAGAAGTCCATCTAGGAACTATCAAAAATATTTTAAAATTTGATTGAATCCATTTAGATAAATTTAATTCATTCTTTTAAGTTTTTGAATCCTTTAGAAAGAATTTTATCTGATATAGCAAATTTGTTGAATTAGTTTTACTGGATTCTGGAGTTTGTTATATTTAATTTAATTTGAATTAATGAATTTCAGCATTCATAAACACACTATATGAATTGCAAAAGATTCCTAAAATTCCACTGTATGGTCAGTGGACATTATTTTAAAGATGCCTGAAGGCAATAGAAGATACAGTTATAGGCACATTTCTAGACTGAATCTCAACAATGAATGTTACAATGTATTTCATTTTTACAAATGTAAACATAAAAGTAAAATGTAATCATGTTTACAGGACCTTTTTTAGAGTAGATTAATTAAATTACAAGTACTTATGATCAGAGAAATGGATGATTATTGATTATACCCATGATTTCACAGGAATTTATAATTGATTACACTGATTACCTGTATTACACCCCTGGTATAAATACATGTAATTTCTTCATTGTAAGGTATTGCTATATATGATGTGCATTATGAAGAAGTTTTTATAATTGTTAATTTTACCGTTTGTAGTTAATTTTGTTGATTGAAATAAATATATATTTTCACAGCACAAGTAGAAATCTTCAATAATATTTACTGCTCATTAGAACTTTCTCTGCTGATAACCTTAGTGATCAGTCTGTGTGGTGTAAACTGCATTTGTCTGGAGCAATGTTTTCCCTTTGGTTCTAACTTTGTACTGATTTCATCAACTTAGCTCCCTGAACAAAAGATAATTAATTTAACACAGTCCAGTGTGTAAATTTCTGGTTAAAGTGCATTTCCAGGTGGCTTGATCAATATAAATGAAACTTCAATGTAAAATGATCATTTTACATGTCATTTTTATCTTACCTGAACTGAAAGCTCAAGTGAGCTTTTCTGATCACATTTTTGTCTTGTGTCCATCTGTCCATGCTCTGTAAACTTTCACATTTACAACTTTTTCTGAAGAACCACTGAGCCAGTTTTAAAGAAATTTGCCAGAAATTATCCATGGGTAAAGGGAGTTTAAGTTTTCTTCAAGTAAAGGGCCACACCCTCATTGAAAGGGAGATAATTAAGCATAAGTGATAATTTACTGGTATCTTTAAAAAAAAATTAAGAACCACTGGACCAGAAAACTTGAAACTTGGAATTTGGAAGCTTCATTACATAGTGTAGATTCCGATTTGTTTAAATTATGACCCCTGGGTATAGAATGGTGCCACAGTAGAGGATAAAAGTTTATCATAGGGAGTAAAAGTTTTGCAGAGGAATATATAGGAAAAAAATCTTTAAAAATCTTCTTCTCAAGAATCATAGGTCAGAAGAAATGAAATTTAATATAAGGAAGCTTATTATATAGTGTAGATTCATGTTGTTTTTTTTTTTAAATCTTGACATAGGGGTTTGGTGGAGCCTCAATATGCAATCATATTTTACGTATATATATATACATGTATATAGGAAAATCTTTTAAAATCTTATCAAAAACCACAAACGCATGATTAGTGATGTTGATATGGAGGCATCCTCGGGTGTAGATTCAGATTTATTCAAATCATGATCCAAAGGGGTGGGGTGAGGCCACATTAAGCCATTTTGTGGATTTGGTGAGAAACGCTTGGCTAGTAAAAATGTTTGATTACTAATCTATGAACGGTTTGATTTCATTACAACCTTGTACAAGTACACTTAGATACACAATGCCATTCTTCAGTTTTAAATTGAATTCTGAAGTAAGTTTTTACTTTGGTTACTTAGAAAAATAAATCTTAGAAATTCTTCAAAACGCTTCCCCGATGATATTTTGGTCCGATTTATATAAAAATTGGTGTACAGGAAGAAAACATAATACATGTACTAAGATACATTTCTTTCTGATTTCGACGATTTGTGTTGCATGGTGACTATAATAAGAAATTCTTTTGAAATTCTGTCAAAGTGCTAAATCTCTTACAATGCCAATTTGGTCTGGTTTCAATAAATTGGAACACATATCGGCTTGGCCAAGATCAGGTGCCCATTTCCAACTAAATGATGTTATACAGATGTAACTCTTTATAGTTACATTTAATCTAAATGTCTTTTGTTGCATTGCAAAGATCAGAATGAGAGCTTTCCATTGGTATATAATATCATATATATAGTATCTGCATTTTTGAAAAAAAAACAACAGAATAAAGTCAAAAATTCATAATTTGTTAAGCGTTATGCTGTTGCACTTGATTTTTTACATTTTAAATAATGGTTAATTAAAATTATTTTGAATGTAACATTCCAAAATAAATGTACTGTATTATAGAGAAATCATTCTGGTTAAGTTTATTTTTTACAGAAAAGAAAAAGGATAAAATTTGTGGAAATTGTGAATAAATGTGTGCAGATATACCTTTGTTATATAATTTAAGATTTATTAATAATTTAATTTTGTTTGTATTCTAGCCTCTGATTGGTTAATATCCAAAAAGGAACACAAATTATTTCTGTATAACCTGGTTTGGTATGGGGACACACCCCCCTGACAACCAGCTGAATCGTCTGTATCCATGCAATCCTCTCATCTCCAGTCCTCGGGATTCATGGAAAATTCCAGATTTAATAAATGTACCTTTAGCTTCAAACAGTAACTCGGATCTTACCACATGTAAACAAAAACATGGCTGCTAGGACTATGTATCAGTTTTTACCTCCCCTTGCTTCCCATCACTTCCGTTACTAGGGTTGTATTATTGAGCGGCAAATTTGAACTAATAAAAAGCAACGAAATTTTACACCCACAGTTGTTTAATGATTTTAGAATTAAATTATAAGGAATGACTCTAATTCTTGGCCAAATTATTCGAGTATAACCTGGTTTGGGTCAGTTTACGCTGTTTTATAATCCGCTTCGCGGATTATAAAACAGCGTAAACTGACCCAAACCAGGTTATACTCGAATAATTTGGCCAAGAATTAGAGTCATTCCTAAAATGTTTGAATAAATGCATAATTTCTATCGAAAAAGAGCAAATATAATTTGTTAATTTTTTTTTTATTTAACTTAAGAAAAAAAGGTACTATGAAAACAATACAGTGGTTACATTGTAAAATGTGTGCGCATTTTGTATTTTATCTTCCATACTGATCTAATATTTTGTATAGTCCGTAGCCCAATATTTCATTATAGTTTGTGTTCAACAAAAGAATGTAAAATTAATCATGCTCTTGTTTAATATCTTCACAGTTATCAGTAAAGTAAAAAACAGTAATGGATAGCTTTTGCGCTAACACCAAAAGAAATTATAGAAGAATGATTGGTGTCCGTAGCCCTGTATAGTCCGTAGCCCCAATATAATAACTTCCAGAAAAGGTCATATACATTATTGATACAATAACTACAATACAAAAATATGTTTATTCAAACAAATGCAATGTTTTAATTACAAATACCACTGTAATTAAAAATAAAATATCTGAAAATTAACATTTTTCAACTAAAGGCTTGCTTCTGTTGTTTGTGGTCACAACATATTTTCTAAATATACATGATAAAGTTTTCCTTCTCATGATACATACTATCAATCCATTAACAATGATAAGCATTGGAATATTTTTAAAAGAATATTTAGCCACACAAATCCTACTTACAAAAGGGCTACGGACTCTATAAATAAATTTAGAAAATTTACAGACCATATAACAGTACTTCTGTATTAGCAAGATATTTTTTTCCTACTTGTATCTACTGCAGATCGGGATTCAATGGTTTATTAGTTTTCATCGACCAGTCTTAACATCCCATTGTGGGATTTGATCCCAAAACATAAGGATCAACCCCTTACTTTGCAGTTTAGTACAACGTGAGGCCTTCACTCTTATAATTGAGCCACCCAATCTACTTGACACTGAATTGTTAATTTAAAAAAAACATTGATTCTTTATGGGTAAATATTGTACTATTATGTATTTTATTACAAATGGTCAATCATGTTTTGCAATTTATTTATTTATTTTTTTTGAATTACACCATATGATTATGATAAATTATATACTGATACACCTTCTGAATGACCATCTTGAGTTATATGCATTACATTAAATCGAAGAAAAAAATTATGAAGCAATATAGTCCGTTACCCCCCCCCCCCCCCCCCTACAATCATGCCTTGATTTCATTTCAGCTCCTGTTGCTTTTATTCATTATAGTTTGAACACCAATTATGCTCTAATTAGTTGAACTGGAAAATTTCATTTGACATTGAAAGTACATAGTACATTAGACAATTGATTTTTAAGTATGGTATTATAAATACTCAAACTAAGTGGTGTGAACTGTTATAGAAAACAATTAATAAAAAAAATGCCCAAAATTTAATTAAACAATTATATTTTCTTTATGTTGATTGTCCACAATAGAGATGTTTAACGGTATAGTCCGTAGCCCCCATGCTTACATGAAATTCATCCTTCTTAAATGCTAAATTAAAGCTCATTCTTGGTCTTTAGATGGTTTTAAACAATATTTTATTATCAAAACACCAATACATGTAATTTTGACATGTATTATTTTGTTCTGACTATTTATATTTTACTCTTATTGTGATTTTATATAAAGTTTTTGTTTTATTTTGTTAAATTTCACAGGATTTTGTATAAATTGATTTAATATCCAAATGAAAGGATTTATTAAACACATGTGAACTCCAAGATGATAATTCAACAAATATTTACTGAAAAAAATCAACTTTTTTCTATATGGTCTCTCATTAAATGAAAATACTATATGTATAGTCCGTAGCCCAAGGTCTCAAAACAGTCAATCAAAAAATATCTGACACAGTTTTTCTCTGAGTATTAACAAATATGTTTGAAATTTTCATCCCCATATACAGTATCTTTAGAAAAATTGAAAGTACTTTAATGTATTTTTATTTCAAATGTCCAAATATTAAAAGTAGAAAAAACTCTCAAAGATTAACAAATTTACCCATGTCCTTTATATACCGTAACATTTAAATGGAAATGAATTATGTGATTTTTTTTTTGCTCAGACAATATTTTGTGAAGAGTTTGTATTTGAATTATACTTTTTTGTTAAGTTGAATATGATAAATATGAATGTTATGCCTAAATATGTATAGTCCGTAGCCCACTTGGGTCTCTGCTGTAGTAAGAATGAAATCTTTTTAACCGCTTGACAGAAATGGACAGAAATTTCAGACAATCTGCCAAAAGGATGTAGTGTTACATAGAACATACTTGTAATACATTTCATTTGACTTCATTTTTTTGTTAATCTGCAACCAACATGGGCACCTGATCTTGGCCAGGCCGATATATATTACATCAAGGTACCCAGTGCAGTGTTTCAGATTTTGATGAATATTGTTGCAATGATTGTTAAAAAATATGTGTGAAATTCTTATTTAAACTCTACTCCTCCAAGATTTTTTGTCTTAGTTCGATAACTCCTGATACCAAAGTACCCCTAAAAAAAGGGCAAAATTTATATATATATCGGTATTCCCTTAGCCCTCCAAAAAAGTGCGTATCTCCCTACAGTTTTGATTTGTTTTGGAAAACTTTGGTACGTTAGAAAAGGACACTGATGATTGTGTAAAAGTTAAACTTTATTTCAATTGAGATTTGTGTACAAATGCTACCCTTTTATCATTATAAGTAAAAGCAGTAAAACTACAGTCTCCTAAAGTTCCACATTCCATTGTTCCCAAAGGGATACATATAAAGTGGTTTATGGAATCAAATGGACAGAAATGAAAAAAGGAATTACATGTACTAAAGCTAGCTCCGTAAAGCAAAGATTCAGATTTGTTCAAATGATGACAACAAGATAAGGAAGGAGTCACAAAGTTTGAAAAAAATTGCTTATGAAGATGAAAATACATGTATCTTGTAAATTCATCTTCCCATAACCAACAAGATACTAGTAATTAAAGAATATGTAGCATCCCTATGATTTGTAAATGGAAAAGGGTACGGATCCCTTTAACAGGAAGAATGCCAAAATAAGGACTAGAAATTTAACATACAGCTACAACCTCAAGAGCTATGGATATATTATTAAGGTTGTATTAAAAAATATTTATGTATACTCCCCAGTATGACAGTAGATTAATGCGATCATGAAAGCTTGTGTGCAAGCAAGGATTCAAAAAGAAACTGGTATGCAAAATCTTCACACTGTGTAAATTATTTAAAGTTTGTTTAAATCTGGACTCTTAGGACTACGTAAGTATATATATACTGACCATCATAGGAAACGCACCACGAAATAAGTTTTTTTTCCTAGATACAATTTTTCTCAAAACTTTATATTCTCTTGAAATATCTTTGGTATTCACGAAGTAGGAACAAACACAAGTAAGACAGTGACAGTAAAAATTGAACAGTTCTAAACGGTTTTCTTTTGTCATCTCGTTCGTGCTATCTAGTATCGAGTGAGATCACTTTCTTAAATTTTTGGAAGAACCAGGTACATATTTCAAAAAGAAAATCAGAAAACATCCTTGCCATATACAGTGAATTGTTTAATGCGGATTAAATTTGTCCTCTCCCCCCTTCCATCATTGAATGCAACCAAGATCTTGGCTTGTTAAAAGAGCAGGAATAAAGTGATGTTGCAGACTTATTTCATTGCCATCACAGCACTTTTGTGCGCGCCAGACAAAGATTTTTAGCCACAAATAGTCTTGATCATCGTAGGCCCACGTGTTTTCCAAGGGTCCTACAATCCAAAAAGATCGTCGCATCCAGTCACAGCATCTACGTGACAGAATCAACAACTAGAGAAATCCCTGGAAGACATAATCCGAGGATCAAGTCATCAACAGTCCTTATTCGTGTGCATAAAAAAGGTCTTTTTGCTAGGCGACCATTCATAGGCCTTATTCTCACACAAAGCCATCTAGTAAAGGCTCTGACGTCACAGAATTACCCTTAAAGAAACCCTGACTCTCAAAAATTATACTGTCATTGTTTTTTATGACTTGATATTTCTCTTATATCTTCTGCAAATAAAATGTTTGAACTAGTTCGATGGTGCGTTCAATGATGGTCATTATATCAGTTTTTGAAGGAGTATATGTGGGGAAACAAAATTATAAGTGTATCTGGTTTATATTTGTGAAATGTTGACGCATGTGAATCGAGATTTAAAAAAAAAACCTTTTACATAGTAGTTGCATTGTGTAGTAAAAAGGTCAAGATGAAAATTGAAGAAATATTACTAGTATTCAGAGAAACATGAATGGAGACAGAAAAATTAAGGATTCGTTGATAAAACCAGGGCGTCCCAGGTTTCTGGAAGGTATGTAGACAACAAACATCAGAACGCATGATTCTGTGTAACAATTTGAGTGTTGTTCCAGCTGCATGCTACTAAAAATAACAAATTATTAATTCAAAATGCTTCTCTTCATGTTTTATTTCATGAATAACAATGAAAAAAATCTCATGAAAATTTTAAAATGCCTTGCAGCACTTCAGAAATATTTTTACATGTTCACTTTTATTTGCAGCCTTATTAGAATTCCGAGGCTATATAAATATTGCTGATGTTTTGCTGCTAATAGATTGAGAGAAATTTCTAATTTCAGTGTACATGTTGGGGGAACGGGTGAATTGAAAGATGTATTAATTGTCTACTTCGAGTTAAAATATGTGACGTTGATTAGCAGAAAATTCTTAGCAATTTCGATTCTATTTTTAAATCATTCTGAAGTAACCTGACACTCAATGTTAGATAAGCCCATAACGATCACTGTATTCAAGATTTTACTTCTAGTTTGCATTTATCTCCGATTGTAGCCAGCAGGAAGATGGTTATGATTTTGATGTTTATTTTGCTTGTTCTGTTGGATTCTTCAGAATCAGGCCGTGCTCCAACCTGGGGTTCCTGTGGCTGTTATTGGGCTGAATGGGAGGGTTGGTCTGATTGCAATGCTGCTTGTGGCGGAGGACGTAGGTACAGGACAAGGAAGGTATGGCACAACGATGTACCTGAATGTAATACTTTTGGGCATTGCGCAAGCAACGACATGGGCTATAATTACGGAGATTGCAATACTTTTTGTTACCAAGGAACGTACAATTCCTATTGTAGTTGTCAAGCAGGATGGTATGGGAGTTGTTGTGAAAATCGTATGTACTTTTTTCGCTACAAAAATTAATTCTTGGAATTTATTCTTGCTTATATTGTAACGGTAATTTTAGAATGTTTTATCTCTGCATTTTAATTCTGAATTTCAGAAATAACATGTGGAAATCCGGGTAAAATAAGCAATGGACAAGTGACCGGATCCACTTATACATACGACAGTACAATTTCGTATCATTGCAATCTGTACTATAATCTAACTGGTGGAACCAGAACTAGGAGATGTCGAATCAATAGCGTATGGAGCGGTCGTAAACCCCGTTGTGCATGTGGGTAAAATTTAAAATAAACTGTTTTAAGGTCAGATGACACGTTCCTCAAATATTTGCTTTCTTGTCTCTTTATAATTTACCAAAAATATTTATAATTATTGTTATCTTGCTATTTCTAAACTGTTTTTAAGATATCTTTTAAAAAATAAAGACTAAAAAATTGTGATATAAGCAATTCAAGTCTTTTCCAAAAGGATTATATAGGAAATACCATCCTCCGATGCCTTCCACAAATCCCTGGCAAGGCACCTCAGTTTTTGGCGAGGAAACTTGTTAAAGTAGAAATACTTCAATGACAAATTATTAGGAAAAATTATATATTATTGAGGAATGTGTCGTCTGACCTTAAGTCAAGGCAAATGTCAAGCAAAATATAGAAATAAGGATAAATCATTATTATTTTATTCAAATTCCCTAATACGAACTTCATTTGTAAATAAAATTTATGAAGGTCCACAAAGTTCATATGATCAGTTATTGTGAATAATTTTGTCTGCAATAGGAAAGAAAGATGAAGTCAATTTTTCCTTTATAAAACATTGCTATCTATAGTTGTGAATTCCTGTGCCAGTAACCCTTGCCAAAACAATGGAACCTGTGTTAATGGATTGGATCGATATGACTGTGTTTGTACAAAAAGCTTCACGGGGAAAAATTGTGAAACAGGTTTGTATTAGGTAATACTGTCACGTTTTCATAACTAGGGCCTATTGCTCTTAAAATACTAAAAAAAAAAAAAATTACATTTTTGTACATAAAGCCTACTACTGTAAACCAACTATTATTCGCGTCGTCTTTTATTCGCGTTTCGTCAGTTTGAAATCGATCCACGGCGATTAATTTTCGCGACAGAGGAAACATTCTCTACAAATAGTAAGCAAAATAAATGATTCGCGGCGATTAATATTCGTTAGTAAATGTAAGTCGCAAAACTCGCAAATATTTCTCGCACGCGAATAAAAGTCGGATTACAGTATTTTTTTTATTGCTTAAGACAGACATCTCATCGCATTTCAACAATAACATATAATGCAAAATATTACATAACGGCATTGTATGGCGGTTTTTATAGATTACACATATATAATACAATATAATAATAATGCTTTCATGGAGAATTACCATACGAGGGAAAACTTTCTCTCAACTTAAAAGCATAATGGATATATGTCCCTGTACAGAGATCATGGACGTCGTGAGCTCCTAATAATTTTGCAAATTTAAAAACAGATGGCTTCTGCCAGTAATACTTCTTGTTATATTTTTTACGATTCTTTTCAAAATACGAACAAATTAAAACAAAATGGTATTCATCCTCTACTTCACTTTTACACATTCTACTCTCCCTATGTATTTTACTGTCTCTATTTCTAGATTATGAGATGAAAGCCTAATTCGACTAATTTGCTTTTGTAAATAGAAGGTATAAGCTTACAAAGATAATATTGTAAAGAAAAATTGTCTATTATATGTTTGTAAATATTACATTATGATGAATAATACACTTACAATGCAAACAGATATCCAGCCTCCAGTAATGACTGGTTGTCATGACAACAAGACAGTCTATTCTTCAAAACCTGAAATTTTCCTTAACTGGACAGCACCCAGCTTTTATGACCCAGTAGGAAAAACCTTAACGGTTTCAACTAATTATCCCGAAAACAGCTGGGAATTTCCATGGGGAGATTTTACAGTTCAGTATGTGGCTCTGAAACCCTCAAATGGTTTGCGAACAAGCTGTTTATTCAATGTAAAAGTCCGACGTAAGTTGCATATGATTCGCTTTTATATTCAAAGTCAGTTTTTTTTAAATGAAAGATTTTTTTTTTTGATAAATTAAATAATTTTTTTTATCATACTCTAGCTCATCCTTGTCAGGATCTAAATATTCCCCAAAATGGAGCAAAAGTTTGTAATGGTTGGAAAACTGATTATGGTGAATTTTGTCTGGTCTTCTGTGGCCCTGAGTACAGTTTGGATATGAGATTCAGCCATCGACAGTGGTATGTCTGCGGAGCAAGTGGAAGATGGGCACCAGATGGAACTATGCCTCACTGCACAGGTACAGTAATATGAATGGCGTAGCAGAATCAATTTTACAATATTTTATTATGAAATATTACTTTTACTGTGTAATTCGATAATCTGATTGGTTTGCTTGCTATCACGTGCAAAATTATATTTTACGATATTGACGAGTTACTAAAAATAAATTGGGGAAAATCCAATGATGTGTTTATAATGGCTAAAAGTCTTTAAAAATTACAAATTGCTACATAATGAATTTGTTTGTCTCTTTACATTTTAAAGAAAATAATATAACAAATGTAGCCCTTTTATTTGGTCAATCCATAGACATGATAGATATACATGTATTTCGACTTTACAGAAAAGCATATCGACTTCGTGCTCAGTCGATATGCTTTTCTGTGAAGTCGATATATCTATAGATCGACCTCATAAAAGGGCTATATTTGTATAATAAACATACACTGTAAAAGGATTGGGCAAAAGACACTGCCTATATATGTCCTCTTAATAGTCGATTATTCAGGATGGATATAAATCTGAACACCCAAATTGTCATTAATCCTTTTATGAAAAGAATATATTTTCATTTACTGCTTACAGAGTAATTTTCTTACCGTCATCACGCAATTTCCCCAATTTTAAATTTGCCCCAACACATTTGTGTTAAAAGAAATAACTTCTTTAAAGAACAGGACCGTCACGGTAGCTCAGTCGGTAGAGCGCTCGCTCCGTGATCGGAAGGTCGTAAGCTCGTACATATGTATCTCGGCCGCGACTGACCTAAGTCGATAAAAAAATTAGGTAGCAACTGTTCCTTCGCCAAGCGCTCGGCACTTTGAAGTGAAAGTTTAAGGTCCTTCGGATGAGACCTTTAAAAACCGAGGTCCTGTGTCACGTTAGGCGTTGGCACGTTAAAGATCCCTCACTGCTCAATGGCCCTAAGTACAGAGTAAAGGTCAAAATTTGAAGCCCTTCACCGGTATATGGTGACGTCTCTATATGAGTGAAAAATTCTCGAATGGGACATAAAACAACATACAATCAATCAATCAGTCTTTAAATGTAATATCTTAAATTCGCCCACGTACGAAATTTAAGTGCGAAAGGGCTATAGTCTGTCCCACCAAGCTATTGTCACCACTTTTTGCAACATATCTCAAAATACATAAATACCTTGGCCTTCAACTTAGGTCCGATCGATAGATCATTTTTTTCCAATTTTCCTCCATTTATCCGAACCCTCGAGTTCAACCGGTGTATTGACACGGCGGCAAATTCAAAGTCTACGGGGATTTAACATTGCCAAAATGGCCGTCACTTCGGAAGGGGATCCATCATTATTCGTGGATTTCCGTACTTTACCGTCATTGACGTAATGACGTAACATACTTTCGGAAATTCTCTGTACTTACGGACGTCCGGAAAAGCATACCGCCCGAGACTTACTAAGCACCTAATACAAATGTGTATTTTAAAATTAGTGATAAAATACGGAGTTTTAAGCATACATTGCATATCAATTGACAGAAGAAGATTAAAAGAGCTAAACACTGCGACCCATTTGAATTCATATACTCAAGGATTCTTAAGTTTGAATGTTAAAAACATTCGAGGCTGCAAAATATCAACCAAGCAAGAGTGCCATGACTGCTTTGCCAAAACATGTAAGCGAATACGTTCTATAGAGTGTAAATGTAAACAAAATCTACAACTTTACCTTGCATTGAGTAAATCCCAAACACAATATATATATAGTTCAGTGTAAACACGATTAAACATCTTGTCACTTCTATACATGTCCCGTAAATGCACTTCCTGGATTTATATACTTATAACACTTATCACACCATATATCCACCTTTGTTAATACTTTTTGAATCTTTGTGCAAAACAAGACTTGTACTACAAGTTGTAGTCTGCATCAAACTACGTCACCAGTGGATTTTGACCTTGCCCTTCGAAAACTTCCTGTATCGGCATTAGGTAAATCCGGGCCCTGAGATTTTAAACATTTTATATCAAATCTTTCCATTAATAAATGCCAGAATACCAAATATCAAGGACACACTCAAACATGTACTCATGGAATACATTTTATATTTTTTTTATTATGTCTGTAGATTTTGCATGAATATGAACTTTTAAAATATAACCAGGGATCTCTACTAACTATTAAAGTATATAGGTCCCTGATATATAACAACACTTTTTTTAAAAAAAATGTATATTTGCAGGAAATATAAATTCTTGTCGATTCCCTCTTATATTATTTTTTTCAAACATTAAGAAAAAAAATAATTAAAAACTATAGACGAAATTAAATAAGCATAAATAATACAAAGCATTTTACAGCTATTTGGAAACAAAAATTTAATTGTAGGATACAGAATAGCTAGCTGATGAAGACATCAGACAGACCAGCACAAGCAAAAATGATTAAACCACCTAGAGTACCTGCAGAAAACATGTATATGGCCTTCTATATTTTTTAAATAATTGAAAAACTGTGGAATCATTTTATTGGGGGGGGGCATTAATCAGCTGTTAGTGGGCAGGCATTTAATTCAACTGGTTTGTGCAGACATAATTCTTAAGGTTAACTTTAAAATACATTAAGTTAAAGATTCAATGAATTGACAAGTTGAAAAAACAAGTATTTGTGGGAATATAAATTAGTGGATATGTTTGACCCACTTATCCTCCCCCAAGAACAATGATGATTCCACAGTAAATGCTGCCAATTACTTTTTTTTTAAAATACCAAATAATTGAGTTATGTGTCTGAAACCTACAAAGTAAATACTTGTTGAAGTTATACTAATTTACATCTTCTTCTGTGCAAAGTAAATTCACACTGTAATAATTAAGGGTATAACATACAAATTCAGAAGAAGAAATGAAAGTCAACTGCTCTGTGGTGCTGTTGTTTATGGTTTGAAAGTCCCTTCAGCCTTGGTACAATAGAAAAGTCTTGACTCATATTCAACACAATGAAGCCAAGAATGAAGCTATGAATGAGTTGGAGAGTGGGTATCTTGTTTTTTTTTTATTTACACTCTTAACAGTTCTGTTGAAAATGGTTTCTGCCTCATCCAGTGTCCAGATCACTAAGTAGACTACCAGTGAATATTTGTTTCAGCCATCACTTTTGGTCTGAAATAGATAATAAAACACATCTTAAATGTTATTAAAATTCTTGAGAATGAAAATTTATGGTTAAGTAATTGAAGTGAGATTAAAGAATGAATTTCAATTCTGTATGTACCAAGAAACATGTCGTATGAATTATATACATATGGAAACTACAGTTTTTATTTTCAGATTCCAGCCTGAAGTATGCAATTCAGACAGAGTAAAGACATTTTAATATTTTATATATACATGTACATGTATAACTTACTAGTCCAGAAGATTCCTGAGACTCTGTGATTCACCCAATTACATGAATGCCTTCGAGTCTGGTCATCATAACAATGTACTCCAATTTTTTTAACCTTCAAAAAAAAAAAATGTAAATAAATATAAAGGCATAATCAAGTATACTTTACTTCTTTATTACAATGTGCTCATACACTGTATACAATATGCATCATATCAGTTTTCTGGCCTTTTATTTAGTACATGTATGCTAGAATACTGTACATAACTTTAATTTTACAAATGAATGTTTTGCTAAATTTTTCTTTTGGACATAAAGAATGGAGGCGTACGTACAAGACGAAGATAATCCCCCACTCTAAGAAAAGACATTTCTTAATTCTTAAGTTCATGATGTTATATTTCACAAAAATTGTATTGTCAATATCATCTTTTACACATTTGCTTCTTTTATTTAATTGAATAACTTATTGATTAGTATTTTTTATTTTCAATTATGAAGGTATGTGGAAAGGAAAAAAAAAGAGCCGAAGGCTCAAGTGAGCTTTTCTGATCAAAGGGTATCCGGCGTCTGCCATCTATAAACTTTTTCGACTTCTTCTCAAGAACCGCTGGGCCAATTTAAAACAAACTTGCAAATGTGACAAAGCATCCTTGGGTGAAGGGGATTTAAGTTTGTTCACAGGAAGTGCCATGCCTTCTTTCAAGGAGAGATAATTAAGAGTTCATGAAAATTTAGTGGCATCTTTAAAAATCTTCTCAAGAACCACTAGCTAGGCAAGAAAAGATGAAAATTATGTAAAAGCTTCATTACAAATTACATTACATGTGCAATCAAGTTTATTCATATCATAACCCCGGGGGGGGGGGGGGGGGGGCACAAGAGGGGGGGTGAAGTTTTATGTAGGAATATATGGGAAATGTCTTTAAAAATCTTCTTCTCGAGAACAGCTTTGCCAATATTAGTCATATTAATTCAGAAGTAACCTTAGGTAATGTAGAATCAAGTTATCCTCAGGTAGTGTAGATTCAAGTTTGTTCAAATTATGGGGGTGGGGACACAACAGAGGGTCAAAGTTTCGCATAAGAATATATAGGAATCATCTTGAAAAAAATCTTCTGTTCAAGAAAAGCAAAGCCATGATTAGTCATATTATTATAGAAGCATCCTCAGGTAGTGTAGATTCAAATTTGTTCAATTTTAGGATGAGTAGGGTGGGGCCATCTGGGTTCGAAATTCACTATATACAACTCACAAAACACGAGTTAGAATTCCCAAATTGCGAGTTGAAAATTAGGTAACTCGCAAAAACTTGCGTGTTGATTTTTTTTTGCATTGAAACTGTAGCAAAATTATATATTATGACACAACACAATACTTTTGATTTAAATCAGTAATTTAAATAAAAGTCACACTGTAGTTGTATTTTGTGTATTGTACAGTAGTTACTTTTTCCTTAAGTTACATGTATTTAATTCATATAAATTTAACTTTATATGAAAATTGCGAGTAGTCTTATAAAATCGCGAGTTCACTTTGTTGGTACTCGCAATTATTTGCGAGTTGTAATTTTAGGGAGTTTCTAACCCTGGGCCACAATGAGCGATGAGCGTTTTACATAGGAATACATGGGGGGGGGGGGGATCTTCAAAATTCTTCTGTTAAAGAACAGCAAAGCCATGATTAGTAATATTGATATGGAAGCATCCTGAGGTAGTGAAAATTTAAGTTTGCCATTGACATTACTAACAACTTTTTTTTTTTTTTTTAATAAATGTAACTCTTCCTTGAACTTTGAAAATTGTAATATATCTCACAGCAGGGGGTTGTCCTGTATGCTCTCTTTCTTTATTGCTTGAACAAAATGGGTTAACTATGGGGTAGATGTAAGTCAATGAATTTCAAATTATGAACTTTAAAGAAATACCCCCCCCCCAAAAAAAATAATAATAAAGATTTTTTTTTACAATACTGGTGAAAGAAAAAAAAGAAATCTCAAGGGTTGTATACCAGGGAAACTTGCAGCATTACCATATTATGAATTCCAACTTAACAAAAAATTGTTAGTGAAAAAGAGGGGGGACTAAGGAACAACCAAAAAAAAATCACACTGCCTTTCACATGACAGGGATGAAATGTAACTGCAAAGTTAGTACTGGAAGTGTGAATATTTCAAAATGGGAGTATTTGGGGCATGCCCCCTCCCCTGGAAATTTTAGGATTAACGTAATAATTTGCATTCTGAGAGCTAATCTAAGTTCATTTATTTTATAATAAAATGCAGCATGCTTACTTTAACCTCAACTTAATGCATATTTAATCAGAAAATTTTCTGTAACTAAAAGGGGGAAATTTGACATTTTATTCATCAGGTGAAAGGATTGTTTACAGTTATAATGAATTCTGTGGACCAACTGTTGCGTTTTAGATATGTTACCTGTGACTGAAAGAGAAAGTAGACCTATCATATAAAATATTAAAAATCTTAAGCTTCTTACAAAAAAAAGTCATTACCATTATAGATCTACTGAAAGTTTTCGTTTTCCCCACTAGGCCTACTGTGCAGATATGCATTGGGCGCTTTCGCCGAATAATGCTTGATTTTGACAAATCATTAGCACTTGAAAACACTTCTTTTGTGGGTGTACTTTCAGAAGTAAAAAAAAAAACAACTTACGTTTTCATCGAAGGAAGCTGTAAATTACACATCATGTCAACATCCCGTTTCTAGAGCAGTGCGTTATCCACAATTTGTACTGCATTGAATTCGGATTATTTTTCTCTCAGTTTATGAGAAAACTCGTCAAAATATATTTGAATGCAAAACAATACTTATATTTTTTATCAAAACACACTGAATTGCTTTCGTTGAATTTTTAGGATTTTTTATAGTTTTAATTTGGAAAGAACGACTACTCCCTCGATAAACTGGTTTCCTGCCCCGTGATCTTGACGCTAATGGACGAGTTTACCATGTTAAATCCCCGTAGACTTTGAATTTGCCGCCGTGTCAATACACCGGTTGAACTCGAGGGTTCGGATAAATGCAGGAAGTTTGGAAAAAAATGATCTATCTCTCGAACCTAGGTTGAAGACCAAGGTATTTATATATTTTGAGATATGTTGCAAAAAGTGGTGACAGTAGCTTGGTGGGACAGACTATAGTGCTGAAAATAAAAGGGTCAGAAATTCCTCTGTGTACATAGTTTCCTTTTTAAAATCTGGGTTCGACACACCTTTTTCCTATATTTGTATTCTAATATGCACTACCTGATATCGATAATGTAACCCTTTTGTCTCAATAAGCTGTTGTTAAGGAGGCTGGGGAGTCAACAAATTAACCACCAGATTTAGCTTAATTTTTTAGATATGATATCTTAAGCTGTCAACTATTATTTGGCAAAGAAAAATTTCAAAAATTTTAGTTTTAAAATTTGATCATTTTCTATATCTTCATATGGAGCTCTTCTTCTAAAGGAGATCAATATAGTCTAAAAATGGCCACAACTCCCAGCCTCTTTAAATGCTAGTACTGTATATCGTTTTCGGCTGGTACATAAAAAGAGAGCTTCTCTCCAGCCCCCAAGTGCCTGTGGATGAGATAGCTATTGGGGATAACAGTATTCGCAAAATAGGAATATATCTATACTTATAAATTAATAAATCTTGCAAATAAACTCCGAAACGGGTGCACCAGAGTTCTTACTTACTCCTCTTAGAATACACACGATACAAGATGATGTCCGTAAACTATATTTAGATTTCACTTGAGTTGTAAGTATCGTACATTAAATTAAAAGTCTACTTTTATTTTCTGTAAACAGCCATGAAATAGCAAAAACGTGAGTACGGTGGCGTTTCCGGTTGGCGGATCTAAGTTACTGGCAATTTTTAATGAAACTGACAGCAATTAAGCAATCGTTTATTTATTTCATTAAACGTCATTACTGAATTATTCAAAACTTCATTTAAATGATATAAAAGAAATAAGTTGTGATAACCGATTAAAAAGGAAAATGTGCAAATTATTTTCGTCATTCACCGATCGTAATATTGACGGAAGCTTCTAGAACATCATATAGAATCGAGCCCGATGATAAAAAAAGAAAATAGCTGCTTTGACATAAAAAAAGCTTTTGTGTGAATGGTCATTGAAATAATGGTAAATCATTGATAACACTGTAAGTTGTGAATATATTTATATATCGAAAGACTATTACATATATTTAGAAGGTTTTCCTGATAAATTCATCGGTAAAATTTGTATATATATATTCCTCACTGAGAGCATCATGGCAACGAACCCAAAGTACAATTTGTACTTCGTAATAAACTTGCTTACATGAAAAGAGAATAAGGCATTGTTCAAATACAATTATGCTGTAAAATTTTGTGCTTTAATCTATACATTTCAGTTTTTTTCTGAATATAGTCTTTTTTATCAAATACTCGGCCTATTCCAGTGGCGGATCCAGGAATCCTGAAAGGGGGGGGGGCAGTTGGCGGTTGGGGTAGGGGCCCATGCACACACCCCCAAATTGATTTATTAAATTTTATGTATATTTTGGACACAAAACGGGAGGGGGGATGCCCCCTAGGGCTAAATCCGCCAGTGTATTCATAGGGCGTTATATAAAAGCTTATTTTTACACACTTACTTGGGTCTTGGATAATATAAATATGTATGTACCTTATTGATATGTGAGAGAGAGAGAGAGAGAGAGAGGGTACAGTTTTTACATTTCAATAAGGTACATACACATTTATAAACCAAGACCCAAGTACCTGTGAATTTTTACCAAAAAAAATCAATCAATCAATTTCTCAGTAAAATGTGCATTTCTTGACGGAAATGAAATGTCACCGGGTCTTTTGTAGGAAAAATCCAACACTGGATTCGGCACAACTATATTTATTACTGTGCTTATAACAAAAAACCTACAAAGTATAAATTAAACACACTCTCACAACACAATACACACACAAAACGAATACTTTACATTTAACATCAGACATTAACAACACATAAATTATATGATTGTTCGCTGTCGGGATTAATTAATAAAAGTAAATTATAAAATACATTTATATAATAATTATAATAAAGGTAAACAGAAAGCTTACCAGGAATCCAGTTAAATTAATTCCAAGTAATACTTGAAAGAATACTTCTATGTTTCAAATATATGTAAGACTTCTACCGTAAAGGCAAAAAGCGTGGGGGTAAAGAATTGGCGGGTACTGTGCTTAAATACTCGGTGCAGAAATTTAAACATGCATATTAATAAGATAAAACAGTCGGTTATTGGTCAGCTGTAAGGTCACATTAGGTCACCTAACCGGAAACACGTGGAAATACAAAAATAAACAATGTCACATGATCTCCCAAAACATTCACACTAAACACACAACACAAACAAACGCAGCGAACGCATTCGATTGGCAATGCGCGCCAATTTTATGTACAAATTAAAACACAACATCTGTGACATTCTCCCCTGCTTGGGAAAATGGCTCCTGACATTTTATAAATATCAGATTAATGTTAATAAAACACAAAAATATACAAATTCCTATATACAAAAGAATTGTCATAAAAACCAAAATGAAGACCATCATCCTATATACTCAAGAAACGTCATAAAAACCAAAATGAAGAATATCATTTCATGTGACATTCTCCCCTGAACAATGGAAAAGTTACTCACACAAAATAGACCACTGGATTAATCTGATGTGAAACCCACTCACCATACTTGTCTGGGGGTCTTACCTGTCTGGTTGATCTACGAGGGGGTACATTAGAAGCTGGACTATTTACAAAGGAACTAGTATCACTAAATGTTGCATTACGATTCAAAGTTGAATTACCTGTAAATGCAGCACTGGGATCAGATGCAGACATAGTGTCCTGAAAATCATGAGAACCCTTTATTGTACTAGGAGTTTTCAAACGAACAATGCCAGGCCTTACCCTCCTCTGAGGAATCACATATACCTGGGAACTATCTGATGATTCTGAATCAGAAGTTGACGAGTCAGACAATGTACCGGTATCAACCATATCTGAAGTGGGACTCTCCTTGGGGAGTGTCATATCATGGGTAGTCTTAAGACCTTGATCAGGAATAATCTGATTAGGGGTGGTCTGCTCAGGGGCAGGGGTAGTCCTATTACTACTCTTAGGAATGGTTTGCTCAGGGGCAGGGGTAGTCCTACTCTTAGGATTGGTTTGCTCTGTATCAGCTACCCTGGGGAGATATGAAATCGGTAATAACATATTTCTATGCAATGTTTTCACCTTTTCTGATCCAAACTCTTTTTTAACTCTGTAAACTGGAATATCAATGTTGGGTTGACCTACTACAATGTAAGTGTCTTTGGCCCACTTATCTGCCAATTTGTTCTTTCCTTTCAACCCAACATTTCTTACCAAAATACGGTCACCGACCTGTATTTTTGAATGTCTTACTCTTGTATCATAGTTAGATTTATATCGTGCACTACTCTTTTCAGCTTCCTGAGAAGCAATTTTGTATGCATATTCTAATCGTTTCTGAAGCTTCTTAGAGTAATTGTCATGACTATTAGGCTTCTCGGTAGAATCGGTATCTAAGCCTAAATATGCGTCAATAGACAGGCGCGGATGTCGCCCAAACATGAGGAAAAATGGCGAAAAACCCGTACTGTCATGTTTGGTTACATTGTACGCGTGAACTAAGGTACTTACATATGACTTCCAGTCCTCTTTTTGTTTGTCGTTCAGCGTACCGAGCATTTTAAGTAGGGTTTGGTTGAACCGTTCTACCATCCCATTACCCATAGGGTGGTAGGGTGTGGTACGTGACTGTTGTACTCCAGCTAGTTTACAGAGCTCCCTGATGACATGGCTGGTAAAATTCCGACCCTGGTCGCTGTGAAGTCTGTTGGGAAAGCCATAGTGTACAATAAAATTTTCAAACAGAATTCTAGCAGTGGTCTTAGCAGTTTGATTACGAGTGGGAAAAGCTTGGGCATATCTGGTAAAATGATCAGTGATTACTAGGACGTTTTCATAACCACCTTTGCTTTTTTCCAGAGCTAAGTAATCAATGCATAATAGATCTAAAGGTTGGTATGATTTGATGTTGACAAGTTCTGTTGAGACTTTCTCTGGGGTTTTAAATTTTATACACCTGTCACAGGTTTTGATGCTTTCCGTAATGTCGTGCTCGAGACCAGGCCAGTAAAATCTTTCTCTCATCAGTTGCAGAGTTCTGTCTCGGCCATGGTGCCCTAAATTGCTATGTAGTAGATGGAATGCTATTTCTCTGAAAGAAGCTGGTAATACTAGTTGTTTTCTATTTTCATTATTCAGTATAGTGTTTCTGTATAAAATACCATTAATTAGACACAATTTTCTTGATTCTCTCATAAATTTACTCACTTCTGGAGATTCTGCTTTTAAGGTGATACTTGATGGAACAAAGTCACCTTGCAATAATTCTATAACTCTTTTAATGACCCTGTCACATGATTGTTCTTTTGCCCAATCAACATTACTGAATACACATGAATCTTCTATCTGAATGGAGTCAGGGATAGGGGTGAGGGGTTCTGATATATTTGAAATGTTACCTGCTTCCCCAATGTCTTGTAAACTCACTGACATACATGTTGGAATGTTGACGGGTAGAAGTACATTTTCCACCAGTGGACAATTGTCTCTCTGAATAGTGTAGGAATTAC